TGATCATTGAGCAATGTGTTGTTCAGCTTCCAATTGTTTGCATATCTTCTGCTGTTGCTTCTGTTGTTGAGTTCTAGTTTTAATGGATTGTTATCAAATAGAATGCAGGGGATTATTTCTGTTTTCTTATATATACTGAGGCTTGCTTTGTGCCCTAAGATATGATCAGTTTTGGAGAAGGTTCCATGGGATGCTGAGAAGAATGTATATTGTGCAGAAGTTGGATGAAATATTCTGTAAACATCAGCTAGGTCCTTTTGATCTATGGTGTGAGTTAGTTCTAGAATTTCTTTATTGATTTTTTTGTTTGGATGACCTATCTATTGATGATAGGGGAGTATTAAAGTCTGCCACTACCACTGTATTGGAGTATATATGTGCTTTTAAGTCCTTTAAAGTATGTTTGATGAAATTGGGTGCATATAGGTTGATAATTGTTATTTCCTTTTGGTGTATTTCCCCTTTTATTAGTATGAAGTGTCCTTCTTTATCTTGTTTGATCAATGTAAGTTTGAAGTCTACTTTGTCTGAGATAAGTATTGTTTTGGGGGGCCATTGGCTTGGTAAATCTTCTCCCAGCCTTTCACTCTAAGCCAGTGCTTGTTTCTGTCAGTGGGTCTCCTGTAAACAACAGGTTGTTGTATGTTATTTTTTAATCCAGTTTGGTGTCCTTTAATGGGGGAGTTGAGTCTGTTGACATTCATTGTTAATATTGATGGGTATGTGGTGATTCCTGTCATTTAGTTGTTTTTGTTGTTTAAGGATTTGATTGTGTGCAGTTGAATCAATGCTACTCTCTGATTCCTTGTCTTTTCTTCTCCTATGGTTTGATACTGCCTGTCCTCTCATGGTTTTGTTTGCTTTCATTTTCTGTGTGCAGAATTCCTTGGAGAATCATTTGTAGTGGTGGCTTGGTGGTCATATATTGTTTTAGTTACTGCTTATCATGGAAGATTTTTATTGCTCCATACATTTTGAATGATAGTTTTGCTGGGAAGAGTATCCTAGGGTTGAAGTTATTTTCATTCAGTGCCCAGAATACCTCACTCCATGCTCTTCTTGCTTTTAAGGTTTCTGTTGAGAAATCTGCCATGATTTTGATGGGTTTACCTTTATATGTTATTTGGTTTTCTCTCTTACAGCCTTCAATATTCTTTTTCTATTCTCTGTGCTTGTTGTTTTAATGATAATATGTCATGGGGTAGTTCTATTTTGGTCCAGTCTGTTTGGTGTCCAGTAGGCTTCCTGGACCTGAATGGGCATAACTTTCTCTAAATTTGGGGAATTTTCTGGTATTATTTTATTGAATATATTATGAATCCCTTTTGCGTGGACCTCTTCTCCTTCTTCAATGCCCATGATTCTCAGGTTTGGTCTTTTGATGGAGTTTGTAAGTTCTTCTATAGTCCTTTCACAGGTCTTGAGTTGTTTGACTAACAGTTTTTCAGTTTTTCCTTTAATTTCTATTTTATCTTTGAGTTCTGAGATTCTGTCTTCTGCTTGTTCTAGTCTGCTGGAGTGGCCTTCCACTGTTTTGTGTTTCTGTTTGATTCTTTTTTCTGACGTTTTCCATATCATGGGGAACTTCCTCTTTAATATTTTTTATTTTCATCTTTAATTCATTTATTTCTCTATAGTGTTCTCTGTTTCACTCTGGTGTTTATTTAGGGCTCCTATGAGTTCATTTATTTGTTTCTGTGTCTTCTCGTATTCTTTATTTTTGGTGTCTTGAAATTTCTTGAGTGCATCTTGTACATTTTGGTTAACCGCATCTAATATCATTTCCATGAAATGCTCAGTGCTCACTTGCAGGATTTCTTCTTGGAGAGTGTTTTTGTGGGCATCACTGGGTTCCTTGGTGTCATTTATATTTGTTTTGTTGGAGTCAGGAACTGGGCATCCATTTTCTTCATTTCCCTTTAAACCCTGTATTAAATTATTTTTGGGGTGGGGGAAATGGTTTCTATCCCTTTTTCTTCTTCCCATCACTCCACTTGGTACTGTGCAACTCTGTTCTTGATAGGCTAGTTGATGGTTTTTGTCACCTGTTTTCTTTCCCTTAATTCAATTTTTGTTTTGTAGTTGTCTTGGGTTTTTATCTAGGTTGGTGTGCTATTTCTGTCCCTGGTCTGAGTGTAACTTAGTAATAACTAATTCACAGGTTTAATACCCAACCAGTAGTTTATATGTTATATAAAAAACCCCTTGGTGGTAATATCTATAAGCAGTGGGAATTGGGGAGGGGGGAAGTTAATGTTTGTAAAGCTAGCTATAGAAATTTGGAGAGTTCGATACGGTGGCACTAAAGGGGGAGGCAGGAAGTGGGGTGGGTGAGTGGGGGAAGCAGTGCAGGGCTGCTGGTTTTTGTGGTCCTTGTGTGTGTTTGGGTGTATTTCTGTTGTTGTAGTAAAGGGTGCTTGTGTCAGGGATTGCAGGGGGTTGGGGTTGTGTAAAGTTGGTATAAAAGGTTGGTTAGCAAGTGATGAGTGTATATGAGGGAGGGGTAGTCTGGTGACAGGTTGGGGGAGAATGGGAGGGGAAGGTGAAGGCAAGGGGAGAGAGTGGGTGAGAAGGGGCAGAACGAGTTATTGGGGATGAGAGCAATGGATTTTAGCACAGAAGGAGGGAGAGTGAAAGGGTGAGAGTAGGGATGAGAAGATGATGATAGTAAAGTTGATAGTATAGAAAGAAAAAAGATAATAGGAATAGAAATAAAAATAGAAAACCCACAATAACAAAACAAACAAAAAATTCAATGGGAAAAAACGAACAAACAAACAAAAAAAGAAACATTAAAAAAAAACAAACAAAACACCAGTTCAGGAACTGAACTGAAATAAGAATTTCAGTCTTAGTTTAAGTTCTGGAGTTACTTCTCTAGCATCCAGTCCTGGTATTGGCATATAAGCAGAAGCTCTGACATGTTCTCACAAGGTGATTGGCTTGTGAGTAGTATTTTGTTCTTCTGTCCACCAGTTGAATTGAAATTGTGAGGTGAGGTAGCTTTGCCAGGTCATGCAGGGTGTTCAGAGATATTGATTTCCCCAGCTGATAGCTGTGTTACCCTTCAGCTGCAGCTACTTGATCAGCTCCTTCCCCAACAAGGTGTGGCAGTTCAAGTTTGAATGCTGCCCTCTGGTTCAGAAGATCAGCTCTGTAGTCCACTACCTGCCCTACTTTGGAGGTGGCTTTTGCTATGCTTGTTTACTGGGGTTTCTGCACTGGGAGTTTATTTCTTTGCCCCACCCCCTTCCTCTGGGGCAGGTTCAGTGTTCTGTCAGCCCCCTCTTCTGTCAGTGTGTTATGATGGTTCACTGTTTTTCAGCTTTGCAGGGCAGTTTGGCTTTGAGTGCTGCTCACTGGCTCAAGAGATGAGCTCTGTGATCTGCTACCTGCCCTGCTTCAGGGAGTGGCTTATCATCCATCTGCTCTCAATCTTCCTGCCTTTCCAGTGTTTGTTTACTGATAGTGCAAAGATTAGCCCCTTGCCCCTCTCCCTTTCTCTGGTGCATTTTCAGGGTTCCCACCCCTCCGCTGTTGTGCTGGATTACAGTTCACTCTTTGTTATTCAGGGGTTTTTTGGGGGGTCAGTCTGTCCAGGAGCTGTGCTGGTTTATCCTGGGGGTGGCTGGGGAAATTCTGTGTGATGCCTGGTGCTCACCTGTTTGGTCTGTGGAATGTCTCATAAGCAGGTTTGGAGCCAGTGGCAGCAGCCTCCAAATTTTCTCACTGTAACGTGTTGTGGGAAGTTTTCCCCAGTCTATGTTTTCTGCTTGATGAAGGAGAAGAAGAGAAGGAAAGAAAAAAAATCACCATCGGGAAGGAGGGTTTCCCCAGGGCTGGACCCACCTTGCTGGCTTTGCAGCGGGTTGCAGCTGTTAGGTGCAGTTAAAGTCTGATTTGTGAGTCAGTCTTTGAATATTTTCCTGCACCTAGTGTAACGGCAGTTATTATTTCGGCTAGAGGTAGTCACAGTTACCCAGTGTGGTTCCAACTTCTCAGGGAGGTTTTGGAGTTATGGAGGTTGGGCTTTCTGCTTCCGTACCCTAGTTGCCATCTTGGAAAGCTGCAAAAAAACGTTTTTCCAGTGACAATAGCTTACATGCTAGCATAATATCAGACTTCTCCAGTTTTACATGTGTGCACCTGTGTTGGCTAATTGACTTTATCCAGAGGAAAAACAAACCTCTTTTGTCCAGCCCCCACCAAAGTTAGGCTTCTGTCCTCCCACAGAAACTGGGAGCTAGGGACTCCATCTTCCTTTGTGATTAATTGTATTTCCAAAAGATGGGCCTCAGGTACTGAAAAAAGTCATAGAAAAAGTCATGTCAGGGGTCTGGCAAAAGGCTTACTTTATATATACATATGTATATATACACATATATATGAAAGAACTTAAGTTACAACTTTTCTAAAGTAGATAAAAAGAACTTAAAATCACAACTTTTCTAAAGTAAATACCCTAAAATAAGGGAGGGGGAAGCCTGTTCTCTTGTTTTCAACAAGGAGAACCGATCCTCTTATTTTCCATTTGTGTTTGCCTTTACATGGTGAATCTTTATAGCCACACCCACTCTCCTCTCTCCACAGCCCTTTCCCCTGGCAACCACTAATCAATTCTCTGTCACTACACTTCTGCTATTTCAAGAGTGTCATATTCATAGTATGTAACCTTTGGAGATTGGCTTTTTTCATTCAGCATAATACTCTTGAGATCCATCCAGGTCATGTGCATGGAGAGCTCATTCCATTTTATTGTTGAGTAGTACGCCATGGTGTGAACGGACCAGTTTCTTCACTCCCCCACCACTCCCATGAAAATTTTAATACCCTAAATATACTGTATATCTTTTTATATTGGAAGGACCACAATCCACTGTAATATCTAAGATGTTTTTACTCCCCCAAGAACCAATTTTCATCCCTTAGGGGTGATATTTTTCCCATTGAGTATGCATTTTCTAGAGCAATTGTTTAATTGCTCTTCTGTCATTTTCCAGTTAAGTGCTCATCTCCAGATGGAAGTAGAGAGACTTATAGTCCAAGACTATGCCCTGGATCATCAGAAAACAGTTCCCTCCGATTCCACAGATGACTCCTATGTCGGCTATCGGAATCGCCCCAAACTTGCCAAGTGAGTGTGTTTATTTCAGAGTGTGGAGGCACAAGAAGTGTACAGCATCCCCTGAAATAATTGTTGATCATCTAGGAATGACATCCACTTGCTATGTTGTCTGCCATCAAGCCAGGTGGGCAGTTTTGCCTCTTAAAGTCAGAATACTCTGGCTCTAATAGGCACACTAAGGCCCAGGCTGTAATAATGACCAAAACACAAATATGGACTTCTGAAGGAAATATGCTGTTTCTATTCTCCATTCTAGTGGCATTTAGCAATTCTCCACTCTAGAGAACAAAATTTTACACAGGAAATGGAAGAGAATCTCACACTTTCACTTTGGGAAAGGTAGCTTTTCAGGTTTGAAAGTGACTAATAAGTAGACCCTATTAACTGTTTCAGAGTCCAGCTGCCAGAGTACATCCTAGACTTTGGATTCATTGTCCTTGGTGAGGTCCGGACCCACATCATCAAGATCACCAACAACAGTCACTTTCCAGTGTCCTTCCATGCAGAAAAGCGTATCCTTCATGACACAGGTAACTAGGCTGTGATGACCCTTTTGTATTGCATTTTGTTATTTCCAACAAGGAATGATCCACTCTGTCCTATCCTGGAATGACATTCATGCTTCTTCTGAAATCAGCTGAAGGAGTTGCTGGGCCATTCGGTGATACTTCAATATTTCACGTGGTCATCCTGCCCAAAGACGGTGGCGGGGGGCACTACCTACAGCAGCTCCTGTTTGCTGTTTCACTTTAACACAAAGAATTTTGTCTGTCTTGTCTAGGTTTCAGTATTGAGCTAGACCGTGTAAAGAGTCTACCTTACTGTGAAACAGAAACATTTGAAGTAAGATTTGACCCACAAGGAGCAAATCTTCCTATGGGAAACAAAGAGGTCATCCTGCCCATCAAGGTGAGACCCACTGATGCTCCAGGTTTCCAGCTCTGTATGCTGATCACCCCCTGGGATGATCCAGCTATTATGTCAGAGCCGTGATTCCTCCCCCAACCCCATGCTACAGGTAACAGCAATTCTATGTCCACTCCAGGTGGTTGGAGGGCCAACAGTTCACATCTGTCTCCGAGCCAACGTGACCATTCCAGCTATGACACTGTCTTGTAGAAAAGTGGACTTTGCCATGATTCAGTGTGGACAGTGCATGGTGAAAACTATTCAGCTTTTCAATCATCTCCAAGTCCCTTGTGAATGGTTTATCCATACCCAAAAGCCTATTAGTAAGGTAAATGTGATATGGCCATCAGTCCTCTTTTCTTTATCTTCATTCCAGCTAGAGTCATAATTCTAGACCTTTCCTCTGATCATTTCAATATCCTGCTCAAAGACTTCCAGCGGTAACCACTGCCCAGCCCTTAGCCCAGCACTCAAGGCTCTGTCAGGCCATGGTAGCAGATAGAATGTCTTACTATTCTTTGTACATCTGCTATCTACACATTCCCTAACACCTGGGAGGTACTCAGGAAATGTAGGTTGTGTGAATGGAGAATGGAATGAATCCATTGCCATAGAAGATGATCTAATTTTCTAATATTTCCAAACCAGCTGGAGAAACACATGCCAAGGTATTTAAGACGGAAACTACGTGCTGAATTAAAGCCAAAGACTAGGATCTTTGAGATCCAGCCTACTTCTGGAGTCTTGGATCCTGGTGAGAGGTCCAACGTGCAAGTGAAGTTCATGCCAAAAGAAGAGGTAAGCTTGAAAAAAATGTGGTTTCACTAAGAGTCTCTAGATCTCTTTGAACTTCACCCAGGGTCCATGAAACCATGAGTCACCTGTGCCTTGCTCTACTGAATATGGCGTCTCAAGTGCTTCTGGTTCACATAGGAGCTGCATGGCCTTGTGGTCTGGAAACAGCAGGTCTAACCACTACATCAACTTTTATGAGCATCCCTGAGTTAGAGGCCTTCCACCTCTGTGTTCACAGGTTGTGTGACTGCACAAATCACTTAGCCTCTTTAATAAAGTCTCAGATAAAAATAAAAAATAATCTTCCATATCAAAAATCCCTTATTACATTTCTGAAATCCAATAAGCCCCCAGAAGAGGGGGTGGTTATAAATTTCATATCAAGATTGACTTGGCAAAAAAATCTCATCTGAACTGACATAACACTATTTTGCCTTTATTTATCCAACTTAATTTTCAGAGTCAAACATTGCAACTGCAGAAATATTAATATGCTTGACTACAGGGGACCTTCCCAATAGTCTACTAAGAACATTAGGTATCACAGAGTATATATATATTCTATGCTTACCTTTTTCTAAAATCTGAATTTTAAAGCATCTGATCCCTGGGGTTTGGATAAGTTATTATTGACCTGCAGCAGGAATTGGTCAAAATTAATAAAATTGTTTCCACCACCTGGGAAAACTTGAGGAATTGACTGCATCTCCGTCAGTATCAATAGCACAGAGAAATCACCAGTGTCTACACTGGCAAGTCTTAGACATTATAACAGGTATTCAGAATACTCAGTGGTAGAAAACAAGGTAATGAACAAAATGTTTTAGAAAGATTTTCATAAGTAGCAATTAAAACATAGAAGTTTGGGTCATAGAGTGCTGAAGCCATGTCTACACAGAATGCTTAGCCAGCAGTTCATTCTGTTACTGTATCCAGCAAGAGATACTTTTTAGATGTGTTAGTATGACCATATACATTCTATCCATTTGATTTTCCCCATAAGACAAGGACAGTTAGGAACTCTTCATATTATGAAGCCACTCATGTCCTCCAAACCCAACTACATCAGAATAACCTGGGTGTCTGGTTAAAAATGCAGAATCTCCTAGCTACTCAGGAGACATCTAGGTCAGCCCAGGCAAAAAATTCTCCTGACCCCATCTCAACCAATAAAAATGTGGGCATTGTGGTATATACCTATCATCCCAGACACATGGCAAGCATAAAGAAAAGGATCACAGTACTGGGATGTAGCTTGGTGGTACAGCACTTGCCTAGCATGCGTGAGCCCTGGGTTCAATCCCAGCACCAAAAAAGAAAAGACAAAGAAAAGAAAGAAAAGGATCACAGTCTAGGCCAGCCCTGGAATAAATGTGAAATGCTATCTCAAAAATAAACAAATCAAAAAGGGTTGGAAGTATGGCTCAAGTAGTAGAGCTTCTGCCTAGCGAGTGTGAGGCTCTGAGTTCAAACCCCAGTACCACCCCCAAAAAATGCAGAATTCTCGGCTTTTCTCTGCCCCTGTGAGGTCATGATCTCTAAGGATAAATTCTTAATAGGTTCTCCAGTGAAATCAGGTTAGGAACCACTGAATGGGGAATATATTTCTGTACTATTTTGAGAAAATTTGTGAGTAGTTATGTATCACTATAAACTGGCATCTGTTGTAATTGTATCAGACTGAATCATCTCTCCTCAAGGGCAAGGGATCAAGGATATTTATTCAATATTCCTGAGACTGGTGGAAAGCCACCCCAGCGTTACTTCCTCTGTACTTCTGTCATGCCCTTCACTGCCTGTGGGCAGCAGGGCCCTTAAAATGAGAACCTTCATGCCAAGAGGTGCAGAAAGTAGCAGCTGGAAGTCTGAGCACACAGGAAGCTCTGAGAGTTATAAGTGCAACACTCAGAGGGCCTGCTACAAGGGAGGAAGCTCTTGGTACAGTTTCTGGCAGGTTAGATAACCAGCCTCTACATTCCCAGTGGTAGAGCGTCTGTTACATTGCATGTAACAGAAAAAAAAAAAGGTGCTTATTTTGTTTACGTGTTTTCCAGAAATTCTACAGCCAAACTCTGATTTTCCAAATTGGCCAGAGTAATCAAAAGCTTTCACTGCTGGCACATGGGCAAGGTCTGGAGCCACGCCTGGAATTCAGTCCTTCAGTTCTGGAATTGGGGCCCATGCTGCCTTATACCCCCGGAGATGAGGCCGACGTGATCGTGAAGAACCCCTGCAACTTTCCAATTGAGTTTTACTCCTTAGAATTTGACCAGCAATATATCCTAGAGGAGAAGGTGAGCAGAGACCCAGACCAAGCTCCATTTCCCTGCACGCACCAGGCCTTACCATATACGCGTGCTCTTCTCTCCTCACAGATCAACATCCCCCGGCCTTTCCCCCGACCCTGTGAACCCGTCCCAGCCAATTTACCATTTACTTCTCTGTAGCTTTTCTTCACCTACTTCCCTTACCCTGAGCAGAATTCATTGCTTCTTTGTAATTCCAATGTACATTTTTATAAAACAACTAATTGAAAAACTAAGGCAAGTTTGTGGTTAAATTTCAAACACTGAAGAACTGTATCATCATATTTCAATCAACCTGCCTGTATCATCATATTTCAAGTGAATTATCTGTAGAAAGCCTGTAATTGGGACATTTTTAAAAATATACCTGCCAATCTCTGTCTTCAGTTGGTGTATTTAGACTGTTTACATTTAATGTTATTATTGACATATTAAGGCTTACATTTGCCTTTTATTATTTTGCTGTTTTTTTTATTCTATTTACTTTTTCCTGCCTTCCTGACAGTTGCTTCAACGTTATTTAGAATTCCATGTTGTTGAATCAAGTGTTTTTTGGGTATATGTCTTTATATAGCTTCTTTAGCTATTGCTGTATATATTACATTATACACATACCTTATCATAACCACCTGGTATTGGTATTTTATCAGTCTAAATTACTCTAGGAACTTTTCCATTATCTCCCTTTACCCTCTTTGTTTTCAATATAATTATCTTAAATATTTCCTTATATCAGATAGCATTATAATTTTTCTTTTAACTGTCAAATGTAAATTAGAAAATCTCAGAAAAGAAATGTATTATATTTTTCTCTTTCCATTTTTCTTTCTCTTCCTTCCTTCCTTTCTTCCTTTCTTTCTCTCTTCCTTCCTTCCTTCTTTTCTTTCTTTCTTATATTCCAAGGTTTATTTCTTTTACTATTTCTTTTCCATTTAGAGAGCCATCATTAGCTGTTCATTTAGGGTAGTTATGTGGTGGCAATTTCTTAGTTTTCCTTCACTTGAGAAAGTCTTGATTTCCCCTGCCCCTAATTCTTGAAGGATTTTTTTACTGGATGTCAAATTTTGGTTCAGGTATTTTTCCAGCTCTTGAAAACTTTTTCCCTTCCTTCTGGCCTCCATGGTCTGACAAGAAATCTAGTGTCATTTGAATTGTTGGTGGTTTTTTTCCTCTAGACATAAAGTTTCATTTGTTTCTCACCACTTTAAGAATTTTTCTTTGCCTTAGTTTACATAATTTTGACTATGGTGGGGGGGTGGCTATTTAGGTGCGGGGAGGACTTGCTCAGTTTTTTGAATCTGTACATTTTCACCTTTTTCCCAATTTGGACATTTTTAGCCATTACTTACTAGAATACTTTTTCAGCCCCCACCCCATCTACTTACTCTATATCTAGGACTCATTTGATACTAACATTAGATCTTGTATTATAGTCTCCCAGATCAGTTTTACTGGATACAATGTCCTTAGTTCACATTTTCTTCACTTGAATATTTTAAATGTGCTGCTTCCATTATTTTCTGGTTAGGTGTTACCATTCATGAAGTCTGATTCTGTACTGGTTATCTTTTGCTGCGTGACAAATTACCCCAAAATTCACTACCTTAAAACAATAAAAGTTTATTATCTCATAGTTTCTGAGGGTCAGAAATTTGAGGATGGGTTAGCTAAGACAGTCTGCTTCCTCTGGATGACTCCCCCACTCAGCCTTTGAATCGTCTGACGTTTTTACTTCCAGTGTTTATACCCTGCCCAACTTGAAGAAGTTTTTCTAGGAAACAGAATCTGCCTCACTGTAAGGGAATCTTCTCATTTGGTATTTCTGAGCTCCTCAATAGATTGTATTAACACAGCACACTCTGTGATGGGTCTGGTTCCATGGAAAGCATAATCCAAGCCTGACATTTGCACATGGAGGTTTATTGGGACCATTCTGGTAACGACATCTGTAAAGAATAAGAAGCCAGAATTGAGCAGAAAGAAAAGATAAACCATGATGAGATTACAGTGGAAACTTCAGCTAATCATATAATGAGCTCTGGAACAGGGTCAGCCCTTCAGATTGCCCCCAGTTGATGCAAGTTGGTCAGGACTTTGTATCCCTTACATACCAAGCAATCTTTGGCATATTCCTTCTTCTCCCCACTGATCTGCCATGCCATCTCTGTCATATAAATTTCTGTATATGGAAGAGTCTATCTGAGCTCTGTCTTCTGTGTCATTACTCAACGTGTCTCCCCCATCATCAGTACCACCCTGTTGTTTTACTACAGCGGGCAGTACCCTCCCTTTATTTTTCTCCTGTAATGTTTTAACTATTCTTGACTCTTTACACTTCCATATAAATTTTAGGATGAGCTTATTATCAGAAGTTTTCAAACCACTAAAAATGCTGATCTTGTAAAAGGGTTACATAACAAAAAACAAAATAGGCTCTCACACCAAAAAAATCAGGTTTTAGAAGAGGTATATGATTTCTATAGCTTTATTTTACTGTGTTTTATAAATATACATGCTCACTAGGACTGCCAGACTTAGAAGGAAAAAAAAACATGTTTTCCAGTTAAATTTGAATATTTTAGATAAACTAAAAAGAACATTTTGATATAAGTATTTCCAAATATTGCATGGAACATTTTATACTAATAGTATTTTTGTTTATCTGAAATTTAGGTTTAACTGGGCATCCTGTATTCTATCTGGCAGCCCTAGTACGTATTCACACCCATATCCTTAATACCGTTTTACTAACTGTTTTTCCCTGTATCCTCTGTTTAAGAAAACAACCTTGCTTAATGTAATGTTGTTCAATATTACACAGCACAGTCGTGTGCTGCATAACAACATTTCAGTCAACAGCAGATTACATATGTAATGATGGTCCAATATGACAATATCACCTCGTGACATTACAGCAATCTTAGTTTATGTAAGTCCACTCTATGGTTTTAGTTCAATGATGAAATCACCTAATGACACATTTCTCAGATCATGTTCCTGTCATTAAGCAACACATGACTATTTTTTTTAGAATGTGTCACTCAAAGTAAACAATGGAATTCTATGTTTTTGTCATTGGAAAAAAAACAGTATATATTATTTTCAAAGCAAGAAGCAAATTCTTCTTTTCTACATTTGAAATGCCCAGGTAGACATGCAACAAAATAAAGATCTTGAATCCACATAAAATCAGCATCCAGCCTTCCTTTTCAGATTTCTCCAAAGAGCCCCATTCTTTGGAATCCAGAAAGTATTTCTACAAATCTCAACCTCAGGTAGGAACAGGGATTTTCCTGGATCAATGAGCAGAGCAGAAATTTCCAATGAGACCAACAGCAGTTCCTTTTCTCCCTTGGACAGATCTTGAGACAGCTAAAGGGCTATGATTCCTACAACACCCTGCTGCTACCTCCCCGCACCCCAGGAGAGAAGCTGCCCCCAGAAGTGTATGAGTACTTTAAGGAGATAAAGAAGTCAAAAGAAGAGCAGATGAAGGCGAAATATCTGGAAAATCTGGCACAGGATAATGGTAAGAACTCAATGTGGAGAGTCCTTGGCAACAGCCATTGCCCTGGCCCCTTTGAGTGACAGGTTCCTGAGTACCTGTCTGGTCCTGTCATCCCCATGTTATGGACGTAGAGACTGCATCACAGTCTGCTCCTCCTGTAGTCCTCGAGACTAATATAGATAGAATACTTACTAGATTCTGTGCTGAAGGCTTTGTACCTACAGATGAGAAACTGAGTCACAGTGAGGCTAAGTCCACAGTTGTAAGTGGAAGAACCAGGATTCCTACCCAAGTCTCTCTGCCTTCAGAGTCTATGACTGGTGGTAACCGTTATACTCCACTGCCTCCAGTGGGTGTGCCCAGATATTGCAAAGTAATGTGTCACGTTAAGTAGAAAATTAGTGCCCTAAAAGGGGGAAGAGGAGGGGGACTCATAGGGAAAAGATCATCCCCTCCATGGTCCTCAAGGCCATTCATGAGCTGGTCTGCACTCTCATAAACTTGCCCTTTCTGGCCCAGCTCCTGAGTCATGCTATCATCTTTCAAGAGCCTCTGTGTGTTCTTGAGAAGAAGGGCCCTTTGCTGACTTTGAGGACTATGTGAATAATGATGCTGTACCCCTCTCCTTCCTGCTTCTCTGTCCCTCATCCTGGAAATGTCCCCAGCCTGTTCTGGCTTGCTCTCTTCTATGTAACAGTCATCACCTAAGTAATCTTTTTTCATATCTGCCTCCCCCACTCGACAAGAAGCCATGATCATGTATTCCTCACTTGTAAATCCAACGCATGGGACAGCAGCCCATACCTGAGCATGCCCAGCAAATGTGTGCCATGTGAGGAAATGGACCAATAGACTGAATGCAGTCCTTTCCCTTTGTCCTCTTTGTGGTCTCTCAAGGAAAAAGAAGCACTCAGAAAACATTTGTTTGGCAGAGAAGAAGGCTGCCTCCCTACCCAGTCTCTTAGTCATGCTTCTTTTTAAAGTACTGTGGTAGTTTACTGGAGCTGCCATAACAAATGCCACAGACCAGATAGCTTAGCCAATGGAATTTACTTTCTCATAATCCTGGAGTCTATAAGTTCAAGATAAGGTATCAGTAGGATTGATTTCTTCTGAAACTCTTCCTGTGGATCATTGTCTTCCCTCTGCGTCTCCCTACTGTCAGTGCCTATGTCCTGTCCTCTTTGCTGACACCAGTCAGATTGGAACAGGACCCTCCCATGTGACCTTAATTTTACTTAAACTAGCTGTTTAAAGTCCTTATCTCCAAATACAGCCACTTTCTGAGGTACTGAGGGGTTAGGACTTCAACATATGAGTTTGGGGGAGACACAAACCCACAGCTATGTTGCAAGAACTGAACGGAAGTACTGGGGAAAAGATCAATGACAAGAGGCTTCTGTTATTGAGTCAGAGAGCCCACAGTCAGGGAGAGGGTAGGAAGCAAAATAATTAAATTCAGAGAAAACATCCAATAGCCTGAGGCAGGAGACTTGGTGGGCAGCCATGTATAGAGGATCTTGTGAGAGCAGAGAAGTGCCTTGTTCCTTTGTGGCGCATACACACCATTGTTACAGGCTTGCCTTGCCATTTGGCCCAACGGAAGATGGTCTGGAGCCAAGAATAGTGGATCTTGGGGGACCCAGGCAGGGACAACCTCTGCCTCTCACCAGTGCTTCTCTGAACATCCATTCACATTATTCTCATGCTATATATAGACCATCCTTCTCTGCTTCCCTGATCACATCCCAGGAAGGCCAGCTGCCTCAAGTCACATCATCACCATTCACAAGAGGGCTGTAGGCTCTCAGACTCAAATCCCAATTCTGAACAAAAAGGATGTCTTGCTCCAGTACCCACTGAGATGCTGTGAAAGAGAGGAGAATAGGAAGGTGATAGGGCCAACAAAACGGCAGTGCTAACCATAATGTGGGAAATGTTCATAAGAAGGTTTAGGGGAAATCAAGCTATAGACTGGTATGTATATTATGATCCCAAGTGTAATTCTGAAATTTTAAAAATTAAAACTCCAAAAGGTTGCAGCTTTCCTGTACCAGTGTTATAAATTTCAGCTGCAATTCCTGTCACCATTTCTTTGTCTATCTCAATCTCTTTTTACAGCTGAACTTTATAATTTTTGGCTCTTCTGAATTATCCAATTTTCTGAACAAATGTATGTTTGTTCTCTAAATAAATGTTAAAATGGAGAAACACTGTGCAAAGAAACTTCTAGACAGCCAACTGACTACAGTTCTTATTTGTTGGGATTGGATAGTCTAGGTGATGGCTTTTCCTCTTTGTCTCTCCATGTTGCATGTTGACCCCATCTCCCTTGTTCTCCTCCCAACTCTTCCTCATTTGTTCTCATCCTTTGCTCCCTGACAGAAGAGGAAGATATAGCTGCATCAGAACAGGGAAACTCAGCTAGCACAAAGAGGACATCACTCAGCCAAGGGATCTCCCTCACGTCCAACCTGGAAGAGCGGCACAATGTCGTGGATTCCAAAACCTACCCAGATGAAGATGAGGATGAGGAAAGCCTGGAAAAAATAGTGTTTCAAAGTAACTAAGCATTTTGTTTGGGGACCAGTTCTTTCTAAGCAGAAATGAGAAGACTGTTCAGTAACTTGTCACCTTTCTCCATAAAAAATGTCCTCTCTAGGCCTCCTAGCACTGGCTCCCAGCTTAGCACACCTATTCTGCCTTGTGTGAAGACCTGATCCACCCACTCACAGTGAATTATGACTACAGAAGTCTGCTGAGGAGCTTAGCATATGACATATTTTTCTTGCCACAGTTATTTGCATTTTAACTAGACTAAATCTTAATTTGAAGGCTTGAATCTTTAATGCTAAAATTCCAGCAGACTAGGAGGTATTTGGAGAAATATTCTGGGGGAATGGAGAGCATTCTTCCTAGTGTCCTTTCATTTGGACCATTAGGAAACACTCCTTTTGATCTCCCAACATTATTGACCCATTTTCTGGTATTTAAATATGCAATTTTCTGGTCCCTAAAATATGCAAGATTTTGAAGCTGTATTTAGAAAGTTGGATTCACTGAAACTGAGTTTGTGGGGACTATTTGCCAGTCATTATAGAGCACAACAAAGTATAAGCCATCTTGTCATGTGTGCCCATCTTGAGGAATAGAAATTATGAGCCAGGCTAAAACCAATGATGACTAAGTCATCATTCTTAGTCCTAGTCAAACTTACCAGGTGAGAGGCTAATGCAATGGTATAAAGGCAGAGTTCCTGGCTCTATGTCTCATGCTTAATCCACCTGACTCTGCTGACCTTCCCGGAAGTGGCTCCTGGTTTCCCATGGCAACCAGTACCCACCTCACATCCTGGCTCTGCTCACATCTTTTGTGCCTGAGCTCTCCCAGAGCCAACCTCAGACACCCTATGGAGACAGAAGCACACCACGATGCTTAGCATGGAAAAACCTGGAAACCAACTAAATGCTCATCAGGAGGGGACTAGTTAAATTATAATAAATCCAGACAGTGGAATTTATTTAGCAGCTATTTAAAAAGAATGTGATAGAACTATATTTAAGTTTGTTGAAAGATGTATTATGTGAAAAGGCAAGCTGCAGAACAAAATTTAGAGCATGATCCTAGTTTGTTAATAAAACACCAAATGTGTTTGCAGTGACTATATGTATTTGGCTACTGTATACTACATACATATTCCTGCACCTTTCTTTTTTTCTATTATAGCCATCCCTCCAGACCACTACTTTTGCAATACTTTTGATTTAAAACAGAGTTTGGCAAACTTTTCCTGTGAAAATCTGGACAGTAGTATTTTGGGCTTCCTGAGCCATACAGTCTTCACTTAGTTACTCAACTCTGCCTTGTAGCATAGAAACAGCCAAAGACAATATACTATCAGAGCGGCATAGACATTTTCCAATAAAACTGTACCTATAGAAACAAGGATTTGACCTGTGAGCTATAATTGATCAGCCTTTAAAATACGAGTCATTACTTCGATAACTACTGTGTATTAATTCTATAATATGAATATGTCATCATTTATTCTGCCATGGCCCTTAATGGTGGAAATTCAGCTAGTTTCTAATATTTTGCTACTGTTAACAGTCCCCCTCTCCACACAAACTCCCTTTTTATCTTTCAGCAGTAGAGAGTCCCAAAAATAAAATTTGAATCAAAGAATACTTGTATTTTTAAATTTTGGTAGGTGTGGACAAATTATTAGCTCAAAGGGACACTCTCATACACAAGAGGTGGGTACTGCCACATTTGCCATTTTAAAACAACATTGTTTAAAAAGAAAATTCATTCTCATTTCCACTGGTGCCCATGTAAATAAATTCTGGGGTGTATATCCACATGCACGTATGTGTTCTCACACACGTGTGTTTTTAATTTTCAGCAGACAAGATTCAGAGCCTTGACAGCCACTCTGCAGAGGAAGTAGGAGAGGTGGAAAACAACCCAGTGAGCAAGGCAATAGCTCGCCATCTGGGCATTGACATCTCTGCAGAAGGTCGCATGGCCAAGAGCCAGAAAGGCATTGCCATTATCATCCATGGGACACCCTTGTCGGGTATGTAGCGATTCTGAGGGAAGGTCAAGACCAAGGATGCCATGCACCCTCCATAAACTCTCTGGTTTCCAGAGTGGCAATGGCAGCAGAATGGTCAAGGAACATTTGCTGTTCCATTTGCAGAACAGCAGGGCAGAGTGATTATAAGCACGTACCCCAAGCCAAAAAGCCCTATGTCATATCCTTCACACCCTAGCGCCTCCACTTAATAGCTGTGTACCACTGGGAAAATTACTGAGGTTCTCTGTAGTAGGCATCCTTGTCTGTAAAAACGATACTAACATCTCTCTCTCTCTCTCTCTCTCTCTCTCTCTCTCTCTCTCTCTCTCAATTGGGTCTCAGTGTATGACTCAGGCCAGCCTTAAACTTGCTATCCTTCTGCCTGCACTTCCCAAGTGCTGGGATTACAGGCATGAACCACCATGCTCAGCTAACAGTATCTCTTTTATAGGATAGTTGTGAGAAGTAAATGAGAACATCTGTATAAAATGCTTATCCCAGTACTTAGTACATAACAAATACTCAAAGAGCTGATAGTATCATCATCATTATTACTGTAGTAACTATTATCATCCATACTTGTAACCATATCTGGAATTTAAATGCCTAGGGAAAAACATTCCAACGTCATGCTAAATAATTTCAAGGGACATTTTGCTAATCACAACCAGTCAAGGGGTGAGCCATTCTTTAATGAGGGTCCTTTACTGTCTTCAAAATTACATGTACCAACTTCACCATGAACCCAAAGGAGCAAAATCACCTGTCTTAACAAGATCATGAATTTGTAGAGTGATTTCCAATTTATGGAGCTCCTTCCCATTCATTTCTCTATTTAAACTTCACAACCACTCAGAGAAGAGAGATTGAGTGCCTCTATCTACAAGAAATTAAGGTTCAGAGACCCTGCAGAGTGTCTGCCAAGGTCATCCAGCTAGTAACTTGCAGAACAGCAGGACTTTTGTAGGATGCCCTGGAGCCTTGAAGAAGGGCAAGGAAACCTTTTCTAATCTGATTCTTTTCACTCAGAGTGACACATTCATGGAACATCTTCTTTGTTCTCATCACTGAGAGATTCCAGAAATGTTTTCATAAGTAACAGTCCATCATTCCTTCCTTTGAAGAACCTTGTCTTGAGAAGTCATAAACCAGAACCTAAAAGTCTAAGGCCAAATCTGGAGCCACATACAGAATCAGACAAAGCAGTTAAAAATATGACCAAAAATGTTTTAAAGATTGCTGCCCACATTAGCTCATGGCCATTTTTGTGCTGCACTAAGAGGAATGTCAGACACATGGTCAATGGACTCATAGAAATTTAAGAGAGAAATTTAACCCTGAAAATGTATGAGTTGGAAGGAGCCACTGCCCCATTCTAGGGCAGGGTCTAATCACATTTTCATCTGGAGATGACAAGAATTATAAAGGAGAATATCAGCTACAGCAATTACAATCCCACCATGCTTGTGGAACCTTACAGTGTTCAAAGAGTCATTGAGCCAACTAGTTTAATAGTCTCAGATTTTTTCAATATTGGGGATTTTTCCCCTTTGGGATTTATGGTGAGGTTAGAATATATAATTTAGGAGCCAGGTATAGTGGCTTACACCTACAATCCCAGCTACCCTAGAGGCAGAGAGAGGAGGATTGCAGTTGGAGGCTATCCCAGGCAAAAAGTTAGCAAGTCCCTATCTCAAAAAAACAATCCAGATGTGGTAGTACACGCCTGGTGTCCCAGTTACACAGGAGACATAGGTAGGAAAATCACAATCTGAGGCCAGTCCCAGACAAAAACACAAGATTCTCTCTGAAGAAAATAAAATAACCTAAAGTGAAAAGGGCTGAAGGTGTACCTCAAGTGGTAGTGCACTTGCCTAGCAAGCGTAAGCCCTGAATTCAAACTCTCTCTCTCTCTCTCTCTCTCTCTCTATATATATATATACACATACATATATATACACATATAAATATACACATACACACATATACACATATATATACACATACATATATATACATATATGTATATGCATGTGTGTATATATTATGTGTGTATGTATATGTATATATGTGTATATGTATGTATGTATATATATGTGTATATACATGTGTGTATATATGTGTGTATATGTATGTATGTGTATATATATGTATATATATGTGTGTGTATATATATATATGGCAATAAAAACTCTTTTGCATATAACTTATATGCTAAAGGATTATCCACAAACTGTTACATTGCTGACCTCACAAGTACAAGTCAAGAAAGAGAGGAAAGATACCTCATTTTGATTGATACATCTTTGAAAAGTTTGAATTTTTTATGACTTTAAAAGCATTGAGATGTTAGCAAAGATCCAAGACATTCAATTATTTAAAACAAGAGGGAAGAATATATGCAAACCCTTTGGCAATGTTATTTCTAAAAATTTCTTAGGAATACAATTAATAATGAAAACAATGATTAATTAAATGAATGTTCACTGTAAGCGCTGTTTACCATAATAAAAGCTCAGAGCAATTGAAGCCTTCAACACAGGGAACTGGTTGATTAAGCCAGTATATTCATGTAGTGACTTATATTGCCATTAAAAACAGTATCTTTTATACCTGTTTATACCAACATCAGTCACAATAGCCAAAAAGGTAGAAACAATCCAAATGGCTATTAATGGATGAACAAATAGAAAAAAATGGGAAATTTTGGGTGTGCTTTAAAAAGGGATGAAATTCTGATACATGCTACAAACATGGATGAACTTTGAAATTATGCTAAGGGAAATAAGTGAGATACAGAAGGACAAATATATGATTCCACTTATATGGAGTACCAAGAGTAGTCAAATCCATAGAACTAGAAAGTAAAGTGGAGGTTTCCAGGGGCTGGGAGGAGAGAGGTAGGAATCAGAGTAAATGGGGACAGAGTTTGATATATAAACATGAAAAGGTGCTGAGATGGATGGTGGTGATGGCTGCACATCAATATGAAAGTGCTTAATGACACTGAACTGTGCACCTAAAATGGTTAACATAGTAAGTTTCAGCCATGCACCAGTGACTCACACCTATAATCCTAGCTACTAGGGAGGCTGAGATTGGGAGGATCACAGTTCAAAGCCAGCCCAGGCATAAAAAAAGTTTGTGAGACCTCCTTCTTGGTAAAAAAACTGGGCATGGTTGCACATGCCTGGCATCACAGAGACAGTGGGAAGCTTAAAATAAGATCATAGTCCAGGCTGATCTAGTCAAAATATGAGACCCAATCTCCAAAATAACCAAAGTAAAAAGGCTTGAGGGGGTGTGGTTCAACTGATAGTGCACTTGCCTTGCAAGCACAAATTCCTGAGTTCAAACCCCAGTAACCATAATAATAGTAAGTTTCATATTACATTACCACAGTTTTTCTTTAAAAAAATAGTATATACAGGTGTATTGAATGTAATGAATAGAAAGATATTCATGATATATCATTTATATAAGAAAAAATGTCATACTTACGACTGGCAATTTATATGTTTGCTATTGCAAACAAATAATGACAAACTTGTGACTTAAAAAATACAGATCTATACTCTAGTAGGCCTGGAGATCAGTAGTCCAAAATTCTTACATCCTTTCTGGGGACTCTAGGGACAGTCCATTTCCTTGTCTTTTCTAGCTTCTAGAAATGTTGCCCACATTTCTTGACTCGGGGTGACTTCCTTCATCCACAAGGCCAGCAATGTACCATCCTCCAGTCTCTCTTTCTTCTTTTGTAGCTTCATACACTTTGTGTGAATCCAACTTTCCTGCTTTTTTTTTTTTTAAATAAAGACCCTTGTGAGCCAGGATAATCTCCCATATTAGGATCTGTAAAGTGATCACACCTGCAATCTCTTTTACCATATAATGTAACATATTTGCAGGTTCCAGAGATTAGAACAAGGACATCTTGCAGTGTATGGGGGGGGCTACTATGTAACCCATTACTTTTATCAAAAATATAAATAACATCATTACATATGCAAACTTAGCTGCAAAAGGCCAACTGAAACATCTTTAGATGAGTAGATTATGGATCTTATGCTCTTGTCTGTTATTTCTGAACATTCTGCCTTTTAATGAAAATACTTTGAAATAAGACAGGTTACTCTTAAAGTCAAAATAGTTTTCCTGCTAGAATAAGAGACAGTGTTTTGAAGATCATCTGATAAAATCAGTTTTTACGCTGAGGACAATAAAACCTAGTGAGGATGTGGGTTGCCATGCATACTTGTCTCAGTGGCAGGATTAGGACCAGAACTGTGGCCCTGATGCCTGCCTCAGATCTTCCTTCTCTGCTGCTACAACCTCCAGGTACTTGTGAGGCTTGGAGGCAGAGCACTTCGATCACTGTACACAGGACTCTGTTCTAGAGACTTCTGTCTTGCACACTGAGCAAGTGAGAACCATGAAATTCAATTCTCTGACCTTTTTCATAGGAAAGACAGCCAATGCTGTCAGCATAGCCAAGTACTACAGCGCAGCCTGCTTGAACATTGACTCTGTTATCCTGGAAGCTATGTCCGATGGCAACAACAGCCCCGGGATGCGGGCCCGGGAGCTCTGCATCAGGGCAGCCATAGAACAGTCCATGAGGGAGGCAGAAGACTTTGGTAAGACTTCATTCTCTCCAGCTGGCACCCCTTCTGGTAAGCACTCCCTTTTCTGTATCCCCCACTGAACTTCCCTCCCACACAGCCTGGTTTAAGTCTGACTTGTAATATGCTGCCATCTTATCCCAGAGAAAAACTCTCTTCATCAAGCATGCAAATGTCCATCCCTGTCCAACGCAGGTGGCTTTTGGCACAGTAGGGAATAGAATGGTGAGTGGATGCACTTTTGGTGGGCTGAAACCCAGAGGGAAACCAAACTTGGGCACATTCAGCACAGAGAGAGATAATGTTGCAGTAGATGTGCCAGCTTTCATGAAGGAGCAAGTTCGGGGTAAGTGGATCCCAACAACAGTGATTTGGGAAAATTTTTCATAGAAATAGGCTTTGAAGGAGTAGTAGAAGATTATTAATAGACAAAAATAGAGACAAGGACATTCCAGACTAAGAAAGCAGGGAAGTTGATAGAAAGCCATGTGTGGGAAGGCAAGTTAGGGCCAATTATAATTGACTTTGCTTAGGAATTTGGATTTTGTTGAAGGAAAGAGGAACTGGGGCAGTTTTCACCTTGGTATCCCAGCAATCAGAAAGTCATGATAGGAAATAAGCTCCTATAATGTCTTGTAAAGGAAGAAGAATGATCCTGGGCCAGGTGGCCCTGTATCTACCTGCATGGACAAGAACTGAAGGAGTAGGAGGGATTTAAGATTTTTAGCCACAGAAACTAAGAGAGTAACATCACTTACCAAGATAGGGAACCCAGAAGGAAGAAGAAGATTGCTGGAGAGGAAATAATTGAGCTTTTGAATCCCACAATAGTGAAACCTGATGTGGCCTTCTCATCAGAAGTTGAGAATCCTAGCTCCAGCCGGTCAACTGAGGAACTACAAGGCAGGCAAGCAGATGCCTGGTGGAAACTATATTGAATACAAAGCAGAGTACCTACTCAGAGCAGAATCCCTTTCATGTAAATAGTCATGACATAATTTCTAATAATACTGTCATAACTGTAGTTGTTAAAACTAGTTGGGGCTTTCAGGGGCATCCCCTCCTCTCAATACCTCTGCTTATAGAAATGGAAGTTCTTTTCTGTGAAGATAAGAAAAACAACTCTTTAGTGGGAACCTGCAGCAATATGCTAATTCTAGTTCTCTTACATTTTTGTTTCCTTTTCTGATAAACTACATTTCAGAGCAATCTGTGCAGCTGTGTTAATGTCCTAGGCCAAATGGTGAATATGAGTTCCTTACATGGGAAAGCAGCATCAGGCTAGAGTCAATTGAAGAAGTCTTCCCCAGCCAAGTGAAAGGGGCAGCCACCAGGGTAGAAAAAAATCAGCCCAGAAAGAACCAGAATGAGAGAGGAGGGCCTTGGGGAAGACTAAATTTTAAGAGTTGGTGGAGGAGAAGCCAGGGAAGGCTCAGATGGTGGGTGAAAGGTCCTGAAGGCAGGGGACTGAGGAGAGTGGACATGAGGGAAGAGGAGGAGAGAACCCTCCCTAGGGTTCTGGAAAGGGGAAGGTGGAAGGGGCTTGCTCATCCTCCTGTCTTAGTGTTTTCTCAGCCTTTTCTCTAGTTAACATACCATTTATTTATTTTATTTTGTTGTCCTCTGGGGAGAACATGAGCTTCTGGGGTCAAGGATTTGTGTTAATTTTCCTCACAATGTATTCCAAGCACCAGGAGCAGTGTCAGGCACATAGTTGATATATAACTAAGATTTGTAAAAAGGTATTGAATCAATAATGAGCAAAAGGGATGGTGGAGTGGCTCAAGTGGTAGAGAGCCTTCCTGGCAAGTGCAAGGCCCTGGATCCAAACTCCAGTACTACCAAATAAATAAATAAATAAAATAATGAGCAGAAGCAGAAAGTGCTGAAAGCTCTATTAGACTGAGCCCTGAGTTGATTTTCATAGTCCAGAGGTCCCTGGTGCTTTTGGGAGCTCTTAGTGGAGGGATTAGGATGTAACCTACATTTGCTATCTGCTGTGGAGTTGACAGGCAGTAATGAAGTGGACAAATCCAAATATGCCTGTGCCAATCAGAAGGCACCAGACACAGGGGGCTACTGAGCACTTGAAACATTGCCAGTCTAAACCAAAATATGTGTTGGTGCACAGTACACACTGGAATGCTGAAGTGTAGAAGAAATAGGAGAGAATTAAAAACACTAATCGTTTTTATTCATGCTTTATGCATTGAAATAACAACATTGTTCACATATTGGGTTAAATAAAATATATCATTAAAATTGATTTTTAGCCAGTGACTCACTCATGTAATCTCTGCCTCTGGGAAGGAAGATATCAGGAGGATCATGGTATGAGGCCAGCCCAGGTCTCAACCAATAAGATCTCATCTCAACCATTAAGCCAGGAATGGTGGTACACACCTGTGGTCCCAGCTACATGAGAGGCATAGGTAGGAGGATCACAGTCTGAGACCGGGCCCTGGCAAAAATGTGAAACCCTATTTGAAAAATAACTAAAACAAAAAAAACAGCTGGAGGTGTGGTTTAAGTGGTAGAATGCCTGTGTAGCAAGTGCAGGGCAGGTGCTAAGTACCCTACTACTGCCAAAAAAGTTTTTTTTTAATGTAACTACTAGAAATTTTTTAATCATAAGTGTATATGGCTCATGTCATGTGTCTATTGTACAGAGCTAATGTAGAAACTGTTTTGAGAAACTGCGCAGGTCAGGAAGGGAGGGAGGAAAGTGAAAAGTTTTATTAGGATTATATCTGGAACTTGTTAAAGCATGGAGGGTGCCTTGGACAGGGAAAGGCCAGGGGCACATGGACACTGTAGAAGAGATTCCACAGCAACCAGTGAAGGGCAGGGGTGAGCAGGGAGGGGCAGGATCCACAGTGAAGCCAGCAATCATGTAGGAGGCTGGGCAGTCATGACCAAGGTAAGATCACCACTTCTGAAAGAGGCAGGCAGGGCCTGGAGGGACCTGAGGTGAAGGGGATGGGCCAACCTGGGACCAGCCAGTTCTATAATGAGCAAGACTTCACTGCTTCCACCTCTTTACTCCCCCAGATGATGCAATGTGGAGTCCCTGTTTCTAACCAGGGGGACCGGAGGAGGGAGTGGCATGAAAAGATAAAGCAGAGGGAGTTGTAATAATACCTCTCCAGGGAATCCTGGGGGCTTGTTTGCTGAAAGGATGAGCAATGAGTCTTAGTCTCCTGCAGAGCTGGAAAAGTATGGCTGCCTAGCACACAGCCACATCACTCTACCTTAGAAGGCCAACAACGTCTGCTACAATTCTGTTTTCTTTTGGGGATACATAGTCCATCCTCAAGGTTAGAATCCCAGAGGATACAATGAGACAGCAGCTTGATGTAGTAGGGAGAGGGGAGTGTTGGGGGACTTGGAGACTAAGAGGTGTCAGGAGTTTATCATAAAGATCAAAGCTTTCCTGCGAGGGTTTTTCTCAACAGCTTTTAAATAATTAGAATTTCAGAAGGGAGCTTCTCAGTGGGTAGAGGTTTGGAAGGGTGGTGTTCTGATTAGGAAAAGAGTTGGGAGTGAAAAAGGAGAAATTAATCTCATTCTATTTGCCAACAATTTCACTCTAACTACTTATTTGTTATTTGAGTGGCTCTGCTGGGAGCAGAGATGGCCCTCCCCTAGCTCTTCCTTAGCCTCACCACTACCTAAAATCTCAAAAGGTCAGGCTTTGGATTTCCAAGGCAAAGCCATAGTGTGCCAGCAATTTAAGAAATTATTACCCTCTGGGCTAGAAGAGAAAGTGCAGGCATACCAACTGAGGCCCTGTTGGCAGGATGAGCAGTAAAGAGCCTGGAACCCCAGGCCTAGCTCTCCACTGACCCATCATCTAATCTTCAGTGAGTAGAGTCTCCTCTTCCAACTTCCCACCCAGGTATTTAGCTACATTTGGGGATGGCTTTGTATTCCTTAAAAGAGTGACACAGTGGGCTGGGGGAGTGACTTGAGTGGTAGAGTGCCTTCCTAACAAGTGCAGAGCTCTAAATTCAAACCCAATACTGCAAAATTAAATAAGCAAATGAATGACTAAATAACTAAATAAAAACAGAGAGTGACACTAGGTTTCAATATGCCACCACCTCTGCCATTTCCTTCTTATCCTATGGTGACTTTTAATAAAAATTCACTTTCTCCTACTAGCCCAGGAAGGTTCTCTAAACCAAAATGCCACAGGACAACAACCACCACGACTGAGCACTGAGAACTTAGGCAAGTTTAACTCAGAAAGCACTCTGGTAACCCCGGAACTTAAATCTGGAAAAGCCGTGCGTGGAAGCCTGTTGCTCCCCAAAAGCAAGGCAGATAGCCATGGCTCTGGGTCACAGAAGCAGCATCACCAGCACCAGTCTGAAACACCACAGGTAAACCCGGGCCCTCTGGGAGGAGAGTTGGATCCTTTCTCCTTCTCATCATCCTGAAGCCAGGCTAGTGCCCTTTGTTTCTATGGGTATCCTTCCCAGGTCAGCCTAAGCTCTGTCCCTGCACCACTCCTAAAATTTACATTCACCCAACTGGTGCCAGGAAGTACCTTTTACATTATCAGTACTGAGTTAGCACCACTCCTAAAATTTACATTCACCCAACTGGTGCCAGGAAGTACCTTTTACATTATCAGTACTGAGTTAGATGCTGGCAAAGTGAAGATAAAATAAGGTCTACTGGAGGAGTGGCTTAACTGGTAGAGTACCTGCCTAGCAAGTGTGAGGTCCTGAGTTCAAACCTTGGTACCAACAATAAAGAAAGCAAGATCTTTGACCTCGAGCTGTACTAATGAAGAGTCTCATAAGGGAAATGATCACACTTGTGAATGTTTGCAAAAAAAATGAGATTATTGAGAAAATAGAGGTATGAAAGAAATTAAGTTGGACCATAGGAAATGGCCAATATTCAAACCATTTTGGCACTCCATAACAGCAATTTCCTATGGTTCAAGCTAGTACTAAGGGAATATGAAGGATGAAACCACTAGCACAAATGATAAGAGAGATACAGAAGGAATTTTGGAAGTCACAATTTGATTGACAAGCCAAGGGACTTAGAGAGCAATCTTGGCCAAGTAGCAGATACTAATGCCAAAGATAGAGGAGTGACGTGAGTAATGAGTTGTAGGTGGGAAAGTGAAATCAAGTAAGTAAGGGCATTTAAGATGCTTGAAAGAAAGGGTAAAAAGATGTAGTATGTGTAAAAAGGACAAACCCAAAGTGAAGAGAGTCTGGTTTTGGAAAGGAAGTAGAGGCAGAAGTAAGTGTATAAAGAAAGTATCTCCTAGGTGACAATCTACCCAAGACAAGATGAGATTCCAGAAGAAGATAGGAAGGGCAGGATTAAGCATAGTTAAAGGAGAAGGCAACTGGCTTCCTCTGGGGTTAGTAAAGGTAGAAACTGATACAGATAAAGGTGGGAGAAGCAAGATAGAGAATGGAAATGGGGAGGATCTTGCTGAATGATTCTGTGATGTATACAAGAGACATGGTCTTGTGCAGGAAGCAATGAAGAGGGTGGGCTTGCAGGGCACGCTGGAGTGAAAAAAGCACCAATGTCTCTACTACGGTGGATAGAACCAGAAATTGATGAGAGACAAAGAAAAAATAGTTAAGAATGGTGATGGCCCAACCTAGACTGGCAATCATAACTTCAAAGTTGTAAGATTTCTCTCCAAATGGCCCCAGAAGCCCTCATTCACAGGCATAGAGAGAAGAAATTTTGATCATTTCAGTGAGTGGGTGGGTTCAGAACTAGAGTAAGGAAGTTGAGATGACATTGGCAGAGAACCAGCCTACATAGAGAAGGAATTAAGAAGAGGACATAGAATGTGAAAACAGGAAGTATTAAATGTCAGTGGGCCTTACTACAGTTAGAGAGTGCTTCAAGGGCAGTGGGAGAAGTTGAGGTTTCAGAGTGGGTTGCTGAGGGGGATGGAGATGCATGATGGTCTTTGTAAGAGTTGAGGCTTATGCATTGGATGTAGCAGATGGATGAAGATTGCAGGTCTTCAAAAGAAAGGATACATGAAAATTGAATTGGGTCTGTGGGTGGAGTAAAGATTTAGGTTCTGATAGAAGAAGACGAATGGGACAAAGGTGAGGGTCTTGATGGAAGAAGAGGCCTGCAGGTTAGATGGAGCATCTCACAGGGCTGAATTTGTGCCAGATGGAGTTTCTGATCATTACTTCAATTTTACATTCATCTAACATCTTGAAAACTGAAAGTATTTTGTTTTGGATCACCATCTTTTAACCTTCTTTTTCAGGATATAAAATGCATATAAATAGGGTATTAGGGTAAGTCATTTTCTTTGGTTTGGTTCTGTTCATATAGAAGTAAGGTAAGGCTTTTTTAGAATACTCCAAAGGCAGCAGAAAATTCCAGTTCTGACTCCAACCCCTTCATAAGTAGGAAATCTAAATGTCACAGTAGAAAGTAGAGCTCATAGACACCCCCGCCAAGCAACTGCCTATACTGTGCTTCAGTGTGACAGGCCCTAAACAATCTGGACAACAGAGAGCCTCTGAGAGTGCTTTATCCAGACTCTTCTTGAAACTCAGAAAGCATGGATCCTCCAATTGTGATTTTGTTCATGTTTCAAATAGTAAGAAATGTGTGATGTGTTACTTAATGAAGATAGGGTCTATACTATAAGGCATTTTATTTACAAATCATTTTTCCAGGAAAGCACCAGCTATAAATCCTATCTTTTGAATAATATCTAATCCAACATTCTTGCTTCTCAATTGCATGTCGTCCTCAGCTGCCCACTACCATGACCATATCTTAGACATATGGTCACCATTACCCATAAACTCCAAGATCCCTACATTGTACATCCTATCTTCTGACAACCAACTTCAAACTAACTTTCCAGATGGCTTACTCTAGTAAGTAATGGGCCCCACGGAAACCTCCAGTCCACATTCTCACTTCCTGTGGTTCACCTCACTGTTTGGATTCCATAGTCTGTCACCATGGGCACTCTCTTGTGCCTTCTCTTTCATCATGTTCTCTAAACAAATCTCTAGCCCTCATAATGCAATTCTCTAGCAGCTGAATATAGATGGAGGGAAAATGATTCTCCTGAATGGTCTTAGTTTAAATTTAAGACCATGAATCTCAAGAGGGCCCTTTGGTCTGCCCTGGTAAGTTTTCCCTTCATTCAAAATGACTATTGTAGGCCCTCCTTACTTTCCTGACCTCTAAGATACTTTCTTCTCCCTCATTCTCAGCTGATGACCTCTCTGCTGATTTCATGGAGCTGGAGGCAAAGCAGAAGTCAAGCTCCTCATCCTCCCACCATCATGTCTCCCAGCCAGCCTTCTTCCTAACCCCGTGTTATGCTTCCCTGCAGTTGAACACCTGCTCTCATCAGGGGCTTATCCCACCACCTGTGCACTAGGCCCCTCCCTTCTCCCTTATTCAAGGGTTAAATTCCTGAAGTTGACCTTGATCTGCCATTTTCCCCACTCTATTGTATCCTTCCTTTTTCATGTCACCCCTCCTCCCCCTCCAGCTCTTAACTCATCCCTCAGCTCCCCTTCACTATAATTCCTCCAAAGGATTGCTGCAGGGACTACATCCTCATCCCCAGATGCCTCCACTTGCTCCACTGATTCCAGTGAGGCCTCTATACCACCATCCACCTCTGGCTACCTTCCCAGTGCTCACCCAGTTCCAGCCACATTGGACTCCTGTGTGCTTTCCAAACCCCTCAGCACACTTGCTGATCTTACTCAGAAAGGCCCTTCTCTTTTATCTTAGTCGTTGTGTCATATTACCCAGGTACATAGCCATTTACCAATCCTGTCATTGTTCTTTTCTTCTCTTACCTGGTCACTTCCGCCCTAGCACTCATCACTACCTGCAATTATATTACTGATTCACATACTAAAGTGCTTATTTTCCATCTCTCCCATGAGAATGTAAGGGCCACACCAGCAGTACAAACAAGTCAGCCTTGTTTGTTGTTGGATCCCTAGGTCCTGAGGATGGCCTGGTGCATTATGGGTGCTCAAAAAATATCTGTTAAATGAATGAACATATGTGTGCATTCACACAGAGAATCTCCACAATATTCCCACTTGAAGCTGCCAATAATTCTTTAATGAAGATAAGAATCTTCCATTTTGCCAGGCAATCCCCATTTTACAGCTTAGGCACTTGGAGAGACTAAATGATCTTTCTTGAGGTCACATGGCTTATAATTGTAGTTGTTGATCACAAAGCTGGACTCTGACTCCTGGTCCTCCCACTCAACAGATTTCCTCCAGCCCTCTCCTCATGGGGCCCACGCAGCGCCGGCTCAGTGTCAGTGCCAGTATTGGAGGTGATACAGGGCTGATGAGCTGTGTGTTACCTGATGAACTTCTTGTGCAGATCCTGGCAGAGCGGATACAGGTATGTCCACACCCACGTGCACAGAGCAGGCAGGCTTAGCACTTACACACTGTTCCCATCCTGTGAGCTGAGATTCTGGACCATTGGCCACTGACAATGGCTTAGAACCCAGAGACTTTGAAGATGAGTTTCTTTACCTCTAATGGTCATTTGTCCTTTTAACAGTTTTTACCAGTCTCTGACCCCAGCCCAGTCTGAAGCCTGAAGTCATTCCCCTTCTTAAAGAGCCAAGAGCAGAAGATTGCACATTCAAATAAAAAACAGAGTAGTATGTTAAAAAATTATAATTTGGAGCCATTAAAAGTTAGAATTTAGACTACATTAATTTCTATAAATATGTTTACATTATATGTTTATATTAAATGAAACATGTTTCATTTAATGTTTATAATTAAATGAAAAATGTAGATAATGAAATAGTATGTAAAGCAAAATTACATTTCTATATAAGTATTTATAAATGATATCACATACATAGTAAAGACTCTTATTGTACATGTTAACTATAGTTGTCTTTGGTAGCAGGCTATAGATTTCAGATTTATATTTCTGAATTGTTTTATAATGACATATTGCTTTTAAAGACAGGAGACCAACACTGTTTCCAATTTTTTCAATATTTTTATAACTTAAAGAAACAAGACCAGCAGGACTGGGAAGGGTATCATGTAAGCCTGGCTGCTGCTTATGGTTTGCAGACGGAAAGCTAAATTGCTCCCCAGTTCTGGTTTTTCAAACTGGGCCACTATTTTACATTTAAACAAAACAAAACTAGACAAGATTCCCAGAAGACTGTCCTCACCAGAAATGGTATTTGCTAAGGTTTGGGCTGCTACTGCATTAAAGGCACTCTCAACTGACTTGAGCGAGGTGTGTGCAGGTGTCATTATGTGTGTGGGTGTCATGTACCCAGGCTGGGGGCTGAGAGACATTGGTAAAGCCAGTGGTGCTCTGCTACTCATGAACTGGTCTTCGATAAGACAGGAAGCTTGCTTGCTGTTTCCTTCATCAACAAAGTCTTTCTCCAAAGAAAAGAAATGCCCGCTGAACTAAACAGGATGTTTAGTGATACAACCTGTTTACATTCTGACACAGCTTCTCATCCCACCAAATGCAAGGATCAGTTCCTTGCCAGTGGCAGCCGGGTCCTGGACCACACTTTGAGGAACACTGACTGATCCTCTGAAGGGGGCGCTGTTTTCTCGCTCCCTCCCTTGTTAGAGCGAGCTTTCTCTCTCTCACTCACTCCTGGTTATTACTGAACCTAACTGGGCTTAACTGGGGGCAACTGGAGATTCAGAAAAGATGCAGGATAGACAGACAGACAGAAAGTGGAGTCAGGTATGTTGGGCGCTCAGGTAGAGACACCCAACCCTCATTGCTTTTTTTCTCTATCTTTATTCTTTAAGGCCTCACTCCTTGCAGTTCTTTAAAACCTTGCTTCTAAAGTCTTCTTTAAAGACTCTTTCTTAAGACTTTCCCTGTCCCATGTTTTCTCTTAGCTTATCTTTAGCCTAATCGCTCTTAAAGTCTTTTGCCCCCAGGCTTGCAGCTTTTCTTTAGCATTGTCTCTTTAGTTTTCTTAAAGCCTGGGTGCTCAGACAAGCAAAGTCTCAGTCCTCTATCTTGCACTATTCCATGTTCTCTTTGGCTTTCTTTAGCTTCTAAGGCCTATGTTAAAGTTCTTTCTTTGGCTTTCTTTCCTAAGGCCTCTGTTAAAGTTCTGTCTTTGGTTTAGCTTGCTAAAGCCTGTGTTACAGTTCTTGGTGCAGACTTTCTATCAATCCCTCTTTAGCCATACTTTTCCCTTCAGCAATTTCCCTTTAGCAGTTCTTTCCCCTTCAGTAATTCTTTTTTCCTCCCAAAAGCTTCCTACACCAAAAAGCCCAAAGCAAAAGAATCAAGCCAAAGCCTAAGCCCAAACAGCCCAAGGCAAAAAGCAAAGGCCCCCCAGCCCTGGGGCCTTTTATCAAACAGGGTGGAGCAGAGGCTCTGGGGGAGGGGGCGTGAAATTGTAACAGGAGAAACCTGCGTTCCTACTTCTCTGAAGCTTAGGAGACACAGCTGTTGTGCTTTTTTCTGTTTCCTGGCCAGGGCTGTGCCTATCTGTGCCTATCTCAGCCTACAGGTAGAAGCAATTAAGCCACATCTCACCTTGCTTACGTCCAGTTCTCATAGGCTTTTCATAATCCGCTTTCCACAATCCTCAATGGTTGATATCACAAAAATCATTGCACTCCAAGGCAGTGAGCCCACTGAGGAAAATACAGAGACTGCCTTGTTACCTGTTGTTCTGTGCGTGGGACAGCTCGTTTTCATCATATTCTATATGCCTCATGAATCTTCCCAGACTCTTATTCTGACATCTTGTTTGTTCCTTTATTCTATAGAGACATAGAGATCTTTTGTGGCTGAATAGATATTTTTTATTCTTTCTTTTATTTCATGACTATAACTTCCTTGCTCTCTTTGGTTCCAGCTGAGTGACTGCTACCGAGGAGTGGTGTTTGATAGCCTCGACACACTCTTCGCTCGGAATGCACCTGCCGCCCTCCTCTGCCTGCTGAAGGCCATCGGCAACAGGGAGCACATATATGTTCTCAACATGGCCCAGGATTACATGTTCATGAAGGCCCAGGAGAAGGCCAAAAAGGAGCAAGAAGGCAAGGCCTCTAACCTCCCTGGCTTCCCTTCCCAAGTCCTAACAGGTCTTCCTTTTCCACAGGGCCTTAGGCTTTTCAACCTGTTTACCTGATGTGATAGTCCACTCTGCTTAAGTGAAATTTTTACACTGGCTCTCTCACTGCTGTCTCACCTCTGCCCAAGGAAGTGGTCAGAGGCTTATGTGTCTCCTTTGATATGAGGGGCCTGAGACAGAAGCAACCTGTTGGAGGGTAGATAATGAAGGCTGAACGTGATCTCTACTTACAACAGGCTTGGGGAGAACTCACATGGGGCCATCCTGACTCCAGGTTGCTTTGCTGGTTTGGTTTAAGCCAACCACATTTCCTAGAAAACTAGAGGGATTGGTAAATTTTATAAAATGGCCTCTATATTCGAGGCTTCTGTGTGCTTGGCACTACTGAAGACAGTTTGCACACTTTGGGTCATTTAATTCTGATAGTAACTCTATGAAAATCATTGTCCCCATTTTAGCTCAGAGATAGAAGAAATCTTGTCAATATCACATTGTACATTAGTAAGAGAACCAGGTCTGTGTGACTCTAAAACCTTTTCTTTTTCTGTCATGCCAATGGCATAGGAAAAAACCATCAATAATTGAAAGATTTGATTGAAAAATAGATACACACAACAACACAAAGTAATGTTACTTAAATTCTCAGTTTAGTCAGAAGCAGACCTAGCAAAGCTTGGCCTCTGGAGGACAGTGGTGACATTGTCCCTGGAAGGCAGAACCCTGCCTCTGATAGGGCACACTACTGTTCTTTGCTTGGGCTTACCTCTCTTCTGGCACAATCTACACAAATCATCGTGCTCACAAACACTGAGCTGCCATCATCCTTGAAAGGAACTCAAAGGCTGCTTCCTTAATTCTCATCAGAGAAAAATCAGGACCAAAACCAAGCATCCCCAGAAGTATTTCACCCTTTACCTTCCTGGTTTTCTGGAAAGCTCATCTTCTCATTCTGATCCACTTAAAAGAAATTGCTACTTTTCATTTTCTCAGTTACCTTTGGATTGAAGATTCTCCCAGTTAAATTGTGGGCTCCTTACCCCTAGATCATCTACCTTTGAAAAAAATCCTAAAGTAGCATACAAGAACAGTACTATTATATTAAAATCTAATTGAACATGCATAAATGTGCAAGTTACTAGAGTATTCAATCCCTACAACTCTAGGAAAGAGGAATCATTCTTCTTCTATGTTATTACCTCTTGACAAGTAACAGGGGATAAAACTCAAAGGCAGATCTCTGAGTCCAAGCTCAAACCTGCAAGGATGTAAGGTGAGGATGCTGGATGCTATGCTGGGAAGTGTGACCTGGAATCTGTAGGATAAGTAGGGGAATTCCTCTTGGTTTGCAAATAACTGTCACCCTGTGTACTTTGGTGGATGCTCATAATGGGTAAAGACAGTGGGTGGCATATTAGTTTCTTATCATTGCTGTGACAAACTGCTATCTTAGTCTGCTCAGGCTGTCATAACAAAATACCATAGACTGGGTAGTCTTTTTTGTCATAGTTATGGAAGCTGGGAAATCCAAGATCAAACAGATTCAGTGTCTGGTGAGGGCCATAACCTGGTCATAGAAGGAGTCTTCTTGCTGAATTCTCACCTGGTGGAAGAGGCAAATCAGCCCCCTCAGCCTCTTTTTATAAAGGCACCAGTTCCATTTGTTAGGGCTCCATCTTCACACCCTACCTGTTAGTATTATCATATTAGGGATTACACTTTCATATATGAATTTGGGGGACTCAAACATTCAGACCATAGCAACTACCAGTTTGGTGACTTAAAACAACACAGGTTTATTATGGTACAGTTCTGGTTTCAGAAGTCCTAAAAACAAGGTGTTAGCAGGGCTGTGGTCCTTTGGAGGCTATGGTAGGGGAGAATCCTTTTCCTTACCTTTTCCAGCTTCTAGAAGCCACCTGCATTCCTTGGCTCATGGTCCCTTCCTTGCAGCCCTCCAACTTCTCCCCTTATCACATTTCCCTCTACTTCTGTGTCACATTACCTTCTCTGACTCTGGCTCTCCTGCCTCCCTCTTACAAGATCCTTGTGATTAGATTGGACCAAGGATTTAGTTTAATGACATCTGCAAAACACCTTCTGCTACAGAAGGTAACACATAACACATTCATGGGTTCTGAGAATTAAGACATGAGCATCTTTGGGGGCTGCCATTCAGCCAACCACATATGAAACCCAAATTTGGCACTGTGGGAATGAAAGAATCCCAGAAGTGAGTAGGAATGCCAGCCACCCACCTGCCACCTCTCGCTGTCACAGCTTGGATAGGCTGAGAGCTAACCTGCTGTTGGCCTTGACCTCCCCTCCTCTCTCCACTCCCCCACATAGAGCACAAACGCAAGGAAGCTCTTCAGAAAGAGAAGGAGCGTCTCCAAAACATGAATGAAGAAGAATATGATGCCTTGACAGAGGAGGAGAAAATCGTGTTCGACCGGCAGGTGTGGCAGTTGCTCCGGGAGAGGAAGAAGAGGTGGGCACCAAGGGCAGGCAGGAACAGAAGTTGTTCCTGGGAGGAACTCGTAAGGAGACCAGGGTTGGCATGGTGCATTTTCAGCTCTTGGTCACAACTGGGAGGGGAGCAGTAGCCACAGAAGACCCAGGAGGAGACCTGCCTCCTCAAGAGAGCAGGAAAGCACATCATGCACTCTCCGTCTTTCTGCTGGGGGCATTTGGGAACCGTAGGAAGCACCCTGGGGAGGGGCTTCTGGCCCTTGTGCTATCCCTGGGACCCTGCCGGCCTCCCTACCAAGTACACTTCCATACATAGGTGTTCACAGCTGATGACTCAGCATCCACTCTCCTGACATGGCTATAGTGGCTGCTCCCCACAACTCAGTCATTTATCTTACTTCCTAAGCCTTCCTCTTGGTTGTATTGTACATCCCATGAGGTCTGGCTGCCTCTGTCTGTGATCCCTGACCTGGGCAATTCCCCCAAGACCCAGGGCAGACTCACAACCACCAAACACAGCCACCTTCTGTTCCCCTTACTGGGGACCATATAGAAACAACTCATCCTGTCTATACCACCTAGAGCCCTGGAGAGTTTGGGAGGGGAGCACTCAGAGATACAGGTGGGCAGTGGGGCATATGTTCTTTCTTTCCTCAGATCTTCAAACATAGCAGGACTAGGTGACTCTATTGCCTACCCACTCCTTGGAGTTTTCAACATTGGAGGGGCGGAGCCAAGATTCTTACCTACAATCCTGGTTTGTCCTCTCCCTCCACCTCCAGACTCCTCCCACTGACCCCACAAATGCTTTTTGCACCCCTGCCCCTATAGCATACTGTCAGCCTTTCTCCTGCATGGTGTATTATAGAAACATCTAGCTCTCCAGAGGCAGGCCAAACCTAGCTTTGGTATACTGAAAGAATCTTCTTTCTCACCAAAGCTTCTGCTTACAAGTGTTGTCTTCACAGTGGACTTAGAAAATGCAGAGCTGCAGTGAGTTTGTGTCACACACACACACACACACCATGAAGTTTGATGAGTTAGCCTTAGTGAGCAGAGAGCCACAGTGACCAGAATCACCTAGAGATTCCTGGAGATGAAAGGAGATGGGTTAGATATTTTCAAAAGTGCTGTCCCCTCGCTTGTTCACCAGCTTTGGTCTCTGCTATTTGCTGCAGGACGTGCACAGAAGAAAGGGAAGGAGAGGAAAGTGGCTTTCAGACCCAGTATCACGGCTCCAAGCTAGCCATGATAAGGACTGCTATTCTAAACACCATTGCTTATTGTCTGAACACCAGATGTGACAGGATAGGAGGCTACACTAATACCGGAACTATCTTTGAATGTTGTTTTTCAAAGATCAAGCGTATTTTCAGCACTTGACTCATTCTTCCTTAAAAGGAAATTCAAACCGAAATACAGATTAATTGAACAGTCCTCCTAGTTGTGGTTAGCTAATCGGATTTACTGAATAATCATTCAAAGATAGATGTGGCCCATTTCTTTCCTTCTTTCTTTCCCTTCTTTGCCCTTCCTTCCTTCTCCCTCCCTTCCTTCCTCTTTCTCTCCTTCCTTCCTTATTCACCCAGCTTTCTTTTGTTCATTCTTTCTTTTCATGCCTAAGAAAGCTCGATCCAGGGTTCCTCATCTGGCAGTCCCAGGTAGGCAGAGGCTGAGGAAGGGGACCATGAACTCTGTTTCTTCTATCTGGTTTGATGAAGGGAGCTGGAGAGGATGGCCAAAGAGATGCAAGAAAAGAAGCTACAGCAGGAACTTGAGCGACAAAAGGAAGAAGATGAGCTGAGACGGAAAATCAAAAAGCCTAAGCAGGGCCTCATGAAGGAGGAATCCCCCCTGAAGAAATCACAAGCAACAAACAAGCAGGTAGAGGAGCAACCACCATAACCCACCAACCAACCCAGCATATTTCCTCCCCAGAAAACTGACTAACCATGTTTGGATTTTTGTGGTGAGCCAGTAGGTAGGAGTTCCAGGCCCATCACTGTTAAGCACAGACTGAATCTAAGTACTGGGCCTATGCTTTACCTGATGGCACATTTTTGTCATCCTAATAATCCATCCATGGTTCAGAGATGAAGTCACAGTTCTAGGACCCCACTGAGTTATGTCTGACCACAGCCCTTTCTCTTTTCTCTGCCCTCACAAGACCCTGAATTGTACTAATGGGCTAGCATTAAAGATTTGCCTCCCAGAAGTCACAAAGTCTCTGAGACTAGTATGTTCCTTGACAGTAGTTACTAAGCTCCAGCATAAAGACAAGGCCACCAGTCTATCACCCTGCCAGGCATAGTAATCACATCCCTACCTGCTGTGACACAAGAAAGTCAGAATGGCTAGAGCAGCCTCCTCAGTAGTGACTATGGCCCAGGGGTGAGACTAGATGGTATGGGCAGAGCTGCTTTAGTACTATGAGTTCTAAGGGCTAAGCTAAAGCCAGACTTCCAGACAAGCTGCAGACTGGTCCAAGTAGATAATGAGTAAGAGGCAGTGACAGCAGCCAGGTAGATACAAGGGCAGAAGAATCAGTGTCCATAGGTCCCACTGAGGAAGAGCTTAGAAAGAAGCAGGGGCTAAGCCTACTGGCCTGGGCACAAGTTAAGGATGCCAACCTGAAGGAAGTATGTGAGCTCTCAGGTGAGAACAAAGGGGGTACCCAGGGAGGATTACAGAGGCTGGTACCTGCCTCTCTTGTATGATGCTGCTCATGAAGCAAGGAGGGAGAATTGAAGTAACTGTGTGAGGCACCATTCTTTTTACAGTTAACAAAGCCCATTTCTTATTTGAAAAAAGTTCAGAATAATCAGTGCAGAATTTAACTTTCCTGAACTTGCTTTTAAAAGATAACATTTAACACATCATTAAAAGGAAAATTAACTGGAGCACAATTAACCTCAAATTATGCCCAGTGACTTCTCCAGCAGGTACTGTTGAAACTTTTAGTTAAGAACATACAAGACCCTTCTTTTCTTCTCAGCTCAAGTGACTGTGACTTGAGCACTGCCCCCACTCCCTAAGTTCCCACCCACTACCAGATACAGGGCAAGGTTTGTTGACCTTGGGCATGGTGGGAGGGGCCATGTCATCATCATCCATTTGGGGACAACCCTGAGCTTAGCACAAAACACAATCAACCATATTCCCTAAGGAAACTTCTTGAGACCCTTCTTGGACTAATGCAGTAGCCTTGTCTGAAAACACTAGCTCAGGAAAATGTACTGAGACTAAATACATCCTCAGGAAGTGAAAGAAGATCCCATGTGCCGGGTAACAGGAAAGGACTGGAGACTTCCTGCTTCCTCATTGAAAAGCTGTCTCCATCTCTTGGGCCAGCAGCACCATCTATTTCCCTCTCTCTGCTCTGGCTTCAAAGCTTCTTCTCACAGGCCTCTTGCTTTAAGTTCTGTTTTAGAATCACTGACCTTGAAAAGGAAAAAAAGCCTCCTCAGCCCTGGTGCCTCCTCCTACTGGCACCATTTCCCGCCTTCATTCATAATTAAAAATTTCCAGAATTGTCCCCATTTGCAGGCTTTAACTGCTCACCTCCATTCATGCTCAGACATTTTCTACCCTGACTTCAGTCTCCTTCAGTCCCTTCTGTAAAATGCTCTGGTGGCTTCTCCACCAGAGCACCACTGAACTAACTGTACACAGTTCAGTGCTTGACTTGCTTGGCTTCCTTTGTAGGATTTTTACTCTTGACTGTACCATCCTTTGAATTTTCCTCTTTCTCAGCCCATTTGTCCTGGCTTTCCTTTGTCCTCTCATTCTAGTTCCTTTCTGGCCCCTACCTCCATCCATCCTTAGTTATTCAAGAGGTTTCTAGCCTCAGCCTTCTTCTCTTGCCACTTGGAATTTTTATCCCATCTTTTGTGGTTTGAATTTTAAAATGTCCCCTGAAGGCTTCTGTGTTACAAGCTTGGTTGCCAGTTGGTGGGCTTTGAGGGCGATTGGATCATGAGGGCTTAAACTTAATCAGTGGATGAATTCATTGATGAGTTCATAGCTGAGTGGACAATTAGAAGGTGGGACCTGTTTAGCGGAAATAATCCACTGGGGGAGGGCCTTTGAAGGGCGTATCTTGTCCGCAGACCCTACCTCTATCTCTTTCTTTCCCTGAGGTGAGCAGCTCTGCTCTACCAATCCCTCTCCACCATGACTCACTCCACAGGCCGAGAGACACGGAGCCTAGTGACCATGGACTGAAACCTCTAAAACTGTGGACCAAAATAAACCTTTCCTCCCTTGAATTGATTTTCTCAGTTATTTTGTCATAGCAATGACAATTTAACTAATACACCATCCCACATGTGACTTCATTGCTACACACTAATCACACAGGGGAGTCAAGAGGAGCTTGTGAGTTCAAAAGGGAAGGCAGGGCCCTGCAGGCAGATGGCCAGCCCAGATGTGAGAGTGGAGAGGAAGGCAGGCGCCATTTGTCAGTTAAGGTGTTGGTAATTTACCAGCATGGTTACAATGTTAGTCTGACTATTTTCTCTGTTTTTAAGATGCTTTTCTTTGTCTTTAAGATACCTCACCATCTTTAGGATGTTTCATGTTTGCTCAATAACATACCATGATTTGCCTATGTGTGGTTTTCATTCTGTTTTATCCATTTTCAAGTCTGTGGGTTGGGAAACCAAAATTGCTTCTCCTCCATTCTTTTTCTGTTCTCTCTCAAGGATTCCAACCACATAGACTAACCCTTTTGCAAAGTTTTCACAGTATTCCATTTGTCTCCTATGATTTTTGTAGATTTTGCATGCTTCTGTCTTCTCCTGCTTCACACTGGAAATGTTCTTCTGACAGTTTGTTCTGTTCATGGTCTTTCTTCAGTGAGGTCTTATCCATTGTTTAAATCTTCTTTCAAGCCAGGTACAGTGGCTTACACCTGTAATCCAGCTACTCAGGAGGCAGAAATCGGGAAGATCACACTTCAAAGCCAGACCCAGCAAAAAGTTAGTGAGAGCACATCTCAATCAGTAACCCAGGTATGGTGGTGCACACCTGTCATCCCATCCTATGCCATAGGAGACATAGGTAGGAGGATCGAGGTCTGAGGCCGGCCCTGGGCAAAAACACAAGCAGTACCTGAAAAATAACAAAGGCAAAAAAGGGCTGAGGGCATGGCTCAAGTGTTAGAATACCTGCCTACCAAGTGTGAGGCCCTGGACTCAAACCTTTGTATGACAAAAAAATAACAATATTTTTTCAGTTCTTAATTTTGTTACTAAATTGGGAAGCTATTGATTCTTTTCTTATTATTTCTAGTTCTCTTCAAAATTCTCAATCTTGTCTTATAATGACTTCAACATATTGAATTTTTTTTTTAGACAAGCCCTCACTATGCAGCCCAGGCTATTCTGAACTTGCTATGTAGCCCAGGCTGGTGTTGAATTCCTGGTCCTCCTGCTTCAGCTTCCCAAGTGCTGAGATTATAGGCATGATGCACCACATTTGGCTTATTAAACATATCTGTAAAGTCATTATCTGATAGTGTCAATACACAGATTTCAGTCTTTTCTGTTGCCTGTCATTTGCTCTTGGTTTATGGTCATGTAGCCTTGTCTCTTTGGGTGCCAGGTTACTTTTTATTGAACAGGAAAAACTATACAAATAGTTCAAGGCTCTGGGCAATATTATCTCCCTCCAGAGAGAATTGCTATTTGACTCTGGCAGCCGGCCTTCTAGTCTAGGAGCACTACAGGTCTTAATGCAATCAGGAGTGAGCTCATTTGAAACTGGGGTTCAGTTCCTGGAAGGGCTGGGCTATTTCAGGATCCTTCACCCTTACACCTGGGATGGAGCACTTTAGAGTTCTAACCCAAAGGCTTAGGAATCCCAAGCCTCTTTTACTCTGAAGGCCCAAAGGCCTTTGAACACCAGCCCCATGAGTCTATCAAAAGATTTGGGGTTTAGAAGTGTAGCTCAAGTAGTAGAGTGCCTGCCTAGCAAGCACAAAGCCCTGAGTTCAAACCCCAGTACCACAAGAAAAAGAAAAAAAAAAAAAGCTTTACTCAGATTCTCAGCCACACTTTCAGCTGTAAATGCCCTTAAGGGAAAAGCAGCCCCCAGTGGTAGGTCACCCCTCTGTCTTTCTCTCCTCTCCCAGACCTCAGCCTTCAACTCATTACTGCCTTTATGGCCCTCTGGTGCCATGGAATGTTTAATGTTTTATGCAGATCTTCCACTTATGGGTGTTGAATTATATGACATGATTTATTTTTTGTCTTCAATCAAATCATGTAATAGGTTACATATTACACTATTAAATCAATTTGTTTTAGGAATTAGGTTTATCCAGGTTTTCTTTTACTTCCAGAGTAAACTTGATCATTTGTAGTTATCTTAAAAAAGTATTTTCAAATATATTAGCATAAAGTAATTCATGGTATTATCTTGCTATCTTTTGAACCTCTTCTGTATCTATAGTTATGTCCTCATTATCTTTCCATATGTTGCTTATTTGTACCCTCCTCTTTTTTATTTTTCTCAATCTATCTTAATCGAAGTTTGTCATTTTTATTCTTTCCAAAGAAATAGCTTATCTCCATTGTATGTTTGCTTTCTAACTAACTAGTTTCTGTTCCTCGTTTCGTAATTTCCTTCTTTCTACTTTATGTTCTTTCTCCTTTATGAACTTCTCAAGGCAGAGCCTAATCTTATGAATTTTCAATTATTATTATTTCCTGATTTATCAGAAGAAACTTCCAAACAGTATTTTAGATATATTCCTTGTTTGTTATTCAATGTTTTATTCCTGCTCAATTCTAAATATTTTCTACTATTCTTTATAGCTGCTTTTTTAACTCATGAATTATTGCAAAGTATATTTTCTAATTTCCAAATGAATGGCTCCCTTTAATTTCTGGTTTTAGAATACCATTTTCAGAGAATGTGTTCTATATCATTTTGATCTTTCACATTTGTTGAGCCTCTGGTCTCACATGTGATTAGTTTTTGTAAATACACCATGTATGTTAGAATAATGTGTATATTTTCTTTTTGCATCCATTCTCTCATGCTCATAACCCATGTTGTTAAACTTTCCTATATTCTTAGTAATTTATTGTCAACCTTCAGCTGCTCTATGCTGGTTCTTACAGTCTTCCAAGTACAAGTTGTAAGGAACTGCTAAACAAAGACCACACCACGTGTGGAAAAGAAAAATTTATTGAAATACAGACTGCTGGGCTGTCTCCCTTGGGATCAGGTTGCAGCAGCTTGGCTGGAATGGGTAGTGGGCTTTATTGGAGGGGCTAAGCCATGAGGGAGGGAAAGAGTTTCTGGTCTCTGATTATCTGTGATCACCAGATGGAATGGGTCAACATGGCTAGCTAGTTGAGAAACTGGAAGTTCCTGAGATTTTGCAAGCAGGGAAACAAGCAGGGAAGTTTGGCAAGCGGTCATAAATCAGAAGGTCTGATTTTGGTGTTAGCCTTGGGACTCTCCGCCCACCCCAAGAATGCCAGGGACCTAACATAAGTCAATGGAACTACCTTCTATACAAACCATTCGTAGTGGATCTCCAGACCAAGATGAATGCAGTAGGATCCAGGTGCCTCCCCTCCCCACATGAGCTAAAGTGAAGTGATAATCTACTCTGTTCAACAGCTTTTCTGTCATGTTGCCATCTCTTCTGGCTATGTTGGAGATGGAGAAAGTAGCATAAAAGAGGCACAGTGAGGTGAGAGGGAAAGCCAGCCACTAGTCACTCGGGACTCTAAGCCTGCAGCAGGCTTGAACTTGGAGGGAATAAGAGCTATCACTTGCAAGGGGGACACTGGGCTGTACTTCAGATGGTGGCCATTAGACCACAGTGGATTTGATATCACCAAAGAATAACCTGTAAAGCAATGGAACCTAAACAAGGATTTCATCCAAAGGAAGAGAAAAATCAAAGCCTACAAAACAAGTTTGGAAGGGCAGGAAGAAAAAGAATAAAGTTGGTTTCTGTGTGCCCAGTTCCTTCAAAAAATAGGTATTTTTAAAAGCCTGGAGTGTAGTCAGATTCTAAACTCCCATTTATTCTCCAAAATATCCTTTATACACAACAGCTGTGTAGTTTTAATAACTTCATACTCATAGAACCCTTTCCCCATGGCATGTACAATTGTAAGGCTTTTTTATGTATTCATATATTTAATCTCTGGTATAGTTATAATATTAATATTACTGTCTTTATTATACAGATTGGACAAAGAGGTTCAGCCCTTGTCCAGGGTCATACAACTAGCAAGCAGTGCAGCTGGGATTAAACCACTATATTCTCTGGCCTCTCCCAGGACACTTGAAAGTGGGTGGCAAAAGCTGGTCTTTTCCTGTGATCCTTCAGAACTCTCAGACAAGAGAGCACATTAACATCACTGTGCACCTTTCTGAATATGCACCATGCCAGGGTCCAGGCAGAGACACAACAGGGCAGAACCCTGCGATGGACATTCAAATGAATGTCCCCAAAGTGATTCTTAGGCCCAACCTTAGTGTGCAGAAGAGGAGCCTGAATCCTATGAGGCCTTATGAAACAAAATATTCCTTTGCTGTTCCCATATGCAGTTTGTTCACCCCAAATAAACTATTTTGAGGTTTTTTGTTGATTGGTGGTACTGGGGTTTGAAGTCAGGGCCTCACACTTTCTAGGCAAGCTGTCTATCGCTTGAGCCATTCCACCAGCCCAAATAAACTATTTTAAGCATAGTTTGTGTTTTACCTTCTAGATACCTACTGCTACCAGACTAGATATGAAGAGTGAGTCAATAGAAAGGAAGTTTCTGTCAGAGATCAACCTACCTCTGAGAAGGAAGATCCAAACAAGAAAAAGAAACCCATTTCTGACACCAATACGATTGGGTTTCCTCCTGTTCAGGAACAAGAGGACAGTGAAGGGGACTTCCTGAAGGACACTGACAAGCAATTGGCCCAAAAATTTAAGGTCTATGACTTGTGTTTGAAAGAAATCCAGAACACCCTCGTGTACTGGGACCGGAAACAAGGAATTCAGATGCCTCACCCAGGGGTGGAGGAGGCATCCCATGAGCCAGATGACCAGCGCCAGTTCCCCTCTGGTGGACGTCGGGGCCGTAAAGACCGAGAGAGAGAGCGCTTAGAGAAGGAGCGGGCAGAGAAGGAGCGACTGGAAAGGGAGAAGGCCGAGAGGGAGCGCCTAGAGAAGCTTCGGGCTTTGGAGGAGCGGAGCGACATGGAAGGGGATGGTGAAGAGGACCATGAGGGAAAGAAGGATCTGGGCGTGCCGTTCATCGACATTCAGACTCCTGACTTTGAAGGCTTGAGCTGGAAGCAGGCTCTGGAGAATGACCAGCTTCCCAAAGGAGAGCAGGTATAGGCTCTTCTCCAGGATGAAGTAACAAAGGAGGCAACAGGCCTATCCTGTCGTAAAAGTGTTTCCTTCTATTGAAAAATCCACATCCCCTCAATTTCACTCATCTCTGGTGCCCTCTTGGATATAAAACAATAATAGCTACAGGGACCTTTGTGCATTTGGCAAAAGAAAGTCCCACCAATCTATATTATTCCATCTAACTTCATAAAAGGCCACCTGTACAGTTTATCTTTAATTGTGACAACATTGGTGCTATGGAATAGCAAGGCAGGTGTGCTTTGGAGTCAAGCAAGAGACTCAACTACTCCAAAATCTCTTTCCCACAAGCATCCCTTAGTGACAGGGATTAACCTATTAGTAACCTTTTATTCCTATACACAAAAGTATTACACATCAAAAGACCACTGTTAGTGGTGGTTTAGAGATAGGAGAGGCATTTGACTTTTGTCCAAGGATAAACTTTTTTCTGTGAGGACCAGAAAGCAAAGTTTTAGGCTGCAAGTCATACAGTCTTTGTCACAACTACTTAACTCAGCTTTGGGGTGGTGAAAACAACCACCAAGATGTAACTGAATAGGAGTGGCCATGTTCAAATAAAACTACCTACAAAAAAGTAACAGGCCATATTTGGGGGAGGAAGGCTGCAGTTTTCTGACCTCTGGTTTAGCTTATCAAAACTAGGTACAATCTTCAGAAGTACAAAATGGAGTCTGAGAGTAATGAATGGCAGGATATTGAGCAGGTTCTGGGAGATTGAGCAGACTCTGAAGTAATGTGTCCTCATGGTAAGTATTGGGTGGATCAAAGAAGACAGTGTGTGAACACATAGCACCAACTGCATTTAGTTCACAGTTTTGCCTCAGGCCAGCCTTAGATAAAGAATTGTGATTTTTTTTCCCAGAAATATGTTATTTGAAACAGAACTATAGCCAGGAATATCTTGTCTTGTTCCCTCTACATTCCAAGTCATAGGTTAGACTGTTGCTTGAAGAACCTCCGGGCTCACATAATTTATCTCTTTCCTCACAGACATTTTAAATCCTCGGAGGTAACACCAGCTCCACATTCGAATGGCGTTAGCGCCCTGACCCATAGATAGGAAACACAAGATTACACAAAGGTGGTAACTTGCTAGAATCACCACACCACGTGATCCACAGAATGGGCACTCTGGTGGGCTATAGCCCTGAATGTTGTGATGGCAGCAATTAATCTAGGCATGGTATGCCTGTTCTGTCCTTTGTACACCTCTTTGCTCATGCATTATGAGTCAGAAAAGAATGGGAGAATACCCAAACCTTTGCTTTGATTTTTTTATTGTGTGTGTGTGTGCACACACACATGTATGTGTGAGTTCTTTGCTGTATTTGACCTGCTCCCATCCTAACTTCCTTTCACTTTGGAAAGGATGAGCATTAAAACAAAAAAAAAAAGGAAAAAAGGGAGGGAGGAAAGAAAGGGAGGGAGGCAAGAAGGAAGGAAGAAAGGAGGAAGGGAGGGAGGAAAGTTAACATGGAATCTGAAATTGGATAGAGGAGCTCTATACTGTAGACATCAGACGTTGAACCCTGGTCTATTTAAGTTACATATATTTATTTAAGTGCTAGGCCATGTGCTGGATCAACCTGGTTCCTGTCCTAATGGAGTTTGCAGTCCATTTGCAAAAACAGACAATTAAACCAAGTCAGTGAGAATTACAGGGAGCCCAGAGCCACAGTAAAAACCCCAGCCTGGCTTAGGGTACAGGATCTAGAAAGCCCTGCAGAGCTGGGTCAGAGTCCCTTCACATCCTGAGTTGCAGGAGTGTCTCTCAAGAACATTGAGGGAAAAGGAGAGGGTGAGCCACCCTTGCTCACTCAGGGAGGGGTTAGGGTTTACCCACCCTCACAGGGAATTAACTTGGGCTTCCTTTTAGATCCTGGACATCTTGGGCCTGGGGTCCTCTGGACCACCCATCCTGCCTCCTGCCTTGTTCTCAATCATCTCATACCCTGTGAAGCGGCTACCCTTGCCCCCCATCGACATCCTGAAGCACTTTGTGTTTGTGAGCCCACCATCTGATGACCTCACCCTGCCAGATGAGAAAAAAGAAGTGGAAGCAGAATCAGAGCCCTCGGTCAGCCCCATCACCACCAAGGTAAAGCAGCCGAGGCTGGTTCTTCTGGCCTTGGCATGACTTCAGAGGCAGGGCAGGAAGGGTATCCCACATGGCCAAAACCTGAGTCTGGTGGGAGGCATGTTTCTCTGGATGCATGGGGGTCTGCCTAATACCCTGGCATGAGCCCTCCTTTTCCCCCACCCCCAAGTTAAACCTTCTCTACTTCTGGCTACCCTACGGCCCATGAGAGACTGAAGATGACTTCTGCTTCCCTGCTAACCTTTCCAATCCACAGGGAACAATCTAGGAAACCTGTCTGTTACCTCACCATGAGGCTCAACTGCAAGAAAAAATAAGCAAAAGTATATGGTTTTTTAAAAAACTAAGAAAATGTGTTGTGAAACTAAAGTGGGTAAACACAGTGGGTAAGAATATAAGGATCAACAGACACCAGTGACAGAAGCATGCTCCACCATGGAAGGATAGATTGTTAAAGAAATTGCCATGACAAGGTTGGATATTTTGGGAAGAGTCACTTTTTAGCTCCTTGCCTGGAGATATGTTAAATTCCAGTTGGATTAAAAAGATAAGTGATCAAAATAATACCATATAAAAATAGAATAAAACATATATGCAATCAATAGAATAAATTATGAAAGGTAATATATTTGAACAATAATATGCCAAAGATATGAGTATTAACATTATACAGGGGCTTTTTATCCCCAGAGGGGAATGGTGGCCCAAAACTTGAATCCCTCTACACCTTCTCCTACAAACCATGCATCTGAGCAAGGAAAGAAATAAGATCACCTGTAGGACCTGGTAGCTCCTATGGAGGTGACAGAGACTGGCCCGAGTTCATTGTACAAGCAAGTGGAAAATCAGCATCCAAGGCCAGCAGCTGCATTAGGGAGTGTCTTGCAAGAGCATACCATTCATGCTGGGTTTTCAAAAGAGACTAAGAGAAACCAGGTGGGGTGGCACATACCTGTAATCCCAGCTACTCTTCTAGAGAAGTACAGATCAGGAGGATCTCAATTCACAGTCAGCCCAGGAAAAAAGTTAGCAAGAGCCCATCTCAACCAACAAGCTGGGCATGGTAGAATGTACCTGTAATTCTTAGCTATGAGGTGTAAAGAGGTGGATCTCAGTCCAAGGCCAACCCCAGGCAAAAAGTGCAAGACTCTATCCAAAAAAAAAATAGCTAAAGCAAAAAGGACTGGGGGCATGGCATGGTTAAAGTGGTAATGAGGCCCTAGGTTCAAATCCAGTACCACCAGAGAGAGAGAAACTGTCGTCATCATCAGAGGCAAACGATCGTACCAATCCCCTACTCTAAAAATTGATGACATGAAGGAAAGAGTTAAGCAATCTTTAACCTATCACTTTAGAGGAACTTTAGCCCCTCTGCAATTAACAAAGGAAAGCCCTTCATCCTAGAATAGCAGCTTAAACTTATAGAAATAATAGAACCAAAAAAAATCACTGTTTAGTTATCCTCAGTAAAATAATTGATTGAAGATCATCAATAGGTACAAAAAGCAGTAGGTGGAAGGTTGTCCGTGAATAAGGCACTCACACCAGCCAGAACAGCACGCCACAGGTGATTGACTAACTGCAAAGGCAACAGTGTGATTTTCAAGGGACAGATCTGTTGGACACACGCCTAACCAGGTCAGTACACCTTTCATCTGTAACCATGAGTCAAGTCAACCTGACATCATTTGTCCCTTGTGTTGGAGTATGAAGTGTTAGGGTACGAGGCCGGCCACCTTCTGAGAGGACAAAGAACACTCGAGACAAAGGAAGTCACAAGGCGAGGTTTATTTCTAGCTAGCTAGGGTCCGAGCATCCACCTGACACAGCAGGTTTCAACAAGGACCTGAAAGCAAAATTTAAGCAGGTATTATACTCTTTAAAGCATCAGTCATCGTCACATAGGAATTCCTCATGCCCCTGGGGTCACATTTTCCTGATCTTGCCCACATCTTGGTGGTGGAGTAATATTATTTATTGGGAACTGGGGAAACACCAGAGGTTTACTTATCAGGTTACAAGGAATGCGTTCTCCCATAAATTAGGGGCTAGTAGTGGAATAGAAACCTAAGGTTTAGATAAAAACAGCAGGGGAGTCCTGTTTTGGAAAGTTTATTTACAAGTGGAGACAAAGAAAGGCAGGAATGGGTGCTTATCTCTGCATGGTGCCTTTCATCTCGGTCCAGAACTTTTGCATGGCTCTAATGAGCAATTCCTCACAGCTCTGTCCGAAGTTACAGCTTTTAATTGACAGTTTACCATGTTTTACAACCCTGTTTCAAGGCTATCTTCCTCTTCACGAGGTTACCCAAGGGTCATGCCAGTTATAGCTGATTTTTAGGCGAGGTGGGCTGCAAGTTAAAGCACCCCAACAGAAGTATGTGGGATCACCTAGGAATTCAATCAAGCTTTTAGTTTTAAGCTTTCAGGAAATCCAAGGAATAAGAGAATAAGTTCCAAGGCACTGTGAGAAAAACCAGAAATTTTCACACTATAGGATATTTCATAAGAACCTAGATCTGATCTCTCCAAAAAGTCAGTGAAGATGTAGGATGGTCTAGATTAAAAAATACTGAAGAAATGTAGTGATAAACACAATATAGGAATCTAGATAGACAGTTGGGGACAAATGACTATAAGAAGACATTCCTGAGATGTGGGGAGCAGATTAAAGCCTATGAGAACTGGACACAAGTAAGGTGAGATGCAGTTAATTGCTTTTATCTGTAGGCCTAGATAGGCACAGCCGCAGCACGTAACAGGGAAAGGCAGAACAGTCTCCTAAGTTGTGTTGGAGAAGCAGGAATGCAGGTTTCTCCTGTTACAATGTCATGCCCCTCCCTGTGGCTCCACCCTGTTTGCTGCTATAAAAGACCCCTGAAGGAGAAAGAGGGGCTTTTGCCTTTTGGGGCTTTACTTTGGGATTTGGGGCTTTTGGACTTTTTGCTTGGATTTTGGCTTTTTGCTTGGCAGGGCTTTTTGCCTTTGAATATTGGGAAGAAGCTTTTACTTGGGGCCTTTTGGTGTGGGAAGCTTTTGGAAGGGAAAAAAATTATTGAAGGGAAAAATTGCTGAAGGGAAAAGAATTGTTGAAGGGAAAATGCTAAAGAGGGGTTGATAGAAAGTCCACACTGAGAACTTAAACATAGGCTTCAGAAAGCAAAGCTGAGAAAGAACTTCATGCAGAGGCCTTAGGAAAGCTAAAACTAAAGAGAACATGGGAGAGTGCACAGTGCAAGTCTGAGGACCTTAAGAGACCTTAAGAGTTAAGCAAAAGCAATTTTTAGGTGTGGCTGCTGATTTGCAAAGTTTGAGCACTTTGAGGCTTTAAGAGAGCTAAAGAGAGATGGGACAATGCAAGCCTGGGGACAAAAGACTTTAAGAGTAATTAAGCTAAAGATAGTTAAGAGCAAACATGGGACATAGCAAGCCTAGGGAAAGAGGTTTTTTTTTTTTTTTTTTTTTGGTTTTTGTTTTTTTTTTAGGTAGAAAAGCCTTTTATTAACTCTTTGATATTTTCTTAATGTCTAAATTATTGCTATTATGAAGTTATAATGATTTTAAGCAACAAATAATGAGCATTCTTTTAAATATTCACTTTTTTTTCTTTTTTCAGATTTTTTTACTTCTTTCATTCATGTGTGCATACAATGTTTGGGTCATTTCTCCCCCCTTCCTCGCCCCCTCCCTCTTCCCCCCTTACCCCCTTGCTTCCAGGCAGAAACTGTTAGAGATAAGGAAAGAGGTTTTGAAGCAAGATTTTAAAGAAGACTTTAAAAGCAAGGTTTTAAAGACCTACAAGGAGTAAGGCCTTGAAGAATCAAAACAGGAAAAAAGAAGCAATGAGGGTTGTGCATCTCCAGCCAAGTGTACAACACACCTGACCCCAACTTTCTGTCTGTCTGTCTGTCTATCCTGTGTCTTTTCTAAAATCTGCAGTCACGCCCAGTTAAGCCCAGTTAGGTCCAGTATTAATCAAGGAGCGAGAGAGAAAACCTTGCTCCAGCAAGGGAGGGAGTGTGAGAAACAGCACCCCTTTCACTGGGACAAGTAGAAAAATGTTAATATGGACTGTGTGCTAGAATAATGGGATGAAATTATTGCTCACTTCCTTAGGTGTAAGATAGCATTGTGGTAGTGCAGGAAAAGTCCTTGCTGTGAAGAAATGCAGGCTAAAGAATTTAGAAGCAGTCCCCATCCGCAACTTACCTTCAAATGGTTCAGGGAAAAAAATAGATAAGATAAAATGACTACATGTTTCTAAATGTTAAAACTAATTATTCCTGCAATAGACCTTCAACTATGAAAGTTTTCTAAAACAAAAATGTAGAAGTGATAAATAAAGGTCAAAACATACGAGAACAAAATTGATCAAGAAAAATGAAAATTGGACTAGAAAATGGGAACTTAATAAACATAGCAGATTGAACATGTAAAATAGTCTTTAAAATAGATACATCCTAGGAAAAAAGAAAAGGGAGAGAAGATGGTTGAGAACAGAATATATCAATAAAATTTGGGGGCTGGATGACAGGCAGACTGAGTAACCCACCTAGGCAATGGCAGGAGAGTTGCAAGCCCAACTGACTAAGGTGAGGACTATGAGGAGCTGAAACTCCTCCCATACCCTCTCTGCCAACATCAAGCTTGCTCTAGGGCTTCTGCCCCTCCTCAGGAGCAGGGTGCCCAGGGAAGCACTGGTCTTGACATCACCCCATGAAGCTGGCACTTAGCCATCCATCCCAGCACCTAGCACCTGCCAGCCCATCACACAGACTACAGACATGCTTCAGGCATCTCTTGTCCTTGTTGTCTGTGTGTAAAATGAATATTTAAGACCTTGTGTTCATTTTTAACTAAGGTTCAAGAGGAACAGACCACCTCAGCTAAGGCGAGCAGGATGAAATTGAAAGAAAAACCAGAACAAAGTCATGAGACTCAGAAGGAAAAACGTCGCATGGCCTTCAGGAAGGGCACTAGTGGGGGAACTGCGGGGACCATTGCCCCCCTGTCAGACATAGACCAGAACAACTTCAGTGGGCAGCACTCCCAGGAGAAGCTTGTCAGGTGGGCTTCCCCAGGAACCTGGGAGGGAGATACTGAAACACCAAGTTGAGGATGTAACATAGCACCAGACTGGAACAGGGCTGTCCTGCCTCTGGGGCCCTAGGGCCTACCATTCCTAACCCCCCAGCAGAACAGGACTCCCAGATAGCTTCCTCATCTTCTCATGGCCAGAGGAAGCACTATCACTGTAAAAGCCTATGTGGTCATTTCAGGCTGAATCAATTCCGATGGATCGTCCCAGCCAACGGAGAGGTGACCTTACGAGTACACTTTTCTTCTACGGATCTCGGGAACTTTGACCAAACATTTAACTTTGAGATCCTCGGAACTCGCCGCCAGTACCAGCTGTTTTGTCGGGGTATCTGCACTTACCCCTACATTTGCCAAGACCCAAAGTAAGTATATTTAAAAAAAAAAAAAAGTTTGACAGGTATGGTTTGGTTTTCTCCCATGCTGTGTTGAATAAAGTAGCTCTTAGTAATAACAACACAGAACTGGATCAGGATCCCAGACCCTCTTGTAGCAAGCTTCAGTGTGTGTTTTTTTTTTTATTATTATTCATATGTGCATACAAGGCTTGGGTCATTTCTCCCCCCCGCCCCCACCCCCTCCCTTACCACCCACTTAGCTTCAGTGTTTTTGACCTTGACTAAGAACCACAGGGATAACATGGTACCATGAGGCATTCCCAGGTTGAGCTACAGTAAGTGTAAAAAGGGAGAAAACAAAAAGTCTTCCTCTGGCAAGTTAATTTGCTTATGATTAAACAAATTTAACCTAGTTCCTTCTTCTTTCTTTCTTTCTTTCGTTCTTTTCGTAATACTGGTAATTAAACTCAGAGCTTTGCATAGGCAAATGCTCTGTCCCTTGAGCCACGCCCCAATCCTTTTTTAATTAGCTTGCCATTAGAGTTCTTTGCCAGAACTGGGCTGAAACCCATGATTCTCCTGTCTCTTCCTCCTAAGTATCTGGGGTTACAGGTGTGAGCCACTATACCTGGCCCATTGGTTACATTTTTTTACTCTGGGACTTGTTATCTGGTAGAATGAATATATGTGTGTGAATCTGCATGGACAGGCTACTGGATGCCAGTATGTAGTGTATGCCCCACGTAAAGGCAGCTGGCTGAGCAAGCTAACAGGGTGACTCCTCTGCAGGAAGGGGCCTTTTATAACTTGTCCACTCTGAGAGAAACTGTTTTTTCTGGTTCTCCCCAAAGGGTCCCATTCTACCAAGAAACTCAGAAGCTAATTAATATCCACCAGAACTAGTTTTTCCATAGATATTCTTGAGAATTTTTCTAGTTGGGCACATTAGGACAGAATATCCCACTCAGTTCTAGGAGTCTTCTTTCTCAAGTTCAAGTCATACTACCTCCTCTTGTTGGGTGGGGGAAACAAAGCCTCAACAAAGGTCCTCAAATTAATAGTCACTGTCTCCAGATACCTGGACCCTTTGCTGAACAGGAAGTGCTAGGCTCATGCACACATCATATGCAGCATTGAACTCCTATTCAGGTGGCCTCCCCTCATCTCTTCCTCCCCTGTGTTCAGAGTGGTATTCCCTGATCGGAAGAAGGACATGAAGCCAAATGAAGTCATCTTTAAGAAGTATATTATGAGCACCAACAGGTTTTACTTTGGGCCACTGCTTTGTGGAAAATCGAGAGATAAGTAAGTATTCTGTTATTTCAAAGCATATTTCAGACTCCTGGGATGTATTCATAAATAGCCCAAGTAGGGATTCTGTGTAGACATAGCTTTTACTGGTGCTGCTTCAATTAGCCCCAAACCATAAATCAGGAGAACTGGGTCCTTTGTCCCACGTTTCTGCTTAAACATCCAGGTGAATCCAGTGCCACCTTCCCTGGTGGAAAAGCCTGGGAGAAGACCAAATTTCAGAAGGGTAGGACAAGAGTTCCCTTTGGAATATGTCAAGTCTGAGATGCTTGGAAGATATCTCTAGGAGCCAAACACAGCAGAGAATAGGATGCATGCTTTTGGTTCTCAAAGGAGAGATCTATCTTCAAGACAATAGAAGCCTGGCTATGGATGAGATAGCTTAAGAAGACAACTTCTCAGTAGTGAAAAGAGAAAGACAGAGGATAGAGTCTCAGAGAACTTCACCATGCACAAGGGAAGAAGCCACAGAGGAGATGAGAAAGAGGCCAAAGGTGTTAGGGGAAAACAGGGAAGGGTAGCATCGTGAATCTATGAAAATAATGTGTGGTCAGCTATGTAGAATGCTGCAGAGAGGGCAGAAGAATGAAGGCATAGACATCCACAGGGTTCAACAGCATGGAAGTCACCAGGGACCTTACCAAGAGTCTTTTGTGGGGAAGTCTTTGGAGTGAAGCCCAAGTTAAATGGGTTGAAGAGTTCATGGAAGGTGAAAGAATGAAGACAGGAGATGAAGATAATTCTTTGGAAAAGCTCGGCTATGAGGGGAGACAGGAAGAGGTGAGTCCAGAGAAGGCTGTTCATGTACTTTGCTTCTTGTGATGTCTGTATGCCAAGGGGAAGTAGGAGAAACAGGCTGGAGTGTCAGGAGAAGTATGCTGTCAATGGCATAGATCCCAGACACACCACAAGATGTGGTCCTTGCCAGGAGGACCCATTTTCTCCCACCAGGAGGGAAGAAGGTGAGAAGGCATGGTTAGAGATTTGGTTGGAATGAGGAGGAGGTTCCTGTAAAAACTATGTCTATTACCTTGTAACAAAATGGTGTGAGTGAATACAGTGGAGAAAGTTTAAGTGTTGAGGAAATGGAGATGTGAAAACATTTTTGTAGAAATAGGGAGCATAGCAGAAGAACAGATGAAGATTATCAGGCTGAATTGGGGGCCCAGGTGAGGTTGGTTATCATAAGTTTTTAGCAATACTAGTTTTTTTTCAACTTATACAAACTGCTTTCTTGTACAGACAGGGATATGGGATAGAAAACAGAACCAAGATTTCCACTAGGTCTTCATCCAGTACAGCATTTACTGTAATAAGTGAAGAGTGTTTGTTTCATGATTCCTTGGTAGGGCTAATAGGCCATCTTTGTCTACTCATTTATCAACTCCTGTTTATTTGCTGAGATGGTAGAGTAGGAAGTGAAGGTGAAGAGAGTTTGCTGTTAATGGGGAAGATCTTCAAGGTCTAACAGAAGGGTTTAGGAGGAAGAAAGAGCAAACGTCAGGTTGATGGACACAACATGCGGAGAAAATCAGGAGGGGAAATCAGGGTGATGGTGGCTATTCAAAGGGGTGAGTGTTTGGAGCAGCACTGGAATTAACTGAAATGTGTGGCCAGACAACAGTGATTTCAGTGGTCCAAAATAAAGCCCTGTGTAAATAGATGTCATTTGTTTATTCTTTCAAAGCTTGCTGAGCCTCAGTGTTCTCATCTGCAAAATGGGAAGGTAACAGCACCACTTCACAGATTTGTGAGGATGAACTGAGTAACATGCTGGATGGTGGTGATGATTGGTTAGCCATGGAGATCACCGCACCCCCCTCACAGTTATTAATGCTGAGTTCTCTTGGACTCTGATTTGGTCTGTCATTCTCTCTCATTCCATCTACCAACACAAAATACTTTCAGAGTGTTTCTGTGTTCCTGGCCTGTGCTATGATCTCTGATGATAGGCACCTTCAGTCCTTGAACCTTCACTATGGTTCCTTTTTCTGTTCATTACCATTAATTGAACATCTTCCAATGGCCCTGGTACTCGATTCTGGATCTCTCCCTAAGGTACTAGGAAACCGAAACAGCCTGATAATGGTGAACAAGGCCAGGTGAATCCATGTAAGAGCAGTAATATTCTGTGAGGAGGTCATGAAAGTAGATGAATGAGGTCAGCTCTGACAAATGTGAAACACAGGTGACTGAAATGCTAATCTCTTTGGGGGATATAAATGTGGAGGGATGGCTAGGCATATTTCTCAAAATTCTTTGCAATAAGAATAACTACCATTTGTTGGACACTTGATATATATACATAAATATATACACGTATATATAGCTTTCCCAAGAGCTTCACGTGTACAATCTCAATACCAAGCAATCTTGGTTAGGAGATGATATCTCTTAGGATATTGTCACCCATCTTAGATAAGGAGATCAAGGTTTAGGGGTCAAATCACAATGTATTATTCTCAGAGGAGAGTTCATAGGCTGGCAGAGTGGCTCGAGTGGTAGAGCACCTGCCTATCAAGTGAGAGGCCCTGAGTTCAAACCCCAGTACTAAAAAAAAAAAACAATTCAGGGGCAAGTTCACAACTACAGATTTCATGTTCTTAGCCACCACACCACGGCCTTTTGAATTCCATTGCACCTCACAGGCTCCTTTTCTGCCTGAGTTCCCATTCACTCCTCACACCCGCATCCCCATTTCTATTCCCTTCCAGGTATAAGTCATGCTTGTTCCCAGGCAACATGGAGACACTGACAATCCTGAACAACTCCCCAATGGTGGTGGAGGCATACTTCTGTTTTCAGAATGATACCAAAGCAAACACCTACTTTCTGGAGCCTGTCAACATGATTCTGAAACCCAATGAGAAGCAGGTAAGAAGACATAGAAAAACCCCACCGGGGCAAGGCTTTCTTGGGACTCTCAAGACCTTGGCATCCTCGGTACATACTTTCTTTTGACTCTTCCATCAGTCGCTAAGCGTATGGGCTTACCCTACTGCAGTTGGTGTCTTTGAAGACAACATTGTCTGCTGCATCAAGGAGAACCCAGAGCCAGCCATCTTCCAATTAAGCTGCCAAGGGATCCGCCCAGAGCTAGAGCTGGAACCCAGGCAGTTACACTTTGATCGGCTCTTGCTGCACAGGTGAGAGTTCCAGAACATTCAGTTGGACTTCCCTACTGCTAGCACTGAAAGGCCTGCATTCCAGGAAACTTCTTTGTCCCATGCAAGCAAGGATGGTTAGTAGCCCTGTTTAGGTCACAGGTTGTTAACTGGGGTTCCATGGATGAACTTGAGCAAGATCCCCATAAGACCAACTAGACTTCCCTAAGATCAACTGTCAAAGTTTTTTGGGGGGTGTGGGGGGTGTTGTTTTGGCAGTTCTGGAGTTTGAAGTCAGGGCTTTGTGCTTGCTTGGCAGGCACTTTACCACTTGAGCCACACCTCCAGCCCTTTTTTCCCTGGTTATTTTGGAGACAGGGTCTTGCTTTTTGTCCAGGCCAGTCTGGACCACAATTCTCTCGATTCACAACTCCCACAGTCACTGGGATGACAGGCACGTGCCACACACCCAGCTTTTTTTCATTGAGATGGGCTCTCATGAACTTTTTTGCCCAGGCTGGCTGAAAACATGGTCCTCCTGATCTCAGCCTCCCAGGTAGTTTGGGATGACAGGTGCATGCCACCACAGCCAGTTTTTGGTTAAGATGGGGGTCTTGCTACTTTTTTGCTGGGACTGGCCTTAAAATTCAATCCTCCCATTCTCAGCCTCCCAAGTAGCTAGGATTCTAGGCATAAGCCACAGGCACCTTTTTATCACAGGACTAGTTTTCTTCAGGTTCTTAAAGTAATCCACTATCTAAAAGCTCTAGAAATTAGGGCACAATCAGAGAACACTAGACCAAACCTAGAACTTTCATATCCATTCAATAGAACTGTATTATTCTACGTAGAGAATGTTTATTCCTGGGGCTTCTGGGGGAGAGTATTGTTATGATATGTGCCCTGCACTCTGTGGTCTTCACCACCAGGCCCTTCCCTGATAATCACTAATAATGAACTAAGTAATAACTGAGGTGATCCAAAGTACTGTTCTGAAATCAATGGAGAAGTACATATTAGGGCAACCATGACTGCTAAACAGGTATCCTGAGTCATGCAAGTCTTATCACTGTATCTGTGATTTGAGGGCCATCAGTTAATCTCTCAGTTTCTTCATAGGTCACATGGAATTAATACTATCATTCAGCTATGCTTGAAAATATTAATATCCTTTTCTGAAAGGCTAATAAAACAACTAGTCCAAAAAATCATCATGGAAATTAAGATCCGAACATCACTATTAACTACTTTGACCTGTGAAAATTTAAATAACACTATACCCAGTAATTATAAAATGCATATTTAATTAAGCATACACGGAACATCAACAAGAGAGTGTTGAGCCATAAAACATGTCTTGTTAAATTTCAAATGATCAAAATCTTACAAAATGTGTGCCCACAATGTGATTAGATTATAACCAGATTTCTCAACACTGGAAGAGAGAGCTATAAATATGGAGAGGGAGATTTAAAATGTACCTTGTTATATGGAATTAGAATTTGAAGTGTCAATATGAGGTTATGATTTTTCAATATGTGGATCAAGATGGAACATACACACACATTTCCTAGCTCTGTCATCTAGGAGGATGTAGAAAGAATGATACATCAACAGTAGTGAGCACACTAACATCCAAGTCTTGGTCTCTAAATAGCATTTTCTGTTAAACAGCAAGGCTCCATGATGAAAGGCTTTTTTCAGGATGGGGTAGGAAAAGTACAGGAAGTTCCAAATGGACTGGAAATCTTTTGTTGCATCTGAAAGTAAAGAAGTACTTAAAGATTCATGGACACGAAGCAGAAGGAGACAGGAGCCAACTCAAAGAGACTCCCATTGGCTAAAACTGGGACAATTTGAATGTCAAAATAAATGATAGTAAGGTACTATAAACTATTGAATAAGAATCATGAATCTACTGATATAAATAAGCAAATGAATAAATAAATACTTAAGAGAGAATGGCATGTTTTTCTTGACACCAGAATACCAAATAATAACTATGGAAAGATTAGTGGAGTTAGATAATGATTACTGGTTGCTGAAATTAATAGGTAAAGTTTGACCGGAAATGGGATATTTACATAGTCTCAAACTATCTCCCCACAAACTACTTATTCATTATAAAGGAAAAGCCCTGCCAAGTCATTAAACCTAACATCACTAATATTTGGACAAACTGACAGAAAGGTGTTCCTGATACCCTGATACAATATACTGAAAAGGGTACACCAGCAACTCTGCAGTGCTGCCAAAAATGTGTTTCCTAGACCTAAGCATAAAGAAGCTCCACACAACCCAAATTAAGAAATCATCTATAAGTGAGATGGCATATGACCTTCAAAATGCCAAAGTCAAGAAACATAAAGGAAGATAGAAGAAATTTTCTAAATTAAAGGGGTCTAAACAGACATGACAAGTGCTGGGGATATAGCCCAATGGTAAAGCACTTGCCTAACATGTACAAGGCCCTGGATTTGATCCCCAGCACTACAGAGAAAGAAGAGAGACAGAGAGAGAGAGAAAAGAGGGGAAGGAAGGAGGGAGGGAGGGAGAGAGGGAAGGAGGGGGAAAGAGAGAGGAGAGAGAGAGAGAGGAGAGAAAGAAAGAGAGGAAGGAAAGAAAGAAAGAAAGAAGAGGCATGCAAACATATGAATAATAAAACAATAAATTTTTTTTTAAAGTCAAAGCTCAAAAAAAAAAAAGAAGAGGCATGCAATACATATTCTGGATTGAATCCTTGACTGGGAAAAAATAAAAGCTATGAAAATCATTAGAACTAAGATGATATTTGAATATGAACTGTGGAATAAGTAGTGGACTTATATCAGTGTTAAACCCCCTTGGTTTAATAAATGCTCTTGGTCTTAGGAAATACACCTGACATGTTTAAAGGTCAAAGAGTACAATTGTCTCCAATTTAATTTCAAATGGTTCTGAAAAAATGATAAGGATGTATGTGTGTGTATGTGTGTGTGTGTGTGTGTGTGTGTGCATGAGAGAGAGAAAGAGAGAAAAGAAGGAAAAATGAAAACAATTAGTGGATCTGAATAAAAGAATATACAAGAATTCTTACAATTTTTCTGTAAGTTTTAAATTATGTCAGTTTATTTGGGATAATTTGGGCTAACTTGTACATGAAAAATTTTACATTGTGCAAATTAGCCCAGCCCTGTGAGCAAAGAGACCTAAATAAAATCAGCAGAAAAGAAAGGTTAAGAAAATTTAAAACACACACACGTGAGAAACAATGATTTTTTTTTAATTATTTTAAATTGACCAAAATTTAAATTTAAAGAGACCAAAATTTCTTTTGGTCTCTGCAGAAAAGATTCCAAGGTAGTTCTTCTCCGCAATGTCACACTCCTGCCTGTGGCCTGGCGGATCACCAGCCTAGAGCACCTCGGCGATGACTTCACCACGTCCATGATGCAGGGGACCATCCCACCCAAGGCAGAGTATGGCCTGCACGTGTACTTCCAGCCCTCCAAACCTGTCAACATCAAGAAGGCTATTCGGTTAGAGGTGAGGTTATCGAATTGTATGCACGTTGAATATATGCATACACACACACACACAGTCAGGTCTCTTCACACACACACACACACACACACACACACACACACAGTCAGGTCTCTCTGTTGCATGCTTCCATCTGATCGCAGCCCACAATACCTTGTTCTGCACACAACTGCAAGCTCCATAAAGGTAGTATATCTCAGAGCTGATTTCTCAGTGCTCAGCAGAGTACTCAATCCATGTGGAATAATTGAATGAATGGTGTTGCTTACCTAGGTAAGCCTTACATTCCTGATTTACACCCAAAATCTAATCACCTGTCAGATTCCTGTCTCAGTAAATGTCACCTTCACTCATTGTTCCCAATAATCATCCTTGATGCCACCCCTTGTTCTTCTCATCAGCTTCCTTCCAACCCAGTCCTCCAACAAGCTCTGCCAATTCTGCCTCCAGTGTATCTCCTTCCCACCCACTTCATTGGCTACACTGCTACTGCCATCCTCATCCAAGCCACTTGCAGCATCTCTCACATGGACCTCTGCAGAGGCTTCCTAACTGACCTCTCTCCATTCCCACAAGTGTCCAAAGGGATCTTTCCAATGTCATTTAGATCAAGTCAGTCACCCTTCTCTTTCCCTAAAGCACTTTGGTGGCTTTTCCCTGATTCTGAAGCCCTTCCTGACTGCATCCTCATCTTGCTCCACTGTCAGTCTTATCCATTGACTCCTGTCATGCTCTCTGAGCTCTTTCCTGTCTCAGAGCCCTGTCATTGCTGCACCCTTGCTGGGAATCTGGGCTTTTGGGGAGGTGGCACCTGCTTTAAGATCATTGCTTCAACTGTCACACCATCAAGGGATCTTAGGTATACAAACACTCACTGTCTTCCATCCTTCAGAGCACCACCTCTTTCTGATATTATTGTTTCTTTGCTTTCTTATATGAACACCATCAGGGTGGGGGTCTCCCTGGCTTATTTACATTAGTATTAGTTTTCTTAGAGATGGTGTAATAAATTACTACAAACTGGGTGACTCAAAACTGGAGATCTTCCTCCCTCATAGTTCTGAAGACCAGAAATTAGAAATCAAGCTGTGGCAGGGCCTCACTCTCTCTGAAGGCTTTGGCGTCTACTATTCATTGATTTGTTATGGTGTCCCTCCAGACTCTGCCTCTGTCATCACAAGGCCCTTCTCCAGCCTGTCCTCTCTTGTTCTCTCACATAAAGATACAGCCCTTGGTACCCATGGGTTCTACATGGACAGATTCAACCAACCATGGATCGGAAGTATTCAGAAAAAAATTGTGTACTAAACATAATACAGGTCTTTTTTTCTTAGCATTACTCCCTGAGCAATGCAGTGTAACAACTATTTATACTGCATTTACATTATACTAGCTTTTATCAGTAATCTAGAAATCAAGTATGTGGGAGGATTGTGTAGGTTCTTTGCAAATACTACATACAGGACTTAAGCATCCACAGATTTTGTTATCCTAGGGGATCCTGGAGCCAATCTCCATAGATACCAAGGGAGAATGTCACTGGAGTTAAGGCCCACCAGAATAATTCAAGATGAGCTCATCTTCAGATATTTGACTTTATTGCAAATACCTCCTTTTTTTTCCAAATAAGGTCATGTTCACAGGTTCCAGGAGTTAAGAGTAAGCATGCTTTTAGGGGATTCACCATTCCACTACTATTCCATCATATTGCTGGCATCTAGTACAGGCCTGGAAGTGGTAGTAGGTACTGATGAATGAATAAATGAATAACATTGACTTTAAATGCTTGAGTTAATTTGTATGGATGACCATACAAAGGGTCATCCAAGCTTCTCTTGAATACTTTCAGGGACAGAAAACCTACTGCCACTGTAAGGGCTTGATTTCCCTTTAAACAAGTCTATAGTTCTCCCTTAAGTTAAGCTTATATTTCTCTCTATAACTTGCATGCATTAATCCTTTTTTGTGCTCTGGGGCTAGTCAATGGATCTAATCTGTCTTGTCCCCTGCCTATGATAGCCCTTCCTAAAACTAAGAGCAGATATTGATAGATTCATCCAGTCTATAAATGTGTGTGATGCCCAGGGCTGATGCTCAACAGTTGTAGCTCCTGTCTCTGAACAGGCCACATGGCTGGTGTCAGCACCTAGAGTCTTCCGGATGTGCCAGCTTCATCCTTTAGTTGCTGGATCATGGCAAGTCCAGGGGTTCCCATGGTCAGGGGCTGTAGGAGGCAGGCCACAAAGGGACCCTTGGAGATGTCATTTTGACAATTGTTTACCAAGTGGCACAGAAACACTTCTGTATTTCAGTGACTGTTGTGAATATCCGCATGTGTCCCATCCAAACAGCAGCCTTGATCAGGGCTCTGCACAAGGCAGAGTAGAGTCTTTCATGCCCCCACCATGCACTATGGCCTCTTTTCCTCAGATTATCTTCTTTCAACATCTATCAGATGAAATGTCATGCTTTCTTATCCCTTTGGAAAACATTCCAGTGAATTTGTTTTACTTTATTTGAGTGTCTCTTAAATTGCCCTTCCAAAATTTCCCTCAACTACACAATTTAAACCTTTCCTCCACCAGTGGGGAAGCAAAGCAAACAGAATGCTCTGGGCACTTGGTATCTGTCAGAAGACAGGTCCAGTCTGAATTCAGCTAGCCCTTCTCACATCTCCGTCAGAAGAGAAGCAGCAAGAGGAGGAAGGTAAAACCTAATTTGTTCCAGTTTTGTCTGCGGGAGAAAGAATAGAAATTCTGAATTAAAACTTGATTTTGGTGACAGCCACAAATTTCCCATTGGCAAAGCATATGTAATGGTGATCTGGTGATTTAGTTTTTCAGCTTGAGGCTTCAGCAGAGAAAGAGATGACCACTCAGATGTGGGAGCTCTGTGCCCATCCCCAGCAGCTCTTTCCCAGACAACCAGACCTTCATCACCTCCTGGTTAGTCTCCAAGGTCAACAGTCACCTGGACAGTTGGGTGGGGCTAACAGCTGGCACCAGCTCAGAGGCTCTTTGGGACAATGAGGAAGGATCCCCACCATGGATGACAATAGTAGGGTCAGTGAGCAACTGGATCCCAGGAGTCTGGTGCACAAATAAAACACTTTGAATTTCAAAAAAATAAACATTAAACACTCATATTCTATGAAAAATCTACCACTTTTTCTGAAGATTGTCACAATATTCAGATTTCTAAAAGATGTAAAACAGGAAGACAGAGTATTAAGGTCTCCCACCTCAATTGTTAGAAAAATGTTCTTCACATTTATTTGACCTAAAAGTTCTAAGCAAATACCTTCGTTTAATGTTGACTCGGTCTAAACTTCGGTAATGTAGTGATGATTATGCAAATGATTTAAATCTAATAAAAGGAGAGATGAAAATATAGCTCCTTCTCTCCATTCCTATGTTCATACCCGCATTCCACAGAGAGTGCTGAGGAGCGCAAATCCTCCCAAACACTTACTGAGGATAAGAGACTGACACGTAACTACCTCTCAGAAACATTCCCTACCCTCTCCCCTTGCCTGACTGCCGATGCACATTACGTTTTTCAGGCTCCAAAATGGGCTTTTACTGAGTAAATTCTCTTGTCCTGACAGGTTTTAGATGCAGACAACCTTGTCGGTGTCGTTCAGATTGAAAACATCTTGATCTTTGCAGAAGCATACGACATTGCCTTGGACATTACCTTCCCTAAAGGTCTGTGAAACCTTGCAAGGAAAGAGGGTGTAGTAGTTACGACTTTTTTATATACTGCAGTTCTGTACAGAGGAAGGCTGCTGTGGTGTTAGTGTGGTGGTGGTGGTGGTTGTCGGGGAGAAGACAGTTTTGGTAAATAGTAATGCAAGCCCAGAGCAATGTTAGCAATACTGCTACAAATTAGAATTTCTCCAGCTGGAGATAGCAAGGGATTATCATAAATATAAAATTTGCAAAGTTCTCTTCTGAAAGTTGGTAGTAAACACGTCTTCCTTCCTGAATTATTTTTCTATCACTGCCATTACAGATTGCCACAAGCTTTCTGGCTTAACACAGCACAAATGGTGATGCACACATGAAATCCCAGATACTCAGGAGGCCAAGGCAGGAAGGTTGAATTCAAGGCCAGCCTGGACTACATAGTGAGACCCTGTCTCAAAATAAATAATTATTTTAAGTAAAATAATTTAATAAATAATAAATACAATTTAATATATAAAATATTTTAAATAAAATAAAAATAAATAATTTAGTTAATTAAACAAAAATCCCATAAATATATTGTCTTGTAGTTCTGAGGTCAGGAGTCACTGGACTAACATCAAGGTGTCACCTGGGTCATGTTCCTTCCTAGAAGCTTTGAGGAGAATCCATTTCTTAACCTTTTGCACTGCTAAAGGCCACCCACATTTCTTGGTTAGTGTCCCCTTCCTACATCCTCGAAGCCAGAATTGTTGGGCCACATTCTCTCATGCTGCCATCTCTATGGTTCTTTCACTTCTCCCAAACTCTGCTACTTTTAAGGATGCTCGTGAGTACATTGGACCACCAGATAATCCATATCTCAATATTTAAGAACAACCGATTAACAGCCTCAGTTCCACCCGCTGCCTTCATTCCCCTTTGCCAAGTAGGGCAGCACAGATCCTAAGGATTAGGCTGGGTATCTTGGGGGGTGAGCGCTGTTAATTCTGTCTACCCTGCTGCCCTAACTCCTTAATTGCATTTCTCCCCTGAGCATACAGTTCTCATCATCCCTTCTTTCTCTGATAGTTCTCTTTCTCAGCAAAAGTCATAGAATATTAGAGCCACAAGTGAACTTAGCTGTCCTTATCTTATATACAAAGTTCTTTAATAAAGCATTGCTTATAGTCATGAAAAATTAGGGGCAACCTAAATGCCTATCTATAATGGAACAATGTTGTTATAGGAATAATATTGTCAATTACGGAACAGCCATAAAATGAAACATGTATCCACTAAGATCATCTTGATGAGGAGTTTTAATAATCTGGGGACATGTTTATGATGTAATGCTAAGTAAAACATCACAAATTTACATGTAATATCACAACTGTTAGTTCAAAAATTCGTAAAATCCTGAAAGTTCTAAGCTAATGCTTGGCACAAAAGGACAGTTACCACAGGAAGGAATCCCAGGGAAGGACCCAGATGAACTGAGGGCAAGAGCAGCACCTGTTGTTTGTTTGCTCTTCCAGCCAGAGTTTTCAGTAATCAAGGTCTCTGAAATCATCGCCATGGATTTTCCATGTGACTTCAGTGGGAAGTCCTCTGCTCTGGCTCCCATGCCTACTCACCCCCACCTCGTCCCCTGTTCTCTGCAGGAGCTGAAGGAGGCCTTGACTTCGGGACTTTGAAAGTCATGGAGGAGATGAAGCAGCCCCTTCAACTGAAGAACCGTGGGAAATACGAGATCTTGTTCAGGTAATCCCACTAGGCACAGGGCCGTCCACGTCCACTCATGGTGAGAAAGTGTCGTCTGGGAAAAAAAATTAAATCAATTAAAGAAATTGTTAAAACTTTCTGGGAGGTTTTTTTTTTTGCCTCCCTTTTCTTCAAATGAATGGAATTCCACCTCCTTAGAGCAGAGATTTTCATAGTGCTCTCAACTCTGCAGCTGAACAGGGACTTTCAAGGGCTACTGAACATACCTGAGGCACAGGGGTCTGGGGAGATGTAGGGTGAGATTGGAGGAAGAGGCCACAAGGGCAGGGGAAGACCCTGGGGCTGAGGGGGTCCAGCTGGAAATAACCTGAATTCGAGCAGTCCTGTCCTGCACTACTTCTATCCCTGAGTTATTCTACAGGTTAGCTTTTTGCATAAGATTTCATGTGAATAAAGAGTTTTTCAATTAAAAAAATTAAGAACCACTGCATTAGAGAATCCAAATAGTGGCTTGGTACAGCTCCAGTTTGTGGAACTGGAGATTTAATCTTGAGTTTAAAAAATGAGACACTAGCCCAAAAGACCAAAAATCGTATGTTCTCTCTCATATGTGGACATTAGATCAAGGGCAAACACAACAAGGGGATTGGACTTTGAGCACATGATAAAAGCAAGAGCACACAAGGGAGGGGTGAGGATAGGTAAGACACCTAAAAAATTAGCTAGCATTTGTTGCCCTTAACCCAGAGAAACTAAAGCAGATACCTTAAAAGCAACTGAGGTCAATAGGAAAAGGGACCAGGAACTAGAGAAAAGGTTAGATCAAAAAAAATTAACCTAGAAGGCAACACACACATACAGGAAATTAATGTGAGTCAACTCCCTGTATAGCTATCCTTATCTCAACCAGGAACACTTGTTCCTTCCTATTATTGCTTATACTCTCTCTTCAACAAAATTAGAGATAAGAGCAAAATAGTTTATGCTGGGTAGTGAAGGGGTGGAGGGGAGAGGGAGGGGGTGGAGTGGGTGGTAAGGGAGGGGGTGGGGGCAGGGGGGAGAAATGACCCAAGCCTTGTATGCACATATGAATAATAAAACAATAAAATAAAAAAAATTAAAAATTAAAAAAAACAAAATTTAAAAAAAAAATGAGACACTGAGCTGGGCATGGTAGCTCACATTCCCGCCACTTAGGAGATGGAGATCAGGAGGACCACAGTTCAAGGCCAGCCCAGGGAAAAAATTAGCAAGACACCATCTCAACCAACAAGTTACGCATAGTGGCATACCCCCGTGGTCCCAGCTATGTGGGAGGCTGTTGGTAAGAACATCATGGTCTAAGATCAGCCCAGCTAAAAACATAAGATGCTATCTGAAAAATAACTAAAGCAAAAAAGGGGGAAAGAGGGCTGGAGACATGGCTTAAGTAGTAGAGCAACTGCCTAGTAAGCTTGAGTCCCTGAGTTTAAACTCCAGTACCACCAAATTTTTTTTTTAAATAAAGACAAGACACTAAGTAGGAAATGTTCCTCAGAGAAGAAAGGATGGCTTAGGGTGGAGGAAAGGGATGTCACACAGTCTTCCTTGGTGGGTCCAGGCAATTTCTATAAAAGATCATCCTTACCCCAAGGGATTTACAGTTGACAAAGGGACTTCCTTTTGCAGACTTGGAAAAATCTAGCGTGTTCATGATCATTTCATTTTAGCTAAAAGAATAGTAGAATGAGAGAGGTTCTGCCTCAATACCACCATCCATTAAATGCAATGAAACTGTAAATTGAATTAAATGAGTACAGCCAAGAACACTAGAAGAAAGCCACTGTCACTTTGGAATCTGTGCTAAGTAGAATTGTACATATTTTAGGTCAGATCATGACCTGGTCATCAGCTCTACCTTTTCACATTGCATGGAACAGAGTCACCCTTGGTAGGAACTGGTGATTAGGGGTTCATTGAAGAGAAGGTAGGGAAACAAGGAAGCACAGACACCATGCATGTAGTGATTGAGCCATCAGGTTTCCCAGAATAAGGACAACAACCAGACCCCCATAGCAACTCTAGGGGTCCCAATTAAGTTTCTTGTGCCTGCTCCAGTCCCTCCAGCACTGTCATGAGTCACCTCCTCTCTGTAGTTCTTGCCTCACCCCCATTGGGCCAAGGAGTCTACTTCCTGTGCCTCTGTTGCACAGCTTCTGTCCTTGCCTCTCTCCTCAAATCTCCTTACCACACTGTTCCCTCTTTGTGTGCTTCATTCAGTCTCACAGAGAGAAAGGAAAAAGCAGGGAAGAAGAAAATTACTCTAATTGCTACTTTTCCCGTATCAAATGTCCCTGTTGAACAGAAATACCCTGCAAGGTCACCTCTTGACCGTGGGATACAGGATGACTATCTTTGCCTCAAGCACCAATCTCTGCCCCAGATAATACTGTAATCCACTGTTCAAAGTAGACTGGAGTAATAAGTTAAATGTTAACATTGCTGAGTCTTTATATCATGTCTCAGAAAGATCTTTTGCTAGATTCATTCTCATATTAACCCTGCCTTACAAAAAAAAAAAAAAAAGCATAATGGATTCTACCTGGCATAGTAGTTGAACAGGGCCAGAAATGTGGCAGGCCTAAACTGTCTAGACTGTCCTCTCTAGCATCTTGGATTCTCTGGATGATGATTTAAACTGTCGCTGTATTCTTGTCTTTCAGTTTTTCTGTGGACTCCTTAGGAATTTTGACAACCAATATAAATTCCATGATCTCAGTCCAACCCAAAAAGGGCTCACTGGCTGCCTCAGAAAAGCCCATAACTGTCCAGGTTTTCTTTCGTGCAAAAAGGGAAGTGAAAATTGAGCACGAACCTGTTCTGCGCTGTCAGGTGAGAGAGCTCAGGGAGGGGTTTACTCAGTAGCTGGATTATAGGCCTCCTGCTGAAGAGAATGGTACAAGGTCTAATCTGTGGGTCATGGACAAAGGGAGAATGGCCTGCATGGCAACCAGAGTTTAGTCCCAACTAGCAGGCATGGGTGAGTCACTGGGAGATGTGCATAGTCACCAGAAATAAAAAGAACAATAGAGGAAATGTGCCCTAAGTCTTTGGGGAACATCAGAGACAAAAAATCTATATTCTATCATCAAGTGCAAACATGAATGGGTAACTGAAAACAGGAGCCAAAGGGGCTCCATGTTGACTTTTGGCTAGTACATAATAACTTCTGTGTCAGTGCATGCTAATATTATTGTTGATGCAGTAATATAGAGAGAGAAATAAAGAGCGCATCTTCAAATCAATGATAAAAGTAGGGAATGAAGAAGACAATCAAAGGAATTCTATAGCTATGTCAGTAACTGATATCTTCCCAATCCTTCTTCCTTTTCTAGATTATAGAGCCCAGGCTTGCAGAAGGAGGTGATATCATTGCCAGCATCCCAATTAAGTTTTCTGTGAATGCAGTATACTCCAAATTCAACATCAGCCCTTCTTCCATCATCAACTTTGGGGCTTTGATCTGCGGCACTCGTAAGAGCACCACCTTCACCATAGAAAACCAAGGCATTACTGACTTCAAGTACTCCATCTACAGGCTGACAGGGGAGAGTACCATGCATCAAAAGAAAGGGTAAGATAAGTATTGTTTTAACTCATGCTATTCTCTGTTACTCAGTGCTTTATATTTTAGAAACATTCACATAATTTACATAAACTCACCCAATCCCCTTTTCAGTGATGTCACTAAAGTTTAGAAATGGCTCATCCAAGATTATGTGGGAAATCACCAGTAGATCTTAGCTCTAAACCCATATCTCTGACTCCAGATTTATATATTTTCTGTCTGCTGTCAAATACAGGATAAATTTTAGTTGAACAAATTCGAAGTCTTCTTTTATCTGTTGTCCTGGTGCTTCTGGCAGGCTGAAAGACTTACTAGTGAGTCATTGTCCTATTCATACTGGAGAATGTGAAGAAACGATGACAACAGTAAGCTGCATACAAAGAAATCATAGTGTACTTCATGATAAAAGATGACAAAGGGCACCCTGGAGATGTGAATGAGAGAAAGTGGGTTGATGCCTTCCATCTACCAGGGATTACTATTGCCTTTTCTCTATGAAGTCACTCTGACATGATAGCCACCTTAATAGTTGTTCAAACAACAAAACTCTATTCTTCAAAAGGTGACTTTTAATAAACACACCAAAAACAATTTACTTTTTAAGTGCTTTTGGTTTTCACTGGGTTGTCAAATCCTTTGAGAAGGAAGTTAGGAATGGTTTTGCCACTTCTCAAGGCACTCTGACTTAATTTTGTCTTTCTAAGTTCTTTGAATCAGACCTACATCTTTACATTGCTCATAATTATTTTATGTTTTTGCAACTATCCTCTCTGTTGGTAAAGTTTAAACATATTAAGAAATTTGGGGTTAAGATATCTAAAGTCTCTTTCTTTACAATTTAGTATCAAACTAGCTTTTTATGTATAGAATACATATTTCTTACTTTAGATTATTTTTAAAGTTTTAATAGAATCAATACAAGGATCCCATGCACACAGACTCTCAATTTTTTCACTTCAATGTTTTCTAATTATTTTATAGAATAATCATTGGTTTGTTCTTCCTGGGTTTGATAAAGCTTATCTTCTCCCTTCAAATTGGTATGCATTAGCATTTAGATTTCATCTTCCTAGTAAACATAAGATTTAAAGTCAGAACCATCAGAACTCCAAATTAGTAATTAATAAGTGCTCTCTCTCTAGTATCCAACAGTGGACATCAACTCTATATTTTATGTTTTTTTCCCCTTTTAAAATGTATTTCCTCATATAAAAGATATTTTAATTTCTCCATTCCTTTGCAGAGTGGACCTTAACAATATAGTGATGATTAGATATGATGCTAATATGCTGATGTGTTTGTCTCCCCTCTTCTAATCTTCACTTGCTCTTTAGTTCTGTTTCCCTACCTGTGGAGCAGTCTACCATCAACATACTGTACACAACCCACAGTTTTGAAAAACCTCTGACATAGAGTGAGAACAACAGATGTTTAACCTAAGGACATTAACAAGTGAATTCTACCCATAGGTCAGGTGTTGTTACACATTTTTCTAGGTACCACAGGGTGCCAATGAATTTCTGGGAAAGGAAGTGGTTTGAGAAGACTCAAAAGGAAAAATGTACAGGCCTGGAAGAGAAACACGATTGAACATGAAATAGCCCAAACTTATCCTCATGTCAAGCCCTTTGCAAATATCAGAAAGAATTCAGGAAGGCAGGACTCAGCAGCAGAACCCTTTGTGTCACAGAGACAAATTTAAGACCCATGTAATGAGGCAATGAGACCTAGATACCTGCAGAGCATTCAAATGGAACCTTGATGGTACCTAATGTAATCTGGGTCCAAGAAAGGCTTTTTTTTTAAGGAAGTTACTACTTGTGGAAGCACCAAAAACAAACTCGTGTGTACATTGAAGTATACTTTAGGATGAAGGTGAAGTTTCAAAACTATAATTTAAAAATGGCCAATAAATGGTGTGAAGAAAATTGACTATCCATTACAAAACCATGAAACATCTTCCTCATGACACATTAAAGCATAAATTCCAGTAATCAATCAAAGAAAATTTATATTTTCAAAGAATTTAAAGAAAATAAAAGATAACATTCTATTTTTAAAAACTATTTTAATTTCAAAAACTTGCAGTCAAATGAAATGCCATCAAAAGACAAATGGTACTTTGTATAAAACAAAATACATAAAACCACAGAATGCTGTTTAAGATTTTAAAAGAAAGAAGTAAATTTTTATAAATTGACATTGGAAGACCTCCAAGTTATACTATCACCAAATATAATTCACAGAAAGTTTCATATTATCTAACTCATGTAGTTTAAAATAAAACCCTTCTATTAAAATGAGGGCCACAAAAAGATTGTGGTATATATGTTATTATTAAGTTACTAGACTAAATTCTGGATATGTATAAACTACACCCTATTAGAAGTTACTTCTGGGAAAAATCGTATTATATGACTATTCAATGCTACTTCACTTTATTGACAAGATTTGACTTTTTACTACAAGATTATATGTAATATCAATTGGGAAATTATAAATTTATCTGAAGTAAAAAAATTATAGTGGACATTTTGTCTTATCAAAATGGGATAACCATTATTCAGAAAAGATAGAATAAAGTTTTAGAATAATCTGAAATACCAATGTCAAAGAAATTGAATAGTATTCCTGATGACATCTTACTGTATAAGTCACAGTTTTATAATAGTTTAGTAACTTTTACATAATAATGATTTGTATTTTGCTTTAAGTTGAGTTTTTTGTTCATTTTTCTTTGGCAATGCTCAGGGTCAAACCCAGGGCCTCACGAAAGCTAAATAAGCTCTCTACTACTGAGTCACATCCCAACCCTAAATTTTTTAATTTTTCATTTTAGCTTTCACAAATTCATGTAAAACATACAAAAGGGGGTTGAACTTTAGATGTTCTGGTCATTAAGCAAATGAATTCTCGAATATGTAAAATTCTCCAAAATTTAAGATGCACCTCAAATACAGTTGAATATCTTGAATAAAGTGGTCTCTAGGTAAACTAATTATTGGGTAAACTGACTTTAAGTGAAGTTATCAAAACCTATTTTTGACCCAGACATGGTGATGCATACCTATAATCCTAGTTACTTGGGAGGTTAAGGTAGGAGGATCACAGACTGAGGCAAGCCCTGGACAAAAAGTTACAGAGACTATCTGAAAGAATAAACTAAAAGCAAAACAACCGAGGGTGTGGCTCAAGTGAAACACCTGCCTAGCAAGTGTTGGGCCCTGAGTTCAATCCCCAGTACTGCCAAAAAGCTATTTTGAGCTATTGTTTATACTATTGTTTATACTATTGTTTATACTAAGCCTTACAAACACCATGGCTATAAATGTGAAGAAAGCTATTTTGAGCTATTGTTTATACTATTGTTTATACTAAGCCTTACAAACACCATGGCTATAAATGTGAAGAAAGGAGACAAAATTTAATCTGTTCACCACTTCACTTTTTAAAATGCAATCAGGTAAACCTTTTATTACCTTTCGAGTGCTTTTGGCTTCCATTGGGTTGTTTTGGTTTCTTTTTGGACAAATTAGGAATGGTTTTACCAATTCCCAAGGCAATAAATTAATTTCCCACATACTGTTTTCCAGTGAACTCAAATAAAAATTTTTAAATTATTCTTTTTATAGCAAAATTAAACCTGCCAAGAACTGTTTAAAAGGAGGAAGGAAGAGGGAAGGAAGTTAAGAAAAATATTGATGGGGCTAATTTAATCAAGTACATTATCTGCATGTTATAAATATCACAAAGAAACCCCTTTGTATAATTAATTTATGCTAATAAAAATTTTAAAGCTATTCTTTGGGGTTTTTTTTATTTGGCAGTACTAGTGTTTGAACTAGGGCCTCATGCTCTACCACTTGAGACACTCTGCCAGCCCTAATCTTTTTTGTCAGTCAGCTTTCCATAACTATTAAAAATGCCTCAGATAGTCAAGTTTAAAGAGAAAATAGTTATTTTGCCTCACCGTTTTGGAGGTTCTAGTCCAGGATCAGTTTGTGAAGCTGTGGCTTTGGGCCTATAGCAAGGCTGTACTACATGAGGAGGGCACAAGGCAGAGCAAAACTGTTCCCCTCAGACCAGGAAGCAAAAGAGAGAGGAAGATGAAGGGGCTGGGATCCCACAATCCTCTTGGAGGGCACCCTCCAATGATCCAAGGCCCTCACAACAGTGCTACCTTAGAAGTCAAGTCTTTAATATATAGGCTTTTGGGGGATACTTATCCAAACCATAGCACTAATTTTCATTACTGCATTTACATTGCAATTAATTTTCAATATCCTTATGAATAAGTGAAATTACTGCTCAGTTTCCTTATAATCATTCAATAAGATTTGTCAGTGAGAACCAAGTTAACTGTGCCAATGTGATACCCTTTTGGGCAAAGAAGGACCCCCTCTCCCCATGCTTAGGAGAAAGGAATACACAGACAGACAAGTGGTGTCTAATGTCACCACCAAAACCTGAGGGTGTGCTCTTGCTTCTTCGATCAGAACTACCCACGCTAGACATGGGAGAACTCGGGAAAGTGAAAGCTTCTACAAATCTGGTGCTGCTAAAGCAGCCAAATTCTCGGACACAACCCAGAAAGAACTAAGCATCACAAACCAGGTAAGTGCCCTTCCTTACTCACAGAGACCCAACAAGGCCTGTCTCAAAAGGGAGGGAGAGAGGGAGAGAGGGAGGGAGGGAAGAGGGAAGAAGGAAGGAAGGAAAGAAGGAAGGAAGGAAGAAAGATGGATGGATCATTTGTTTATAAAAAACAAACCTGTAGAGAAGTCCTTCTCTATCTGGATAGCTTATCTGGGAGTCCCCAGTACCTGATACAGCTCCTGGCATATTAGGGATGTAGATAGTGACAGAGTTAGGTCAATAGCATCCTCCAAGAATGGATGTGCAGTCACTCTTCACCACACTAGGGGGCTCATCCTCACAGGCACCATGTAACCAATCTAAAGGAGTATAGTGTGCCAGCTGGTCCAGCACCTATAGAGTCATGATAAGAATTAGGGAAGTTCGTGATATCCTAAAGAATCTAGAGTTTATGCTGAGAATTATCAGAATAAATCACTTCCTAATGCAGAATTACTGTAGAACACACCTAAAGGGATTTTGTGGAGGTGCAGGCATGGACCAGTGGGAGGACTACATCTGCGAGGGAAAAAGGAGCAAAATTTGAATGAAAGTCAGCCAATCAAGAACAACATCTCCACCAACCATTCAACCATTGTGCTAGCAGAGGAGAGGAGGTCCCAAGAGCAGAGGAGTGCACACTAGCACTAAAACAGAAGACTGGCCCTGGGGTCAGTGTCCATCGGAGGGGAACACTGTGCACCAGTTATCAATCCCCAGAGACAATTCTGAGCGACTCACTGATACTATGCATTGGCATGGCTGGAGCCACCTCACCAGTTTCCTCTAAGGTTCCTAGATCTAACAGGAGGTTCTGCACAGACCCAGCTACCACAGAAAGAATGCAGTGAGACGGGATATTCATTTACACAGCAAGCCATGCAAAGCATCGCTCACAGAAAGGCCAAAAGAACCAACAGAAGCTAGAATCCTGTCCCCCAAGACTCAAGAAAGTTGCCCAGGGCATCTCATCTGGGCACACCCCCACTTTATAATGCTGTTGAGAGTTCTCAAAACCACTCCAAACTGGGTTTTATACCCTTGGAGAAACTGGGGTCTTTGAGCGAGAGCATTGCATGACATCGTCTTCAACGGAGGCTGACAAAGTCTGCTCTATCTAAAACAACAACCCCTTACCTCAGGACACTGCATTCTCAGCACACACTACATTTATCCTGAGAACTATGCATGGGAGGGGATGATCTGGGGACCCTTGGAACATCGGGGGGGCTCCTCCTATACTAACGTCCTGCACTAATTCTATACCAGATGCTACACTAGGTGCTTCTCACATATTCTTTCATTTAAGCCTCCAGTGATCTCTGGGGTTAGGAGCTCTTGTCTCATTAAATAGATAAATAAAATAGATCCAGAAAAGTCATTTGTCCAAGGTCAAGTAATTAATATATAGCAGGGATGGGACGCTAACCCAGGAGTATCTGACTCAAAAGCCCATAATCTCAGCCACTACTCCAAAATTGCACTCCTCTGCTTCAAGATCTCCCTTAGGTATGTGTTATCTGATGTAGAGATCATCTGTTTCCTGAAGCCCTCAGTTCAATCATGACCAGGCAGAAGGAATGTGCAGAAAAGGAAGGAAGCACTGAGAACCCATCCATGAGGAACCCCCCAGGCTCCCTATCCATCCAGGAGGAAAGGGGTGGGACCTAGAGAGTGCCTGTGGGGAAGAGGTCCTGTCTTCCCACACATACACACACTTCACCATCTCATGGCTCTGGGGAAAGATCTCAGATTCTGTCACCCATCCTGCTTCCATCTGCTCCATGCCTCCCACCCTTGTCCTGCAGGCCCGCTTCTCCCATGGCATGTTCACTGTGTACCCTGGGTTTGGATCCATCCCTTCTGGAGGACAGCAAGTCATCACCGTTGACTGTGTGGCTGACCCAGTGGGAAGGTGTGAAGAGCTTTTAGCCATTGATATCTCTGACCGAGATCCTAAAGAACATCCTGCCGGAATTCCTTACACCCTGCTGGCCGAAGCATGTCTACCAGGTACTGCCACCCTGATTGGACAACAACCCTAAAAGACTTGGGCCTGCCCCACTCCTCCCTCTCAGGCAAATTCCTCTAAAGATGTCCAGCAGACAAGGCTGGGCTTCTTCTTTTCCGGTCTTAGAATTTCCTCTAGTGTTTTCAGCCTTTTTTTCTTCTTAAAGCCCTTACACCACTTATACCTCTCCAATTCAAACCCCCAGCCTTTCTCAGTATTGTCGTGGACTCTCAGATGACTGGTGTTTTCTGAGCATCATGGTGACATAGGATGTATCCCAGGACTGAGGAACACCAACTCTGTTTATGCTTGGGTCATTCCCTATGAGTAACATATGCACAGAGAAATACTAGGTAATTGAACATGCTTAAATTTTAACCCAGCAAAAGCTCAGATAAAACACAGAGAGAACTTCTCTTGCTTTGGCTTATAGGTTTCCTAGAGTCGTGAAACAAAGTGAACCAATTGCCTCCTCCCTCCTTAGCCCACCCCACACCTCTATCTCATCCCTCCTTGCCATTGGCAGGAAAAGGCTGGCTGAGATGTGGCAAGCAGTGTCTGCTTAGCTGCTTAGCAAGCAGGTAAATCTTGAGTTCAAACCACAGTGCCACCTAAAAAAAAAAAAAACAAAGAGCTTGGCCTCTGTCTCCATTTGGCTGGAGATGTGGCTCAAGTGGTAGAGATGTGGCAAGCATCAAGCATAGTACAAAAGAAGGAAACAATAGAATTTGTCCTATCACTCACATCCTTTGTATGGATTTTCCTTCATGTAACTCTGTGGTTCTCTTTTGTCAGAATCCAAATGTCCAAATTAGAAATGACAGTGAGCAGAAATCTGGCAACCAGGCCTGGCCTAACCATCTTTCCTCCACTCCCCAGCCTTTGTGATTGACAACAATGTCTTGATATTTGAAGAGCACCAGATCTGTACCAGCCTCAACCTGTACCATGTCCTGCCAACCATAGAGAGTGGGGGGCTGTTTGTGGAGGACGATAACAAGTTCATCTTCTGCAATGTCCTGGTGGGCCATCAGGCCAAGGCTCGGTTCAAGATCAGCAATATGGGAAAGATTGCCTGTGATGTCAACCTTGTAGTTAAGCCCATCTCCAATAAGGTAAGAGGCTCCAACTGCCTCTAGTCCAAGCTCTGGAACCTCTGTACCTGCGTAGGGATTATCTGGTCTCAGGCCTTGCTGGAAGTTCTTTGAGGTCACAGGACAACTTCCCCTAGACCAAGGACCACCTCTTTGTCCCCCAGTGGATATCTTCTCTGGGTATCTCTGTGATAAACTAATACACCCTCATGAACAACCCATTCATCCAACACTCACTGTGCTAAAATAGAAAAGGCATTGAGAAATAAGCCTAAGATGAGCACCACCTTCAAACAGGCCTGCCTCAAGTTCACATTCTCTGGTCAGAGAGGGTGTCAGACTTCAAGGATAAGGTGAAATGTTGAGAATTTATTGAGCCCCTCTAATATGACAGGCATTGTGCTTAACAGTTTACACTTATTCCCTTGTCTCACCTTCACAACCCTCAGACTTTGTTATTAGGGAAACTGAGGCTTAGAAAAGCTAAATTCTTCTCAGGTCCCATAGCCTTGGAACATACAGCTAGGCTGACAACCAAGCTTCATCCATGTTCGAGTAAATAATTCCCTCCCATCTCAGGATCTGCTAGACTTGAAACTACCTTTCTCTCTCTCTCAATCTCTCTCTCTCTCTCTCTCTCTCTGTCTCTCTCTCTGTCTGCGTTAGATCAGACTTAGACCATTTTTCTCAGAGTGGAACAGAAAATTTAGGTCAGAGTTAGGAAGGACTTAATTGATGGGTTTCTGTCACCCCTAGTTTCCAAGAAAATGTTCTACAAATCCTGGCTAGCCTTACCAGTTCTCTTTCTGAAGGTGGATCTGGGCCCAAGTGGCCCTCATGCCCCAGAGCTGGTGAAAGTAGGGAGGGTGATGGGGGTAAGGAAGTCCTCAAGGGTGATCTCCACCTAGAGCTACAGTGTGTGTATTCTCAGCTCAGGGAGATAGGGTTAAGGAGATCATCTAGTCCTTTTCATGACTTCCCTCAGGCCCTGATAACATCCATTCATTATTCTCTGACCCTATTTGGAATACTAAGGGTATCTCCCTATTCCTTACTAAAAGCATTTTTAAAAAATTAGCAAACCTGATTTCTAAAGAAAGTTTCTCACTGAGGATTTGCAGACATGTTCTCCTCCTTCCAAATTTGCAGACTAAACAGGAATCCCTTGGAAAGTGCAAAGAAATCCTAATGCCCTCAGCTGAAGAACAAGAGGGAATAATTAATCTTGTATCCCACCTGTTTCCCATGAGAATGCAAATCCTTTCACAACCATGCCAAGGGTCCCCAAACACTGCCTCTGGATGGGAACACATGAAGTACTGTCAGAGGGTAGACTAGCCAAGGCTTAAAAGGAGCAAAAACCCACTCAGATTATCCCAAACAACACAAGATACACGGCAATGAGTCAGGGACCTCAGATACAGGTCAGAACACATTGTGGTACTGTAACTCTTAAGGATTGGAACTGGCACCTAAATCCACCCTTCAGAGGATCAGCAGTACTCCATTCGTCTTTGAGAGGCCACATGTCTCTCTCACTCAGGTTGTTTCCTTTGCTCCCTTCTCTAGTCTGGTTTCCTCATATATGCAGCTCTACCAGTTCCCAGCTCAGCTCCACATTTAGCAACCAGCAACAATCTTTGAGTATCTTTACTTAGTTGACAGGGAGAATATCTTGCTGACTGGCTTGGTTTGTCTATTTGAGTCAAAGTTCATGGTCTAGCCAAATACAGCCAAATATTGCTTAGTGGTGAGTCCCACAGACTCTAGGATGCTCCTAGCTGGGCCCATGACTCTGCAGGCCATTTAGCTTGTCTACCACATCTTGGAGAAGGGTGAGTTCACAACAGGGCAAGAGAGATAAGCAGCAAGCCTTGGAGGAAATGCAAAGTAGTTAACACCCTCTGGTATTGCTCCCTTCACCAGGCTATTGCCCGCATCACTGACATCTTTGACGTGGAACCCAACAAGATGTGCATTGCCAGTCGCTCACACGCCTTTGCTACAGTGTTCTTCACCCCACAGACCATGCAGACCTACCAGTGTGTCTTTGAGGCCACCTTGGATGGCTTGCCCAGGTACCACTCTGCTCCCTCAGCCACACCATATGGGAAGTCATTCCTGCTAGGCCAGGTTCACAGGCCTTGATCTTCCTGTTCCCTGCAGCAACCTAGCCAGGAGCCGAGGCCTTGTGTTTGATATCTTTGGTGAGGGGACCCTCCCTCGAGTGACTGTCGTGCGGCCAACTCTCTACAACCAATTTGGAAACCCCTTGCTCCTCTTCAAGAGGCTTCTGCTTGGTCATTCAGAGAAACTGCCTCTCATCCTCAAGAACAATGGCACCATCCCTGCCCAGGTAATACTTGAGGGTGAAGCATGGGGTGGAGTGTCAGTTAGATGTTGTATCACTGTGGTGAAATAATTGACATAAACATCTTAAGAGGGTAAGGTTTATTTTAGCTCATGGTTTCAGAGGTTTCCATCTATAGTCCTTGACTTCCTTGATTCTGGGCCTGTGGTGAGGCAGACCATCATGGCAGCATAAGCTTCTCAACTCACAGCACACTGGAAGCAAAGAGAACAGAGAGGGGCCTGGGACAAGATACAGCCCTGAGGACATGCCTATCCCAGGAGTGACCTACTTCCTACTTCCTCCAGCTATGCCCCACCCCCTGAAGTTTCCATAACCTCCCAAAATAGTGCCACCGGCTGGAAACTAAGCCTTCAGTACATGTGCATTTGGGGAAGACATTTTATAACCAAACCATAGCAAGTAGAAAGAGAAGCATCATTCAGAAGTTACACTTCAGACTTTGGGGTCTCTGCCATCCCCAATGTACAAGGACTCCTTTGATGGTGTTCAAGCATTAACCTGTGTGTGAGACATGGGGCATACAGAAGGGAATCTGGCATGTTTTCTGCCCTTGTGGAATGTAGGAAAGCAGATTACACAGAGCACTAACAATAACTGCACAAGGTAGTATGCAGTGACCTGCACTAAGTCTGAGTGGATAGGATTGGGCACACTAGTGTCTTCTTTATTTTTTTACTTTTTCTGTAATGAATATCATATTTGTAATGTGGATAGTACAAAAACAGACGAAAACTTCATTCGGGGTAAGAGATGCAATATCTAAAGAAACTTTGGTTCGGTGATTAAATTTGTGTTTATTTTACAAAAAAATAATAACTTGTGTTAATCATCATACAAAGGACTGTAGGACTTTTGAAAATGATCTGCCTACATCCAGGGGATAAAAGAAAATCCACTATAATGACATTGGAATGGGGCTTTAAGGATAGGAAGGTTTTAGGAAGTGAGCATTGCAATAGACAGAGAACTGCAAAGACACAGAAACCAAAAGCATCGGGGCTCATGGGGACTAGTTACCACCAGCTTTGTGACAGCAGAAGATACAAGCAGAAGAGCAATGGGAGATTAAAAATAGAGTATGGAGGGCTTGGATTCTACATGTGCGTTAAAACCTGCAAGGCACTACTACTGTTGTTCTTATTGCTCTTTTACAGCTCAGGCTCATTTAGATTTACACATGCACCTGCTGTTTGTTTGTTTGTTTGTTTTTGTTTTATATTATGGTAATTGAATTCAGGGTCTTGTGCTTGCTGGGCAAGCATTCTGCCATTTGAGCCACACCCCCAGTCTTTTTCAGATAAGGTCTCAAGCTTTTGCTCAGGCCAGCCTTGGACTGTGATCCTCTTACTTCTGCTTCCCCCATATCTGGGACTATAGTCATGCAACCCTTTGCCTGGTTTGCTTTTGAATAGGGTCTCAGTAACTTTTGCCTTGAACCTCAATCCTCCTATCTCTGCCTCCTGAGTAGCTGAAATTACAGGGCTGCCCCAATAACCCAGCCACCCATATTGTCATTTTTATTGCTGTTCATTCCTGCACCTCCAGTTTTCCATCTGAGGATCCTCTTCCTACTGACTGAAGAATATTCTTTGTGTTTCCTTATATGGGTATGCTGTGGTGAGTTCTCTTCATTTTTATTTGAAAATCTATTTCTCCTTCATTTTAATGTGTTTGTGCTAACTGGTTTGGCAGTTGCTTTCTTTCAGCAAATGTGAGCTATTTTCCCCATGTGTTCTGACTTTTATTGTGACTACTGAAAGACCAGCTGTGACTTTAAAATGTTCTTCTAAGACAGTCTTTTTCTTCTGATTGCCTTTAATATTTTCCCATTGTATTTGGTTTTTTTGTGTTTCACTATGATACGTGTAAGGAATTGATTTCTTTTAATTTATCCTTCTTGGAATTCACCAGACTTCTTGGTTCTATAGACCGATGTCAAATTGACTTTGGAAAATTCTTAGACATGGCTAAGAATTTGCTCTCATCTCTCCTTCTCATATGGCAATTAAATGTGTTGAAGGCCTTCCATATCCTCTATTTCTTTCATTCATATTTTCCTTCATTTTTCTCTGGACTTCATCCTGCATAGTTTCTTTTGACTGTTGCTATGGTTCAATGAGTGCTCCTCAAATGTCCATATGTGAAGATTTGGTCCCCAGTGTGGTGGTAGTGGGAGGTGTTGGGGATCTTTAAGAGGTGGGACCTGGTGGCAGATCCGTAAGTCATTGGGAGCATGCTCTCAAGTGGGATTGTTGGATCTCACCAGCCCTATCTCTCACAGGTCTTGATCTGGTACTTTTCATTACTGTTGTAGCTCTGTGATGCTTTTAGGATTTTTTTATATATTTAGTCTAGCATTTTGATTGCTTTGCGTTCACTTTGTCTACTTTATCATTACCTGTTGTTTCCATTATTATGGCTTTATGAAATGTTCTACCATGTAATTTAGTGAGTTTCTGCCTACCCACTGTTTTTATAATTTTTCTTAACAAGTTTTCCATATTAATCTCACAGATGAACTTTAGAATCATTTTTATAATGTCCCTAATAAATCTCATTGGGAGGTCTATGAATTATTTGGGGAGAATTTCTACTTTTAGAGTATTTAGACTTTCTTCCAGGAGCAACATGGAAGATCCCCACTCATCTATTTAGATCTTTTATGTTAATATTTTAAAAATAGATTTATTAATATTATTTCCAAATATACAATCTCTTATCTAAGAAACTTTCTATGTGATGTCACTATTTCTTCCTTCTTCATGCCACATTTTTATAGTAGTCAATCTTGTTCGTAATAATGTCAGAATTACTATCTCCTAAAAATGTCTCATATTTAGGTATTTTCTCATACCTAATATTAAATATATAGCTTTGTCTTATCTTCCTTCCCATGGACTAGAAACAACTTCTTTATTTTGGCAGGATTCCCACTATGACACTAGACAACAAATGTATAATACCTAGGAGATGCTAACTTTTAGGAATTCATATTAATGCAAGTCATCCTAAAATTATGAACATTCTTTTCTATTCTATTAGTCTGGCATAGACTCTGTTATAGACAGAGACAGTGGCAACCCTGTTTTGACAATGTCTAGCTTTGTGATCTGGAAGGTCACCTATACTCTTTGAACCTTCCATTTCTAACTCAGATAATAAAGAAGGGCTGACCTGACTGATTTTTCTTTTATCCTATCCAGGTTTAATATTTATTATATCTCTCTTAATAAGAAACTCAAAAAAGTGAATAGTAGGCACAATGATTTTGGGGAGGTTCTGCCCCAAACACAGCACAATATCAAACCCCAGACTCAAAATTCATGAGAAGCTTGTAATCTCAATACTCACCCCTTTCCTTCTGCTAGTTGCATGTGGACCTGAGGGACCAACCAGGAGTCTTCTCCCTGGAAGGGAGGCCCACAACCTCCTATATCTACATCACAGAGGAAACTAAACCAAATGAGAAAGGTGAGTTTGGGGTTGGGGGGGCAGAAGTCTCTAGAGGGCCATAGATCTCAGTAGCTGGTTTGTTGGTGACCTCTCAGGACCCAGCCAGTTAGATGCCAGTCTCATCACCAGTAGCCTCTAGTCAAAGCTCTTTCCCACAATAGAACTGCTTTCCCTTCAACCAGGATCTTTATGGAGTTATAGTTCTTTAAACTGGTTCTAATTCATATCCCCTCCCTTCTCTTTGCAGCAAAAAAAGCCCACAGCCTCCCTGGTTGTTACTCCTGGAGACATAGCTGAATTTGACGTCTTTTTTCACCCCCAGAAGGTTGGGAGGATGACAGGCATCATCCACTTGTCAGTGATCAACAACCAGTATGAGGAGACCATCATCCACTTAGTGGGAGAAGGCTACAAGGACGACATCACCTTGGACAACATCCATGGGCTGGCAGTTTCCACCAGCCAGGAGGCCTCAGATATCTCAGAGGTCATAGAGATTGCTGAGGAAAATGCTGTGGAAAACTTGGTGGCAGGTAGGATAAGCAGCAGCAAGGTGTCAACAACTATTGGCTCTTGGGTCATTTTAAGTAAGAGTGAAATGTAAGTAACAAGTGTCGCTTCCTGAGAATTTAAGAGTGAATCTGCACTTACTGTGTGCTCCTTCATGCCTGACTCAGTCACTGCCTCTGTCCTTTTGTGGATTCACTCAAGTGAACACTTACAGAGTGTGTGCATGCCAGGTACTAATCTGAGCCCTGGAGTTGCAAGGATTAATAAGAAAGTTTGCTTTTAGGGAGTTTCTGGTTTGACATTCATATTCCACTTAGGCTGATAAGTGAATGAACACCTCCTTCTAGTTCTTTCCTGTCTCTTATAGCTGCCTTGTGCTGGCATTGTCTATTTCATATGAAACAAATACATATCCTAGGCATTCTAAAAGAAATGGTGGGCTGATCTCATTAGAGAGGGCATCTATTTGTGCCATCATTCTCCAATGGCCTTGCTACTCAGTAAACAGCCTGGGAATCTACAACGTCAGCATCCCCTGGGAGCTTGTTAGAAATGGGAATTTCAGACCCAAACCTATTGCATTTTAAACAGATCCCCAGGTGATTCGTGTGTATATTAAAATTTAAGTTGTGTTGTTCTGAAGTCTCTCAAGCAATGAAACTTCCATTTAATGACCATATTCTTTACGGTAGGAAAAAACTTACTTCATCGTTATTACAAAAAAAGCAACTGTGAAACACCCTAACTGTGACTGATTGCTATAGAGTGAATTGTAAACACAGCCTCAAAGTTTTCCCAGGAGTTTAATTACAGTCCTGGAATGTATGATTAGATAGTCTATACAACATGGGTTGAAATCAACACTCCTTACATAATTGGTGTTTTACCTCTATTGCAGCTACATGTTGACATCTTTCTTGTCAGGGATCAAACAAGAGCCAGCAGTAACCCAAGTTCAAAAATCAAATGTCGTACCTATTTATTATAGGGTTGCCAGACTTAGCAAATCAGAATGCAGGAGTCCCATGTAAATTTAAATTTCAGTAAACTATGGATAATTTTAGTATAAATATGCCCCCCAAATATTGCTTAAAACAAGCTTATCCTAAAAATTACCCATTGTTTATCTATAATTCAAATTTACCAGGGACTCCTTTATTTTATCTGGTGATCTAACCTTTGATTGGATTGTCTCACCAAACAAATGAGTTTGGAAATCTACATCTTTTTTATTATTCATATGTGCATACAATGCTTGGGTCATTTACATTTTCTCTTTTACAAATGGAAGTGAGGCCCAAAGTGGGTGGGTGACGGATAGATAGATGGACAGATGGATAGATGAATGGGTAGGTGAATGGGTATAGTCTCTTGATGGAGTATCTTGCTATCCAGGAATTCCAGGTTTTTCAAATATAACCATTCAAGAAGGGAAGGGTTGCGTGGGAGTGACACCCACTATCTACCAGGTTCTGCCTCCTCAAGGAGGCAGGCCCTTCAAGGAGGCTAGAGAGGACTTACCAGTCTTTTGTTTCTAATCCCTAGCTGCTCTGGTGGACCACATCCAGTTTGGGTACTGCCACATTGGAAAGACCTATAATGTCAGTTTCACAATCACTAATCACAGCAAAACAAATGTGGTGCGGTTTGAATGGCCCCTTTTAGCTACAATTTCTTTCTCCCCACAGGTAAGTGAAAGTCATACACTGTATTCTGGATTCCTTCCCAACCTTAATCTGATTGTTAGCCTGTTCCCATGAATACATGGAATGGGATAGGTGCCTCAAACTGGGGAATAACCCAGTAACCATCCCACACTCAGACCTAGTACCCTTAGTGTAAGAAGGGAAGAATAGAGAATGCAGTCAGTCGAGACTGTTGCTAGGCCGAAGTTGAGGACTTCTGTGAAGGCCTGAGTGGATGAATACAGCTCTCAATCTTCCTATTTCAGGGTGTGGACCTGTGTCCCTCTATGTGTGTGTTCCTTAGAGCATTAATCCTTCAGAAGTAGTTTACCAAAAGCTAAAGTGGGTGTAGATCCTAAGGACAACTGAGTTTAGAAAATGTTGCAAGTTACATCTTTCTTTTAAAGAGTCCTAGTACTCCTTGGCACATTAAAACCTAGTTGCTGTTTTTCCTGGAATTTTCTAACCCCTTCTTTTAGCATCATGCAATATATATTTTGTGAATTACTCACCAAAACTTTCAACCTTGAACAAGACTCAGGAGGTCATTGTAGCAGATCCTTGCCTCTGGTCAATGGGATACTGGGACACCAGATATACCCACTGCCTTCTGCTCTATTTGCACACAGCCTCCAGCTCTGTCCAAGCATAGAACCCTATAGGGACAGAGCCAGGAGGGTTGGGGACCCTACTTTGTCACCTTTAAATCTTTGAGTGCTATCAGGAATAATTATTGCTTTCTGGAAGGATGTAGAGTTCATCTTAATATTCCGGACATATTCCAACACCAGTATGCCCAAATCTACTACCCAAACTGAGCATGTACTATACGCCAGACCCAATTCCATGACCTTGGTTAATCGATGTAATCCTCATAGCAACCCTATAAGGTAAAGGCTGCATTTGACCTATGAGGAAACAGACACAGTAAAACCTAATAGGGTAATCTAATTTGGGACATTATCTATATTAGCAAAGGGTTATTCAAAGAAGGCAGAGATAAGCTTCTTATGATGCATTTGCATACATACACACCCATACATACACATACATGCATATGCCTTGGGAAATACCAAACTTCTCCCTTCATTGGCCAGAGGAAGGAGAGTGTTTTATCTGTCAGAAACATGATAGGACTGTCACAAATATGATACATATATGAGTTATGTACGTGTGCCTTTATGGATGATAACTCATAAATGATTTTATTCTGAAGACAAAATTGGATTTCCCATGTGTCTGGTATACTTCACCAATCCCAAAATTTTTCTGTTTCAGGACTCCTTCATACCCTTAAGCATTATTGAGACCCCCAAAGAATCTTACATAGATTATGTCTAATATTTAATATATTAGAAACTAAAACAGAAATTTTGAAACATGTTTATTCATTTTAAAATACAATAATAAACACACTACATATTAATATAATTACAATATTTTTATGAAAATGGATATATTTTTCAAAAATTGAATGAGAGCAGTTATTTTACTTTTGTTTTGAGACACGGTTCCCTTGTGTAGCCCAGGTTGGCCTTGAACTCACAATCCTCCTCCCTCAGCCTCCCAAGTACTAGGATTATAGCTATGTGCCACCATGCTTGGCTATTTTACATTTTTATAGATCTCTTTAATATCTGGCTTAATAAAAGTCATATGGATCGCATATCTTCTCTTGCATTATATCTGATGTGATATCATGTAACCTCTAGAAAGCTCCATTGTACACTCAAAATGAGAGTCAAAAAGTCAAATAACAAAAAAAAAGTCAAATAACATCTTTGTATTGTGATGAAATAGTTTTGTCCTCATGGACCCCTTGAAAATATCTTGGGCACTCTAAGGTCACTAGATCATATTCTGGAACTGCTAGAATACTATATTCCTCTCTCCCTTTTCATATGCATTATATTGATTAAGTATGGTTGTATGTGGCATTTGGAGCCAAACTTCCTGATTTGAACCCAGATCTTAAAATATTTATGACCTTAAGTGATGTACATAGTTCATTGTCTATAAAATGGGAATAATAGATGTGCCTTATAGGATTATTATGGGAATTAGTAGACTTGCATAAGGGTTTATAATAATGCCTGAAGGAATAACAGTTTGATAAATACTGGTTGCTCTCATTATTATGATTATATGTCTAAAAATCTTTTGAACATATTTAAGTCAATCTACTATACCAGCTTGAATGATACAAATTTTTGCCAAAACTTGTGACTCCGCACCTTCTCTAGAATGACAGCATCAGGTATCAAGTCTTAAGACTGAAATCCCAAAAGTACTAACACCAGACTCTTCCCTAGGTGGGCCACCTCCACCCTGGCTGTGCCAAGGACATAGTGGCAACTGTGAAGTCAGACATGCCCATCAACCTGAAAAAGATTGGGGTCAAGTGCAAACTCTCCAGGATCATGCTCCAACTCCCTGTAGACCAGGTCCCTGACTGGGATGACCGCATGCGCACAGTCAAGTGGGTAGATGCACCTAGAACTACACCTGGGACTTTGACTACAAAAAGAAAGGTAAGTAGGGACATCAAGCAAATCTGACCCAAATTACCATACTTCGATGTCTACTACTCTCAAGTTCAATGTCTCATCATTTTCTTCTTTCATGGAAAACAGAGAAGGTTCTGCCCATTCCATCTCTCCGCCTTCCTCCTGGAATCTTGTCTAGTTCATTCCTTTGATTTTTTTGGTTTTTGTTCTTTATTAACCTATGCATTCTAAAAGGCATATAGTTTTGCTTTAGTTTTGAACTAACACTTAGTTTTAAGGGTTGTTATTTGTGGTCATTCGTATTGTTGGATGTGGAACAATACAACAATATTGTGAATCCATGTGTATCCATTTCACTCTGTATGCAATTCCATTATTTGCCTCTTCTTCTTTTAAAAGTTATTTTGGGGTGTTGCTATGAGTATTAGTGTCCGTATCACATGGTGTTCATTTGCAAGAGTTTATATTCCTAGAAGTGGAATTGCTAAGTCACAGGATATGTGAATGTTCACCTTTCAAGACAATGCGAAGGTATTTTCCAAAGTAGCTGTACCAGTTTCTACTCTTACAGCAAAGAGATCTTATGAATTCCTATCTTCTCCAATACTTGGTATTGTCAGACATTTTTATTTTTATCCTTTGAATGAGTGGGAAATAGTATCATTATGGGCCTAACTTGCATTTTCCTAATCACCAATAAGGTTGTGTGTCTCATCAAGTGATTTTTAGCCATGCAAGTCACCTCTTACGTGAATGCCTTTTCATGCCAATTTCAATTATGGCTCTTACTCTATGAGTTATTTTACTTCTCATAAACTCTTGACTCTATGAGTTATTTTACTTCTCATAAACTCTTGTATTATTTGTCATCATATATACTCACAGAATTCCTAGCTTACCTTTTATTTTCTTTAATTTGTTTTGATGAATAAAAAAATGTTCTTAATTTTAATGTAGTCAAATTTATTAGTCTCTTCTTTTATATTTATTACTTCTTATCTCTTATTTCTAAAACACTTCCCCTCCCTTAAAGATATTTATCTCTATATTTTTTAAGAGCTTTGCTTTTGATATTTAAGCCCTTGGCCCATCTGGATTTTATGATGTATGGGGCAAGGACTCAATTTCATATTTTTTTGAAGATAAATATTTTTATTTATTTTTGGCGGCACTGGGGTTTGAACTCAAGGCCTTATGCTTGCTAGGCAGGCACCCTTACCACTTGATCCACTCTGCCAACTCTTTTGTTGTGATGGCTTCTCCCTGCCCCCTGAGATAGGGTCTTGAGAACTATTTGCCCAAGCTGGCTTCGAACCATGATCCTCCTGATCTCTGCCTCCTTAATAGCTAGGATTACAGACATGAGCCACCAGCACTCAGCTCGATTTCATATTTTTAATCTAGAAAACTAGTCTTGACAAATCCCTTTGTTTAGTCCTCTGGTCTCTAGTGATCTTCCAAGACTCTATTGTCATATATTTAAATTTCATATTTGTCTAGGTCACTTCTGGTCTCTCTATTCTGTTACACTGCCAATTTCTTTATCCCTATGCCAGCTTCACACTTCCTTAATTTCTGTAACTTCATTATTTCAACCTTGGTATCCCTCCTCTATGCCATTTTGTTCTGAAATGTTTTAGTCATTCTTGCTCTTTTGTTGTATAGATAGATAGATAGATAGAGATAGAGATATAATATAGATATACAACTTTGGAATCCATTTATCAAGAACCTTGGAAAATTCTGATGAAAACTTGATTGAGATTGGATTGTAGCTATCAGTCAGTTTAGAAAGTATTGACAGTTTTGTGGTATTTATTTGTCCTTCCCATTAACAAGGTGTATCTATTTGTTTAGGTCTTCTTTAAGGCGTGACAGTATCCAGTTTCTTTGTAGGAATGTGGCTCTTCAGTTTTTTCTTTAAGATTTTTTGCTTTTACTACTGTTCAGTTTCTTTAATAGTGACAGAATTTCTCAGGGTTTTTATTTGTTCTTGTGTGAATTTTATTAAATTATTCTTCTAGGAATTTTCTCTTCAACTAAGCTTTCATATGTATTTTCAAAAATCATTTACAATATTTTGTCATCATCTTTTTGAATCTGTAGGGTTGGTAGTGATACCCCCTTTTTATTTATGATACTGGTTATTTGCATTTTCTCTCTTGTTCTTGATCAGTCTCACTAAAAGTTTGTAAAATCTTTTCAGATAAACAATTTTTGCTGATCCTCTCCATTTTAAATTTGGTTTCTGTTCCACTAATATCTGTTCCTTTATGATTCTCTTTCCTGTACCTTTTTTGGGTACCATCAGACTCATGCCTATGAGGTCCTAATTCTCTCAGTAATTTTTTGTTATTTCTTCCTTTTTCATCCTATGAGTTACTGAAGGTTTTCCTTAATCACTTCTTAGAGAACTTAATTTGCATGGATAGAATAAAGTACCGTGCTTTCCTCCCATTATTCCTGTGAGGGAGCAGGCCTTGCGTTGCTGAGGACACAGTTACCTTTGTTACAGGTGACAGAGACAGATCCTGAACCTGCCCATTCGGTCCTAGAAGAAAACTACCAAGACCTTCGGCTTCAGATCAGTGCCAATGTGGATTACGCTTCGTACCAGTGCCAAACACGTGATGTGTGCTTTAAGGAAACACTGGTTTACCAGACCCGAGTGTTTGAGTAAGTCATCAAAAGCCTCACAGTAGTAGTTAGAGAAATTCTTTCACTCCATCATTCACTCACTCAGTCATTTAAACATTTATTCAGTGTCTATGACAGCTTATACTAAGAATTATATCTGTGTAGTATGCACCAGAGTACCATCTGAAGTCCAATGAAACATTCAGACCCTCAAGACTACTGAAGTTAACATGTGAAATCAAGATATAGACCAGGAAGCAGTCTACCAGGAAAATGTGACATAAGGCAGTCCACTTTAGTGGGGCTAGTTCCTACCACAATCTATACAGCCACCCTGGAACTATTCTTACTGGCCCCTCCGATGACACTCAAACTATACCCACACAAGTGGGTGTAGGGCTCATCTTAGCTGAGAAGCTCTATTTCCAACAGAAGCCACAGATGGAATCCTAGATAGCTTCTAGGATTCCTGAAGGGAATATGCCCACTTCCAAGCATCACCACACTCAGAGAGCTTTTCTTCAGATAAACACAGTTCTTCCTAGTCTACTTGAGATTTACCAATTCAAGGTCATTTTTACTCCAAACAGCATTGCTTAATAATACAGCTGACCTTTCTCCTTTATCAGATTTCCAAGGATACAGAACTTGAAAGTTAATTCAGAGTCAAATTTGTTTTTGAGGAGGAGAAAATATTATGCTAACCCTTCACCCACACTTAGATGCAGGGATCCAAGAATGGCATAGGCCCTGACCTCTGAGAGCATGCAGTATAGAACTGGGGTGAGAGAATGGATAGAAACAGGTGAGTTGTCAGTTGTAGCATGGTGTCATGTGCATGCAGCAAGACACCTAAAGACTAATGATCAAGATGTGGGAGAGATGGCACGCTGGGGAAGCTTTCCAGCTGAATTTTGAAGGACAGATAGAAGGCAGACAGGTGAAGAAGTGGGAATAAATATCCTTCTCAGTGGAGAGAGCAACATATACAAAAACAAAAACAACCATTGGCATTTCTCCTTTGTTCAAATCAGTAATTAACTCACTTAAATCATTCCACATTTATTGCACTTTAAATGACCTCTGGAATTATTAAAGGACCAAAAGATAGAATGCAGAAAGTGGGACCTGTTGGTAGCCATTTCACCTAAAACTATGGCCCATGGTCTGTTTTTGTACAGAAAGTTTTGCTGGTACACAACCATGGCCATTCATTTATGAACTATATATGGCTGCTTTCACACTACAAAAGCAGAGTTGAGTAGTTGCTGCAGACCATGTGGCACACAGTGCCAAAAAGCCTACTCTCTGACCGATTATAAAGTGTTTGCCAACCCCAGATCTAAATCAAGAACTCTTCTTATTTTTGCCACTGAAATTTCTTGACTTTATAAGCATTATCTTTAGGATAAAGACCAATGTTCATAAATTCACACACTAAACAGAATGCCCCTGTGTCCAAAGTGCTTCACTTCAGACATACCTGCATAGTCAACCTAGATTAGAAAATGGAAATCTGATCTCTGCTTCCCACCCTAGATTTACTCCCCATTTAAATGCCTGATCCCTCCCACTACCCTAAGACCAAGAAGAGCAGGTGTATTTTATTTCTCTAACACCATCATTTTCTTGTTTCAAAGCCTTATCTTCCTGTGGACTGTGATCAAATTTAATAGCAATTCCAGAAAATGCTTCTCTCTCTCTGATATTTAGATCAGGAAACTTTAAGGCAAGAAAAGTCTCTGCCGATTTAGAATTTGAGTTCAGAGCAACTAAAATCCAAGTCTGTGTCTCAGTCAGAGAAGTCACTGCAAGGAATAGTCAAATGGCTTCTGGTCACAGGGACATTGTTTCTGGTGGGAGGTGAGTCAGGATGGGAGAACCTGTGGAAATTGCTCTTAAGGAAGGTTCTACTGTGTGAACTAGGCTTTGTATCTCCTCCCATGGGAATTTTTCAGAATTACCATGATGCATGGTGAGAGTTCAGTGCATATAGTGTTAGTGGTTTGCAAAACAATTTTAAAGGCTGAGCAGTTGCATTAATTTTATTTCTATATTTTTGTGTGGTACTGGGAATTGAACCCAGGGCCTCAAAATTGCTAGGCAAGCACTCTACCACTTAAGCCATGCCCTCAATCCTTTTGCTTTTAGTTTGTTTTTCAGGTAGGGTCTCACTAACTTTTTCCCAGGCTGGCCTCTGACCATGATCTTGCTACATCCACCTCCCAAGTAGCTGAAATTACAGGCATGAACCATCACACCCTATGCATTATTTTATTTTTAATATCCATGTATATATTTTATGTATTTTAGGAAGAAATATTTGTGCTGGGTGCCATGGCTCACACCTGTATTTCAAGCTACTCAGGAGGCAAAGATCCAGAAGGTCACAGTTAGAGGCTAGCTCAGGCAAAAAGCTAGTGAGACACCATTTCAACAAAAAGGCTAGGTGTAGTAATATGCATCTGTAATCTCAAGAGTCATAAATAGGAGGCTCATGGTCCAGAATAGCCTAGGCAAAAAACACATGACCCTACCTGAAAAATAACTAAAAACAAAAAAGGCTGGGAGCATGACTCAAGTGGTAGAGTACTTTCCTAGCATTTTCCTCACACTTGTGAGGCCCTGAGTTTAAATCCCAGTACCACAAAAATATTTTTTAATATTTTTGGGGTATGGTGGCACATGCCTGTAATCCCAGCACTTGGGAGGCTGAGACAAGAGGATCTTGAGTTTGAGTCCAGCCTACCTAGTAAGTCCCTGTCTCAAAAACTTTTGTTTATTTTTTAATCTTCTCTTTGCATAGTTTCTTTTTAGTTAATATGTAATAATGATACATATTTATAGGGTATAATGTGATAGTCCCATACATGTATGTGGTGTGTAATAATCAAAATAATTAGCATTTTTATTTCCTTATCATTCCTTTGTGTGTGGAGTCTTCAAACTCTCCTCTTCTAGTTCTCCATAAGTATAAAATAGATTGTTGTAAACTACTGTCACTCTACTGAGCCGTAGAACACTAGGCCTTATTCTTCCTCTGCAAGTCTATTTTGACACCTGTTAGCCAGCCCCTCTTTGCCTTCCCCCTTGCCCTCTCCAACCTCTAATAATCACTATTCTATCCTCTGCTACTTTGAAATGAACTTTTTAGTTTCCATATTTAAGAGAGAACATGTGATAACTGCCTTTCCATGTCTGGCTCATTTCACTGCTCATTTCCAGTTCCATCCATTTTGCTGCAAATGACAGAATTATGGAGAACAGTATGGAGGTTCCTCAAAAAACTAAAAACATATCTACCATATGATCCACCTCTCTCACTTCTGGGTGTGCATCCAAAGGAAATGAAATCGGCATATCAAAGAGATGCTTGCACTCCTGTGCTTATTCATGTACTATTCACTATAACCAAGACATGGAATCAGCCTAGGTGTCTACTGGCAGAAGACTGGATAAAGAAAAATGTGACTTAGATATATAGAAATATGTAGAGATATGCAAGGAAATATAATTCAACCATAAAAAATATTTAAAAATGAAGTGACTTGCCTTTAAGAAACAGTATAGATGATATTAGAGCAGGACAAAAATTACTTGTAGCACATTTCTGAAATTTATTCCTGATTCATTCACAGGCTTGACCTGGTTAATTCAGGTCATGTGCAGCTAGAATTCAACTGGATCACAGAAGATACCTCAAAGTCAGTCAGCTTTGCCATGCCAGAAAACCAAGGTAAATGTCATGGCAGGCAAAACCCAGGACCTGACCTGAGTCACCAGTTAGCGGAAACGCCTTGTTCTTAGAGAAACTCGCCCTGCTTAGACAACCTCCTAAATAGTTAGGGAAAAGCACAGCAAGGGCTTCTTGGCATTTGCAGACCCACATGGGCCTGAGAGACTAAAGAACTAACCTCTTTCCTCCTGGATTCCAAACCCTGAACCCCCACTAAACCAATGCCTCATCTCACAGATCCCACTAGGAACATTGTATTCTTAATCTTCAGGGAGATTATAGAACCCTTAGAAAAACTGATGAAAGCTATGACCCATTTTCCAAGGAAAATACACACCCATGCTCAAGTTTGCAATTGATAAATATGAAATACTGTAAAAGGACTCAACACCTGGTAGGCAAATACATTATTCGTTGTTATTTCAATTTCAAATGAGCCATTATCCATGGGTCCCCATGTTGTAAACCAGTATTTAAGAACAATAATTCTAACCTATTATTGTTCATGTCCCATTATTCTAGGACAGAAGATCCACAGATACCTTCTTAACCCACTCCCATGAACTAAAAGAAAACAAAGTTGAAAATATTATAGAATTAACAGAAATATTTTCATGAGTTGCCTATAAGATATGACCTGATTCCTTGCCCAAGGTTAAGTATTCCTGCTGGACAACAAAGGTCATGTCTGCCAGGCACCGGTGGGTCACGCCTATAGTGCTAGCTACTCAGGAGGGAGCGGTTAGGAGGATTGTGGTTCGAAGTCACCTGGGGAAAATAGTTCGTGAGATCTCAAAAAAACCATTCACAGAAAAGAGCTGGTAGAGTTGCTCAAGATGTAGGCCCTGAGTTCAAACCTCAGTACGTCAAAAAAAAAAAAAAGGTCCATGTCTAAGAATTATAGAATGCATGCTCTTCTCAAGCAGACATAAAATGTTTAAAATAATTGTTAATGTATGGTGCAATAAAGTCTTGAAATAATAAAGGGTAAGTATAATATTAGTGATGTTTTCTAACATTTTATTTAAAAATCAACAAAAATTTTTACAATGTTTAAATTGTCATGTGCTTGGATACTTTAAAATGCCCTTATAAATAATTCCTGCATCCAAGAAGAGACCCCCAATAAAAATTTACTAACAAAAAATTACTCACAGAGGGTCCCTAAGGACTTGTGAGTGGGCTACCTCCCACCTTTCCTCTCACTGCAACGACAGAATTCACCCACTTTCCATCTGCCTCCAGGTTCTACTGTAAAAGATCAGCTTAGTCAGGGCACGGGCAGCACCTTGGACAGCGGCATGGACCACTGGAGTGAAGGTTCCCCATTGCCATTTTCTGTGGAGCCCTCCTCAGGCATCGTGCCTGTGGGGAAGACTCAGAAGCTCAAAGTGAAATTCTCCCCACTGGACATTGGAGACTTCGAGTGCAATCTTTTATGCCAGTAAGAAACATGCTCTCCAGATCCTCCAACTTTGCAGGGGTGAAGTTCTGCAGCTCATCTCCTCTTCCATCCCACCACTGCCTCCATTCTTTCCAACCATAGGCCCCTCCATAACCCCAAACTGCTACTTTTCCATTTGTAAGATTGAAAAAGGCCAGTTCTGGAGAATTTGGTCTTTGTTCTGCTTATCGACCTCTCCAGATGCTTTCCCCTTCCTGGCCACATATAGGATTCCACTGACCAATAGAAGAATTGGCAGCCAAGTGACTTCTAGTCCCTAGGCAAGCAAGAATTGGGGCAAACTTTCTTGTACCTTCTCTGAAACTCAATTTTTTCATATACAAAATGCCAATAACAATACCCAACTTGTAGAGTTGCAGGGAAAATTAAATGAGTTAATTTAAGAGAAGAGCTTAGAACAGTGCCCGTCACAGTGAACACTAGATGGTGGGAGGGGGTATGGAGTTGGTAGACCTGGTACATAGTAGTGAGGAATACATGGTGCCCTGACAATGAAAGTGCCTATTGTGGTACCCACTTCCAGGAGTGACTAGAGTGACAGGGACGTATGTGAACTGTCAGAGTCTCCTGGGGCCCTTTCAGTCACACCACAGAGATCCATCCCACACAGGAATCACTTCAGCATAATCTCAACTGAGGATCTTCTCACATTCACTCACCTCCATGGAGCTAAGGACACTTTTTTTTAGGATTTCAAGGTTCTTTTTTCTAGTCCACTAAATGTCTTTTCAGAGGTCCCAGAGGGAAGTTTGCTCATTTTATAGCAGGAAGATTTTCTTACCACTCATGGAAGAAGTAGCTTATGGCCATACTTAGATACACAGAAGGAACCCAAATCCAGGTTCTGCATACTCAGCCCATTCATCCATTTAACAATTAATTAATGAATATCTAACATGTACCATGTACTAGCCAAGGCACCAAGGTGGTGCTGTTGACCAAGACAAACTCACTCTCTGCTCCCACAGAGATCACATTCTAGTGAAAATAATTATGATTATTTCCAACCAACCAAGAAAGCAACAAAAGATTATAAAATAAAACTAAATAAAAACAACCTTCTCCTCTCAGGATTCCTAACCTGCCACCTGGACAGCAATGTCCAGTCCTGGTAGCAAAAGGCCGGAGCATCTTGCCCTTCTGCCATTTTGACCTGAAAGAATCAGACTACATCAGTGGTCATCGGCGTAACCCAGAACTCCAAGGGTCTGGCATAGGGCCTCTGGATTCAAACACCCGGGTGATTGAGTTCATCAGTGTGGGCATAGGAGGAAAGAATCTCCGGTGAGTTGTCTGTCCAGAAGCAGACTTGATATCTTGAGGGTTAACCTGAGTTTTAGAAGTTTGGCATTAGAGAACTGTCACATAAAGGAAGCTGACTTCTGTTTCCATAGTTTTGACAGTGGGGAAATTTGGGTATATATAAAGATATAATACCTGACCACTATCTTGACCATAGTGCATCCTGGGGACAGATGTGACCTTGGAAGCATTTTTACTCCAAAGGCCAGAACACTAACCATACTCTGAATCACAAATCCAATGCATTTTCATTTCTACAATGCTCAGAACAGTTTGGGTTCCCAGTGAGAGACTGAGCTAGGATCAGGATCTGGGAAAGTTTTAATTCTCAGTCACCTTCTTCACTTCCTGCTGTCAATTTTTCCCCTTTGGCCAGGACCTTTACAATCCTGAACCCAACCAGTAGCACCTACTCCTTCTGCTGGATCTCTGAAGAAACTGAAAGTCTCCAGAACCCTCCAGTCTTCTCATGCCTTACAGAAAAAGGCTTCATCCATCCTGAAAAGAAAGCTGAAGTATGTGTACATGGGGACCACTCAAGTCAGGCATGGGCCACTCTAGCCACCTTTACATAACAAGTGTGTGGAGAGAGTAGATGTTAGTGAGAGCTACTTAAGGACACATCAATCAACAAGTGTTTCTCAGGTGGCTACTATGCGCATCAGGAAATCCTGATGACCAAGACAGACCTGGGCTCTTTTGGCTGGCCATAGAGAAAGTGAGAGCTTTAGCATTTGCAGTTTTAAAAACGAAGAATATTCTAGCAGCAAAGGGAAACTAAACACAAATATCTGAGAACTCCAGGTCTCAGACAATAGCAGGAATCAAAGAGTTATATTTGTTCAAGGGGCCAAACAAACACTAATGTGTAGGTACTTGGTCAGGCCAAAGGGTAAAAGACAAAAGTGGAATCATGTCCTATGGCTTAGTCCTAAATGTTTCCACAGTGATACCAGGGAGCAGGTCAGACTTACATATGAACTTGCTGACCAAAACAAATCTATGGGCTCCATGTCCAATAAGTTCTGCAGAGATTCTTAGAGGTAGAAATAAGTCCATGAAACAAAAATTATGAACTCACATGTCTTCAGGAAGGTCACCCAAATGAACGAAGCAGGCCAACAGGACAATGATAGAAAATGCTGAGCACTAAGGCCTGCAGGCCCGAGCTCTTCTCTGGAGGATGATCACCACACAGACAATAGAATCCAGGTGGCTTATTCTCCAAACTTTTCTGGAGAAACCAAAATTCCACATTTCTATGCAAATCCCCCTATTCTACATCTAAGTAGCTAGTTCAATATTTGTTAACACTTCCCAGGCCAAATTATAGATATTTGTAGACTCTACATTTGGTTTTGTCCTCTGCATATTGTCAGTACACTAGCCGTCTAGTTTAATGTGATGGAATCCAAGAGCTGGGACCACCATAAGCATTGTCCTAGTTGGATGTGGCCTCCACTACATCTCAGAAATGTATCAAAAATCTGCCCCATTTCTAGAGAGGCAAGCTGCAGAATGCATCATCTAAGGTCATGCTGGTCTTTGTGGGACAGTGGTGTCATGGAGGAGTGACACATTTCCAGAAAACTTCCCATGCATCATCCTGTCATTGACATGGACCTGTTTTTTTGCATTCTGACCACATTTCATTGGTCTTCCATTCAGTTCTGACTAGTTAACTGCAAAGAGACTCAAGTCAACTCAAAGAAAAAAGGAACTGGTATAGCTTTTGATACTGAATTTTCATTACAAGTCTTTCAGCTTCTGAGAGCTCTATCTCTCTCCCTCCCTCCCTCCCTCCCTCCCTCCCTCCGTCCCTCCCTTCTTCTCTCTCTCTCTCTCTCTCTCTCTCTCTCTCTCTCTCTCTCTCTCCCCCCTAACTATTTTATTCCTTTTTTATTTGTTTCCATTGCTTTGTAACTTCATTTAGCAAATGAAACTATAGCATTCCTTGGCCAAGGTCACCCTCAGGGCATCTTGTACCATCAGTTCCACTGCCAGACAGCCACTTCGGAGAGGGAAATCTAGTTGCCCTGCTAACCATGTTGAGTTGGGCTGTGTTCCAGGCTGTTAACAAGCATATGGATTGTGTTTGGGTGAGGGAGGGAGTTCCATCTCATCAGTCCAGCCCACTGTGGTTACGATCATGACATCCAAAGGCAGAGTACAACAGCTTAACCATCAGAGGCAATGAATAGGATAGACTATCTTAAAGTACAGTGGGCAGGAAAAACATGTTGATGCTGCTGATACAGCCATACCTACATGCCTTCAGAGTCTGTAGAAAGGTAGCAATAACCTGGGGATGTCAGCTGTTGTGACTTTAGTGCTGACAAGTCTCCAAGGGCACAAGGAGTAGGAAAACAGAAATGCCTTTCATAACCCTCTTCCAAATTTTCTTCTTAGATTGTGTTCCAGTTCACACCTTCCCACCTGGATATTACAGAAGCATTATGGACTTTCTTGATCCCCGAACACAATATCTCAGTCCCCTTCTTACTGGTGGGAAAAACCACTGACCCTCTCGTCTCTCTGGACAAGTCACACCTCAACTTCAGTTCTCTCCTCATTGGTAAAGCTGCCCCATTGGTTTGTATTTAGTTGGCATGACCTGGGTAAGGTTACCAAGAGCTCCAGGAGCAGACTTGTGTGGAGAACATCCAGTGCCTTCAAGAAACATGTCAGAGGGCCTCTTTCACTTTTCAGAAAGCCACAAAAGGATGTAGTTCAGGGGTAGAATGCATGCCTAGGATATGCAAGGCCCTCGGTTCAATCCCTAGCAGTATAAAAACAAAACAAACAAAAACTTCTTGACAGAAAGCTGTAAAATATTTATCTTTAAATCTAATTTTCATCAAATAACAATCCACATACTAACAATCTAAGGAAACTCAGGAGCCTTATTAAAGATCTTACTAAATAGATTCCTTGAGGGCTTGCATTGACTGTTCATTTTCAGAGCCTCTTGTCAACCCCAACCATCTCCATGTGCCCCCCACTTCCCGGATTGTAGGCTGTATTTGTTTGCTTTTTCATCTCATATCTCTACCATCCTTATATGATTCATTGAGTTAAAAAATCATTATTGAGAGCCTAGTCTAGCCCAGTTGCTCTTCTCTGGGCTGAGAATGCTTTTGGGATAAAGCACAGGACTGAGGGCATGACTCAAGTAGTAGAACACTTTCCTGGCAAGTACCAAGGCCCTGAGTTCAACCTCAGTACCACAAAAAGAAAAAAAAACAGATAAAGCTCAAAGTCCTCCTCATGGTATTTACATTCTAGTAAAAGTAAGTAGAACACAAATGTTGGTAAATGCTCTAGAGAAGAATACAGCAGGGTAGGGAAAATAAGGAAGAAGTAGGCCTTTGAGTAGAGACCTAAGGATAAAAAGGAAGTGGTCACTGGGTCCCTTATAACCCAACCTTTCACATGGATACTGGGGGTGAGGGGGAATGTGTGTGTGTGTGTGTGTTTATGTATCTATAAAATACAACTAAAGCCAAGGGATTTTTAAATCATTCATTCAATTTATTTATAAAATAATATTCTTTATAGTAAGTCAACCAATATGGTGTTGTATAAGAAAAAGTTTAGCCTCTCACTACACATCTTCTTTTTTTTGGGGGGGGAGGGGTTCCTGGACCATTTATTTGTAAATATTTAATTACAAGAAAGGTAATTTTACTAATTATCTGTTCTCAGTCTTTTCTCTGCTTTTTAGCACATCCTCACCCACTGCGTGATTTATTTAATACATCAAGCAAAAGAATAAGCTTCTTGCCAATATCTGCTTTTGAACCCTTTCATCTTAAGTATTTTTTTATTGTTTTATTATTCATATGTGCATACAAGGCTTGGGTCATTTCTCCCCCTGTCCCCACCTCCTCCCTTACCACCCACTCCACCCCTCCCTCTCCCCCCCACCCCCTCAATACCCAGCAGAAACTATTTTGCCCTTATCTCTAATTTTGTTGAAGAAAGAGTATAAGCAATAATAGGAAGGAACAAGGGGTTTTGCTGGTTGAGATAAGGATAGACAAACAGGGATTTGACTCACATTAATTTCCTGTGTGTATGTGTTACCTTCTAGGTTAATTCTTTTTGATATAACCTTTTCTCTAGTTCCTGGTCCCCTTTTCCTATTGGCCTCAGTTGCTTTTAAGGTATCTGCTTTAGTTTCTCTGTGTTAAGAGCAACAAATGCTAGCTAATTTTTTAGGTGTCTTACCTATCCTCACCCCTCCCTTGTGTGCTCTCGCTTTTATCATGTGCTCAAAATCCAATCCCCTTGTTGACTACACATCTTCTTGTCCTTCATTTCCACCAAAGAAACCAATATTAAAAGTTGGGATATGTACTAGATATGTATTGTTCCAAACATTTCTTAAGCCAATACACATAAGTAGGTGGGGTGACTTTTATTAAGGTTTTGAAAAAATAAATGAGCAATGTAGCATAAGAATAACTGTGAGACAAAGAGTTTAGTACAAGAATGCAATAGTGTGCATTTCGATATAATCATTACACCAAAGTTGTTAAAGAACAACTTTGTGATTATATTAATATACTGACAACTCATTGCTAAAATTCAACAGACGTTCCTTCAAAAACTTCCAATAGTAAAACAAGAATTGATGGAAAAACTTAAGGAAGGTTAACCAAAATTAACAGGTAAATGTCCTATAATAAACCACTAAAACTACTTCATTTAAAATGAGGAGTTAGAGTTACAAAAATCAGTAGCCTTTCTATTTATCAACAATGAACAGACTGAGAAATAATAAAGGAAAAAATGTATTTACAATAGTCTCAAAAAAATAAAATACCTAGGAATAAACTTAACAAAGGAAATAAAAGACTTCTACAAGGAAAACTATGTATCATTGAAGAAAGAAATCAAAGACTACAGAAGATGGAAAGATCTCTCATGCTCATGGATTGGCAGAATCAATATTGTGAAAATGGATCTATTATCAAAAGCAATCTACATGTTCAATGCAATCCCCACCAAAATTCCAATGACATTCATTACAGAGATTAAAAAATCAACCCTAAATTTCACTAGGAAGCACAAAAGACTGCAAATAGCCAAGGCAATACTGAGCAAAAAGAGTAACACTGGAGGTTTCACAATACCCAACTTCAAACTATACTAAATAGCCACAACAATAAAAGCAGCTTGGACACTGGCACAGAATAAGACCCAGAAATGAATCCACACAGCTACACCCACCTGATTTTTGACAAAGGTGCCAAAAACATACGAGGAAGAAAAGATAGCCTCTTCAACAAATGTTGTTAGGAAAACTGGATATCTGCCTACAGAAAACTGAAACTAGATCCATGTCTTTCACCCTGTACAAGTATCAACTCAGAGTGGATTAAGGAGCTTAATAGAAGACCTGAAACTTTGAAGATAGTACAGGAAAGAGCAGGGAATACACTGGAATTTATAGGCATAGGCAGTGACTTCCTAAATAGAACTCGAATGGCTCAGCAACTAAGAGAAAGGATGGACAAATGGGACGACATGAAATTTAAAGGCTTCTGCACAATAAAAGAAATGTTCACCAGATTGAAGAGGCAGCCCACAGAATGGGAGAAAATACTTGCTAGCTATACATCAGAAAAAGCACTGATAACCAGAATATAGAGGGAGCTCAAAAAACTAAACTCCCCCAAAAAAATCAATGACCCAATGAAGAAATAGGCAAATGGACTGAACAGAGCTTTTTCAAAGGAAGAAATCCAAATAGAAAAAAACTCATGAAGAAATGCTCAACATCTCTGGCCATAAAGGCATGCAAATTAAAACCACACTAAGATTCCACCTCACTCCTGTCAGAATAGCTATCATCAAGAACACAAAAAACAAACATTGAGGATGTGGGGGAAAGGGAACCCTCATATACTGTTGGTAGGAATGCAAATTAGTACAACCACTATGGAAAGCAGTATGGAAGCTCCTCAAAAAACTAAAAATAGAACCACCATATGATCCAGCAATCCCACTCCTAAGGATATACCTAGAGGAATGTAAGTCAGCTTACCATAAAGGCACCTGCACACCCATGATTATTGCAGCATTATTCACAATAGCTAAGCTGTGGAAACAACCAAGATGCCCCACTACTAATGAATGGATTAAGAAAAGGTGGTATTTATAGACAATGAAATTTTATTCAGGCATAAAGAATAATGAAATTTGTTGTTTGCAGATAAATGGATGGAACTGGAGAACATTATCTTAAGTGAAGTTAGCCAGGTTCAAAAAGCCAAAGACCACATGTTTTCTCTCATATGTGGAATATAGACCCAATACAAATACCATCAGTATTATGAAAAATAGGTCACGCTAACGGGAGGTCACATATGAGAGAGGGAGGGTAAAAGGAGGAAGTTAAGAAGGCAAATATGGTTGATGTACTTCCTATACAAGAATGAATATAGAAATTTTAAACCTGTTGAAGTCACCATAAGAAGGGGGAAAATGATAGAGGGGGTGAATTCAACTATGATATATTGTAAGAACTTTTATAAACATCACAATGTACCCACCCCAGTACAACAAAAAAAATCAGGAGTTAAGCACGGATACTTAGCATCACCATTATTGTTGAACATTTTCTTAGCGATTTCTAAAAGTATGATCAAACAAGAACATTAAATAATTGGTATAAATATTGGGGAAAAAGAGACAAAATTATACCATTTGCTGTTCCTGATGACTTCACACATAAAGCCTCAAGAGGCCCTAGAGAAAAACAAAACAACTAGAATCAAGATAATTTGGTAAAGTAGGTGAATGCCAAAGAAATATGCAAAAATCAATAATTTCTTCCCATTTAACACAGCACCCAGAAACAGAAATTCCATTTAATTTTTTGGGGGGGAAGGTTAAAATTTTTAATTTAAATTTGACCAAATATACAATATCCAAGGATAAATGCAACCAAAAAAGCACAGGACCCAAGTGGAGAGAATTATTAAATCATATCAAAATGCCTCCAAAGAGTATCTAAATGTTTGTCAAATATTAATGCAAATTTAATCAAATTCCAATTAGAATACTAGTTAGGGTTCCCAGTTAAAATACAGGATGCATGGTTAAACTTTATTTTCAAATAACAATAAATAATATATTAGTGTAAGTATGTTCCACGCAATATATTGGGACATAGTTTTGTATTTAAAAAAAATTATTTGCTACAGCTAACAATCCTAAACCCAAAAAGATTAGGGACTGGAGAAAATTAGATAAAATGATCCTAAATTTTATGTGGTGTAATAAATGTATAACAATAGCCAATGGAAAAACAAAATAATGAGAGGAGATGTGTTATTCAGGACCCAAGGCAGGAAATTTGTGATATATACAAAGTCTAATTCAAAAGAATTCATTGCAGGGGTTATTTATAGAGATGTGGTCAGTTAAAGGGCCAATCAGCAAGGATGAGCCCCCATAAAAACATTCAGGAATGCATTACAAACCCCCAGATCTGAAGGAGCAAGGGAAGAAAATAGTGTCACCAGAATCCTTGGAGAGCTGTGACCAGGGCAGAGAAACCACCTAGCAGGAGCAGGCAATGGGTGAAATGAAGTTCTAGAAGGAAGATAAGGAATCCCCCAAGGGAGGAAGGTCACTGAGAGAGCAAAAGGAAAAAGAGGTAGTCAGCAGCTAAGGAGTTGGGTCCAAGAGGGAGCCAAAGTTGGAGTCCTTCTACCAAGGCTTCTGCTTGCCTGTGGACTAGTATCTGCTGAGATAGTTCAGCAAGCAGGAGGCTTTCACTGAGGACTAGTGTTTCCTTCCCAGGCAGAGAAGCCCGAGAAACTGTGCAGATGATCAACAAAGAGGAACAGGCGTTCAGTTTTGCCTTCCAGGACAACTCCCGATATTCTGAAGGGTTCAGCAACAATCTGGTCGTATGTCCCATGGAAGGCTGGATCCCACCACTCTCCAGGTAAAAAAAAAAAAAAAAATGACATCCTCTGGGTGCACACTTCCAGCATAGCAGGGGACCCAGGCCTGCTAGCCAGGAGAATTCATTAGATGCCCCACTTACAAAAACTCTTAAAATTCTAAGGTTTAGAATGAACAGTTCCATCCCTGTCCTTCTTACTCCATGGTGTTCATGTTCTTCATGAATTATGGAGCATTGAAAATTTTAGGTTCTTGTTCTCAATATTTTCTCTTGTGTTTGTAATCTTTTTCTTTGCTGTCTGCTGCCCGTGTGAATCCACTGAGCAATGTCTAACTTTGCCTGGCAAACCTTAAAAATTCATAATAATTTGGAGTGCCTTTTTGGTATCTTTTGCTCAGAGTGTATCTGCTAATCAGGTTTAACTGGTTTTTTATCAGGTTTTTAACTGGTTGACTTAGTCATCTAATCTGCTCTTGTTCCTCAACCAGGATACCAATTGATATTTTCTTCACACCAAAGCATGAAGGAGATGTGAATTTTAATTTGATCTGCAATGTGAAAAAGAAAGTCCACCCTCTGACATTAAATGTCAAGGCCGAAGGCTACACTATGAATGCAGAAATCAAATGCAAGGACAGGACTGGCTCTGTCACTCTCTTAATGCCCAACCAAACCAACATCATCAACTTCTATGAGGTAAAGGTTGCTGTGGGAGGACCTTGCTATCTCCCTCATGTTCCATGTTTAACTGGGGAACGAGGTACAAGTAAATAAGAGCAGTATTTCCGTCTCAAATGCCAGAGATGCCAGAACAGAAACAGCTCCATGACCAGAATGTACATAGATATGATGCAAATACCTTTCTTGCTTTGTTTTTCAGGGAGTAGAGATAGTGGGGAGAAGCAAGAATGTTAGTATTAGGTATTTAGGAAGGATATGTGACTACTAAAGGAGATCTAAGAATTAAATTCCCAACTTACAGTTGAGACATAAAAGGAACCCCAACGCTTATTACCTCTGGCTAGAATATCAGACTACATTAAGCTAAATACCCAGCTCACCAATGTCATCCACCATCCTCTTTTCCCAAAGGGTATTTTTCCCCAGATAAGGGAGCTATGGTTTGCATTCACTGCTGTGTTCTCTCTCTGTCACTCAGGTGGAGTTAAATGAATTTGTCCAGTGCGAATTTAACTTAATCAATACTGGAAAGTTCAACTTCAGCTTCCAGGCAGAGCTTTCTGGGTCCAAAGCCCTGTTGCAGTACTTGGAATTTTCACCCATAGATGGTACTGTGGATTCAGGGCAGAGCGAGCATGCTAACCTGTCTTTCCAGCCATTTCAGAAATGTGTCTTGAAGGGCCTGGAACTCAAAATCAAGGTGAGACTACTTAACATTTTCCAAATGGTTAAAGCACTGGCAGCATGCTGCCCTGACAAGTTAATTGTCCTGGGTGTTCAGTCTTCTTTACCTGTTCAGAGCTCCTTCCGGGTGGTTGTCTTGGAGACAGCCCTATAATGTCTAGCACAAAGGCCTCCTCTGTGGTTCAGGTGCATTGTAAGTAAGTGCCAACTGAAAAGCAATTGACCATCCATGCACTGAAATGCCATCCAGATATGAAAATAAATGAGACAGATAGATGAGGCAGGGAGAGCATATATTCAACAGTTTCCAAGATAAGTAATTGCATGAAAAAAATCAACAATGGTGATGTCAGCAGGAATGGCAGATAAGGAACTCTGAAAAGCTTCTGCTCCACAGCAATAAGAACACTGACAAAAAAAAAAGTCAAAATCAACTTTTTCAGAACTCTGAAAACTTTCAAACTATAAACTTGCTCATAGGAGCATTTGTTAAAGAAAAATGACTGAGTATCCATAAGAACAGTGAGCTTTGTGGTATTTTAATTTGCCTATTCCCTACCCCCTCCCCCAGTTCTGCAGTAGCCTTGAAAAACCAACAGGTCTGTAATAAATTGCAAGTGAGCAACCTATTAGCCACTGGAGATAGCAGAACAGCTTCGGAATTCCCTAAAAGCCATGGTAAATTTTAAGTATTTATCCTATCCGGAAACTTAAGGAAAGCACTCACAGCAAGCCCACTCAGAAGGTTTGCTTTTATTTGAACTGATTCAGACCTATATTTGTTCTTCACTACTGGGTTTGAACCCAAGGTCTTGCACATGCTAGGCAAGTATTCTACCACTGAGCTATATCCTCAACCTTGATTTTTTTGAGATAGGATCTTGAGCTCAAGATCCTCCTGACTCTGCCTCCCAAGTGCTGGGATTATAAGTGTGTACCACCTCTGCCAAAAAAAAAAAAAAAAGATCCTTTGAAAGAAGAAAAAGGCACTATTTTCCCTCTCCTTTTAGTATAGCATATTGTTATAATGGTTCTATTTTATTATTAGTTGTCAATATCTTATCATTCCTGACTTATAAATTAACTTTATCATAGATATCTATATACAGAAAAAAGGCAATGTATATAATACACACAGGGTTCGGTACCATGTGTGGTTTCAGGCATCCATTGGAGCTCTTGGAATATATTATCCACAGATACAGGAGGGACTACTGTATAGACTGTAGAGACTTTACTGAAAAAGACACTAAACAAAGAATAAAAGCAGCAATAAACTCAGGGCAGGAGGTGTGAGATATGATAACCAGAGTTGTCACATTACATTATTTTAAATCTCAAATTTCCAACAAAAAATGAGACATGAGGGTGTGGGGGCAGGGGGGAGAAAAGACCCAAGCCTTGTATGCACGTATGAATAATAAAACAATAAAAATTTAAAAAAATAAAAAGTTAAGAAAATGAGACATGAAAAAATAAATAAAATAAAATAAACTGACAAAAAATGAGACATGAAAAGAAGTAAAAAAGTATGACCCATACAGAGGTAAAAAATCAATCAACAGAAACTTTCCTCAAGAAAGTCCAGTTGTTGGACTTACAAGGAAAATACCTGAAATTGCCTATTTAAAATATTTTCAAGCCAAGGGTAGAGCTCATGTTTATCATGTTCAAGGCTGAGTTCAACCCCCAGCATCAAAAACAAACAAATAGGGTGGGGCACAAGAACCCCATCTCAACCCGGCCAGCAGAGGCATACACCTGTCATCCCCAGCTATGTGGGGAAACACAAATAAGAGGATTGGGAATAAAGCAAGATTCTATCTCAAAAATAACCAACACATGGTGGGAATGTAGACTAGTACAACCACTCTGGAAAAAAATTTGGAGGCTACTTAAAAAGCTGGACATCGATCTACCATTTGATCCAGCAATACCACTCTTGGGGATATACCCAAAAGACTGTTACTCCAGAGGCACCTGCACATCCATGTTTATTGCGGCACTATTCACAATAGCCAAGTTATGGAAACAGCCAAGATGCCCCAGCACTGATGAATGGATTAAGAAAATGTGGTATCTATACACAATGGAATTTTATGCAGCCATGAAGAAGAACGAAATGTTATCATTCGCTGGTAAATGGATGGAATTGGAGAACATCATTCTGAGTGAGGTTAGCCTGGCTCAAAAGACCAAAAATCGTATGTTCTCCCTCATATGTGGACATTAGATCAAGGGCAAACACAACAAGGGGATTGGACTATGAGCACATGATAAAAGCGAGAGCACACAAGGGAGGGGTGAGGATAGGTAAGACACCTAAAAAACTAGCTAGCATTTGTTGCCCTTAATGCAGAGAAACTAAAGCAGATACCTTAAAGCAACTGAGGCCAATAGGAAAAGGGGACCAGGAACTAGAGAAAAGGTTAGATCAAAAAGAATTAACCTAGAAGGTAACACCCACGCACAGGAAATCAATGTGAGTCAATGCCCTGTATAGCTATCCTTATCTCAACCAGCAAAACCCCTTGTTCCTTCCTATTATTGCTTATACTCTCTCTACAACAAAATTAGAGATAAGGGCAAAATAGTTTCTGCTGGGTATTGAGGGGGGGAGCGGGAGGGGGTGGAGTGGGTGGTAAGGGAGGGGGTGGGGGCAGGGGGGAGAAATAAACCAAGCCTTGTATGCACATATGAATAATAAAAGAAAAATGAAAAAAAAAAAATAACCAACACAAAAGGGCTGGAAGCATGGCTCAAGTGGCAGAATGCCTGCCTAGTATAAGTACAAGACTCTGAAGTCAACCCGAGTACTCCCCAAAAAATTAATAATAAATAAATATATTCAATGTACCATAGGAAACCACATCTAAATAACTAAAGAAAAATATAAGAGCAATGTGTCACCAAATAGAAAATATAAATAAAGAGAGAGAAGTTATAAGAATATAAATTCTGGAGTTGAAAAGTATAATAGCTTGTATGCACATATGAATAATAAATAAATTAATTAATTAAAAAGAAAAGTATAATAGCTGAAGTAAAAAAAATTCACAAATGGGGCTCAACAGCAGATTTTAAAAGACAAAAAGAAGAATCGGCAAACTTGAAAGATGGGGCACTTGAGATTATACAGCCTGAAGAATAGAAAGAAAAAAGAATGAAGAAAAATGAATTACAGCCTCAGAGACCAATGGGATACCATTAAGCATGCCAACAGACACATGGTGGGAGCCTAAGAAGTAGACAGAAAAGGTTAGAAATAATATTTCAAAAGCCAAATATGGTGCCTCACACCTGTAATCCCAGCCCTCAGGAGGCTGAGGCAGGAGGATTTCACGTTTGCAACAGCTCAGGCTACATACTAGAACCTGTGTCAAAAAAAAAAATGCTAAGTGTTATAGTACTCACCTGCAATCTCAGCATTATGGAGATGGAGACAGTAGGATTGTGATCTCAAGGTCAACCTGGACTACATTGCAAGATCCTGTCTCAAAAAAAAACAAGAATAAAATAAAACCAAAAAATTTCTAAAAATAATGTCCCAAAAACTTCCTAGATTTGATGGGAAAAAAATCAAACACCCAGAAAGCTCAGTGAACTCCAACTAGAATAAACTCAATGAGATCCCACCTAGACATGTCATAATCCACATACTAAAACACAGAGAGAATGTTGAAAGCCAACTGATTTTCATTAGAAACCTTAGAGGTCCAAAGACAGTGGGATGACATATTCAAAGTGCTGAAAGGAAAAAACTATGGACAAAGAATTCATGCACAGAAAAACTACCCTTCAAAAGTGGAAACCAAAAAAATGGAGAAACTAATATTCTCAGATTTAAATACATAAATAAATAAATAAAAAAATATATATATATATATATATATATATGTCACTACCACACTTGCCTACAAGAAATATTAAAGGGACTCCTTCTGACTGAAATGAAAGGGCACTACAGAGTAACTAAAATCCATATAAAGAAATAAAGAGGGAGACAATGGGCATAGTGGTCCTCACCTGTAATCCTAGCATTCTTGATGCTGAAGCAGGAGGATCACAAGTTTAAGGCTAGCCTGAGCTACATAGCAAGCTGCTGTCTTGACAATACCAACAAAATAAAAAGAAGAAATAAAGAGCACTAGTAGAGGTAACTGCAGTTGTTATGTGAAAGGCAGTATAAATATAATTTTGTTCATAACTTTTTTCTATCTGGTTTTAATAATGACTATATAAAACAATAATTGTGTTGATGAATATCAAATATCCAATTTGTATGATCAGAATAGCACAAATGAAGGGAAAGAAAAGGTTTTTCATACTGTTGAAATTTTTTATTTACAAAACTAGTTTGTTATAAATTTCAAGTAATCCTAATGGCAGCCACACATAAAAATGTTCAACAGAGGCTAGTGGAGTGGCTCAAGTGGTAAGTGTGCCTTGCCTACCAAGTGTGAGGCCCTGAGTTCAAACCCCACTACCACCAAAAAAAAATTTCAAAAGAATATAGTAAAAGAAATAACAAAGGAATTAAAGTGGTACCCTAGAAAATACCTATTTAACACCAAAAAAGGCAGTATAGATGAATAGGATGAAAGAGACATAGACATATAAAGTAAATAGCAAAACAGAAAACTCAAATCCTACTTTGTCATTAATTACATCAAATGTAAATTAATTAAACACTCCATTAAGAAGACAGAAATTTGGCAGAATTGTGCGAAATAAATATGACTCAACGATGTGCTTTCTACCAGAAACATATTTTGGATTTAAAGGCATAAGTAAATTGAAAGTAAAGAATGAGGAAATATATAACATTCAAATAATAATCAAAAAAGAACTGGAATGCCTATACTAATACCAGGCAAAATAGACTTTTAGACAAAATGGTCACCAGAGATAAAGATATTTTATAATGATGAAAGGGTCAATCCATCAGGAAGACATATATGCATATATATATGCATAACAACAGAATCCCAAATACATGAAGCAAAACTGGCAGAACTGAAATGACAAATGGACAATTTAACAATCAGAATCAGGGAGTTCAGCACACTGTTTTTTTAATAATAAATAGAACTAGACAGAAAGTTGACAAGAAAGAAGACTTATTATAATCAGGCCATAAAACAAACCTTAATAAATTTAAAGGGATTGAAGTCAAACAAAGTATGAGTTGAATGAAATTGGAAATCAATAACAAAGAGAAATTTGAGATGATCAACCAAAGACATTTTTATTCAAGTAACTCAGTAAGAAGATGACTGACACTGTACACTTCTATGGAATTAACACAGTGAAACCCACTTGTACTATTAAAGTATGCTAATAAAAAAGAGAAAGAAGATTATTGACAGGGAGATGGGGTAAAACTGTTGGAACCTGTCTTAGCCTGTTTAGGGCTACTATAACAGAATACCTGAGACTGAGTGAATTATAATGAACAGAAGTTCTGGAGGCTGGGAAGTTCAATATCAAGGTGCTGGCATCTAACTAGAACCTTTGTGCTACACCAGAACATGGCATAAGGAGAGAGGGGGATAGGGATGAACCCACTTGCACAACCTAAACACCTCTTAAACATCCCCCCTCCCAATATTTTCACAATAGCAATTGAACTTCAATATGAGATATATTGAGTACAAATATCTAAATCGTAGAAGAACCCTGGGTGAATCACTGGCCATTAGAATTCATGGGGGAGAGGGCTCCTCTGATTTCTTGGCCTGAAACTCAGTGGCAGGGTTGCAGCCATTGACCCTGAGAAGTGCCAACCTGTGGCCTCAGAAGCAGCTCGTCCTTCCATTTTTATTAGTCTATATGTGTTGTACAAAGGTGTTTCATTGTTTCCACACATGGGCACAATATACCCAGACCAAATTCATCCCTCCATCACTCCTCTTCATCCCCTTTCCCCTCTTCTGGAAACAAATTCAGCAGGTTTATGTTCTGCTTTCATACATAGCCCATCCTCTTTGAGAAATTTTATTTCTTACAACAAAAAGAATATCACATATCATATGATTTTCCAACCCTAATTAGCAGAAGAGTTTAATCCTTTTTCAGAGAATCAACCACAAAATGTAAAGTCTTTAAAAGTCTTGAATAAGAAAATATTTTTAAATTTGTTGTTTACAGGGACTTGTACCAAGAACTGTTGATTTATTTTAATTATGTTTAGAGTATTTCTTCTAAAATTATGTTTATTTTAATGATGTACTAAATGAGTATTGTATGTCTTATTTTAAATCAATTAAGAATTTATAAAATTTCATATTGTGAAGAGCAAACTAAGTTCATGTACCAGAGAATCATGTATTATGTTATGATTGAGTCCACAAGGGACTCTGGCATATAGGATTTTGTCCTCACCCTTGCATCTCCTGATCACTGATGACCTTCCTTCCTTAGCCCTATGTCTGCATTCCAGGGTAGAAAAAAGGGGTGAAGAGCAGAAAAGCAAAGAATATTCCCTAGCAAGACTTTCACCTCTTTAGTCAAGATCTTATATTTACAACCCAATAGCCAAAGCTATGTTCAATGGCCACCCTGAACTACAAGATGGGAAATCAATCATTTCACCTAGGCCCTTTGGCAACCAGAATCCTACTAATCTAATAAAGAATTCGTGGAGAGAAGATTTGGTATGGTAACCAGCAGTATCTCTCAACCCCTCAGCCTTCAAGCTGAATCATTGCTTTAGGAACAAACCAAGAGCCAATGTAGAGTCTTGAGTTACACCAAAGCTTTTCATAAATAAACTCTAGCCTGCTAAATCAGAATCTCTGGAGATGGATCCCTGAATCCTTTTAAGTACCAACCACTTTCCTCCATCACCCAAAGATACAAGTGCCCTCTGCTCTTTCTAATCAGTATCCCTGTTACCTTCTCTCCCCACAGATCAGCCATGGCCCAACATTCATATGCAACATCTCAGGCTGTGCTGTGAGCCCAGCTGTCCATTTCTCCTTCACCAGCTTCAACTTTGGGACTTGCTTCATCTACCAAGCTGGGATGCCCCCATACAAACAGACCCTGGTCATCACCAACAAGGAAGAAACATCTATGAGGTAAGCAGGATTCCCAGAAGGTCCAGATGATTCTGTAGCTCCTTATAGTTCCTACAGACTTCTATACAGGTGAGGCCCTGCAAAGGCCAAAAAAATGGGATTATGAGAAAGAGTCAAACACAGTTAAGCATGAATCTTGGTCCCTGATCCCAGCACTAATACTAATACTTGGACAGCCATGAGGTACCTGCTAAAAATCCTCTTCTCGAAGTGTAGAATACAATGCCAAATGACCTAATGGGAATTTTTATAGCTTCCATTCATTTTGTTCATGCAATATATTTGGAAACTGAGGTTTGGAGAATTTAAAAGTGAGTTTCTCTGAAATAAATCTGTACTGAACTTAAGTCATCCTATTCAAATCCAGCCTCTTTACACCATCCCTGTAGAATGTTCCAGTCCACATTTCTAGGCACCATTCCAGATCTAATGACACAGAATCTCATTGGGTCCAGAGACTTGATATAGACTCAAAGTACTCTTTGTCAGTACTATAGATAACTTTTTTTTACAATGATGGTAAGCTGTTTATCTGAACTGTCCAATATGGCAGCTTGTTAATCATCTCTGTGAACAAATACCTGACAAAAAACTTAAGGAAGAAAAGACATATTTTGCTCATGGTTTCAGAAGTTTCAGTCCATCACGGTGGGGAGGACATAGCAGAGCAGCTCACATCATTGCATACAGGAAGGAGAGCTAATAGGAATGGCCCAGGGCAAGATATAACCCCCAAGAACATGCTCCCAGTGATCTACTTCTTCCAACCAGGCCTTACCTTCCACAGTTCCACCAACTCCCAATAGTCTATTAAGATATCAAATCCATTAATTGGTTAAACCATTCAATAGGTCAAATCCCTCATGATCTGATTATCTCTGAAAATGAATGTCCTCACAGGCACACCTAGAGGCATGTTTTAATTATCTGTGAGGCATTTCTCAATCTAATCAAGTTGACAATCAAGATTAACCATCACAGTGGCACATAGCTAGAGGTGACTTTGGAACACTTGAAATGTTGCTAGTGCAACTAAGGAAATGAATTTTTATTTTATTATATTTTTATTTTAATAGTCACGGGTCTAGAGGCAACCATATTGGATAGCAACCATCTAAGTTCAAATTTCAGCTCTTCCTTTTTTGTGTGACCTTGGGAAACATTTTTTTAATTCTCTATCCTAATATCTGCTTGCCTGAAATGGTGAACCATAATAGAACCTCCCATATATGAGGATTAAATTAGTTTACCTAGAAATAATACTTAGAACAGTGCCTGCAACATAGGAAATGGTCACTTATTGCTAGCTTCTGCTGTTGTTGCTGCTGCTGCTACTATTGTTATGATTATTGTTATGAATATTAAATTATAATAGTATCATAACATTGTAAGTACTAATTTAAAAGCTTATCTACCTATAGTCTTTCTTGTATGATTTGATGTAATCTCAGTCCTACTTTCTTTAAGGCATGGAGTTCTATGCATTGATTTACCTAGACTCCACTAAATTCTTGTCAGACAGACAAGGAGTGGTTATAATGGAGAGATTTAGGTACCTTCCTGCCCTCAGGGTAGACACTGTAGTTGAGCAATTAGTCCTAAAAATAATAACTCACCTTTGTGGAATATTTTTTCTGTGTCCTGTTTAGTAACTGCTTTAGTCACTTTATCTCATGTAATCCTCACAACAACTCTATGAAATACCTACCACTACCCCCATTTTACAGATAAGAAAACAGAGACCCGAATAGACTAAGTAACTTTTCCCGGGTCACATGGTTAGTTAATGGTAGAAACTGGATCCAAACTCTTTTCTGCCTGACTCTAGAACACATACCCCTCTCTACTATGCTTTACCACCCAATTACTTCTGGAAGTACTTCCTTCTTATGAAAGAGTACAAAATCATGAGGTAAATTATCAAGAAATAAAGAACCAATTCGGTGAAAAGTGTACTGGGCAAAGGGTCATGAGCCTTTGAGATTAAGGTCTGATTCTGTGTGGATCTTAGGAGTGTCCTAGGGTAAGTACTTAACAATACCTAGGAGAGCATGGACTAGTCATTGCTGTGGCCTCTTCCAGTTCTTTGATGACTTCTCTGAGTCTAGGACAGTAGCACAAGAAATCTGCTAGTGCCCAACTCAGAGAGATTAGGGGACGTGTCAGTCCCTCCAAGTCAGCCATCTCAGAGCTTATACCCCTTCCTCTTGATTTTTCCCAGCATTGACTGTTTGTACACCAACACTACCCATCTCGAGGTGAACGTCCATGTGGATGTGGTAAAGCCAGGAAAAACACTGGAGATTCCAATCATCTTCTATCCCAGAGAAAGTATCAATTACCGAGAACTAATCCCCTTTGAAATCAATGGGCTCTCTCAACAAATAGTTGAGATCAAAGGGAAAGGTACAGAAATGAAGGTAAGAGATAATGAGGGAGGCCCTTGGACTTGGCTCCTTCCTTCTCCCCCTTCCCAGGTCCCCTCCACATCTCTGTCCCTGGGGCTACTATATCAGCTATCAACCAATTCCACTGAGATAGTAGTCCTAATCACACAAAGGAGGGAATTGTCAAATCAGACTCAAGTGAATCATATCTCTTACTCAATACCAGACTTCTCCATATCAAAGAATACAGACACTAGAGAAACTTTCTACGTCTTCTTAGAGAGGTTTGAGATTATCAGATGTGGCATCCCAAGCACATCTTCTTCCTCCCACACTAGGGCATGTTTTTTCAGGGGAGAGACTCAGTAGATAACATTTTAAGAAACGTATGCTATGAAGCGTCTTTCCTTAACACACCCATTGATTGACTGTCTCCAGCCAGCCACAGATCCCAGGATTACATTCAGTTGGGTATTCCTTCTGTCCATGTGCTCATGAAAGAAAGAAAATGGTCCTCTCTTCCCTTTCTTCCCAATGTCTGGCAGCCATTTAAGGTGTTTGTCTGGCAGAAATATTCGCGTTGTAACACACTAAACCTTCCAAGATTCTCAAGAATGCATGGCATTTCAGCAACCAAAGGGAAATAGGAGGGTATACTCCTGGAAGCTTCCCCTCAAGCCATAGGAACAACAGAATATTGCCACCTGGTATTTCTGGACCCAAGACAAAGACAGAATCTTTTCTGATACTGCTGACTCCTTCATTGGCTGATCTTTCATTTGCTCATTCAGCACCTGTTGTGTGGTGGTAACTTAAACATGTTCTCAGACCTCCAGGAGCAAAGTGACCAGCCAGGGAAATTCTCTCACCTTTTTAGACAAAATAGACACATGTGGACTAGAAGATAGTTGGAAGGAGGGGTACAATTCAGTGAGCAATCAAATAGCATTGGCCAGTAGATGCTGTTTATTGTGAGTCAAATCATTCTGGAGGCCAAGGCTCAGCCAAACCTTGGCCCCAACCAGATCAACATTTCAAACAATCCCTTAGATGAGTACTTTGAAATGTATCTACTTCCCTCCATCTCTACTGCCATGTTCTAGTCAAATCACCATCCTCTCTACTCTCACACTTTCCCTCTTGCCTTCTAGTCCATTCTCCAGAGAAGCTGACTTCCCATTTTCCCCAGAATAAAGCCCACAGTAACCTATAGACATTAAAAGACATAACCACCTCTCCAAATTCTTCTCAGCTGCTATCTCTTAGCCACAGGCCTTGACCAGCCCCCACCCTTGCACAGGCTGACACCACTCCCTGGAGGGCTTCCTGGCCCCCCCACCCACCCTGACTCAAAGTGACTAGATCCAGCCCTTCCTTAGCTCCATCTTCAAGATAAGCCCCCAGTCTAGTTTCAACCCCCTCCCCCCGCCCCCACAATGGGCTGTCAAGGTAACCTAAACTTTTCCTTCATCTCTCTTAACCCAGTTTTAATTATGTAATTGTGTAATGAGTTCTGTGGGCATTTTATGTGTATAAATGTTGAGTGAGCAACTCAATGCCCACCCAATAAGAACTTAGGTCACTGAAAGAGAGGGAGCCACCCTTGCCTCACCAAGATACATGTATCATATTTATTTTTCTCATTAACTAATGAGCTCTTCTGCCTAACTCTCTTTCTTTTCCCACAGATTTTAGTCCTAGATCCAGCCAATAGGATTGTGAAGTTAGGAGCTGTCCTGCCTGGACAAGTTGTAAAGAAAACGGTTTCTGTCATGAACAACAGCCTTGCCCCACTCATATTTAATCAGTCAGTCCTGTTCTCCACTCCAGAACTCCAGGATCCCAAGGTCAGTGCTTGGGCAAGGGGGGAGGGGACCCCCAAGGGCTTCTTCATGCTTCCTAACTTCCTACTGATATGGATGACCATGCTAGCAACAGTAACAGCTCATATTTCTTATGCACCTATAATGTACTAGAACATTCTAAGAAGCTTCCATGTGCTAGTTCAGATCACTTTCCCAAAAACAGTATAAGGTTAGCACTTTTATTATTCTCATTTTACATTTTTATTTCATTTTCCTTGACATTTGTTTATTTATACCTCTACTATGTAGATGGGCCAGTTCTCTATTTTCTTCTCATTCTAGGTGTTTCTAATTTTTTACATAATGAACAACCTTGTAATATCCATGTAGCTATATCTTTGTGTGCATCCATGGCTCTCTGTTTTAAGATGAATCCCTAGAATGAGCTTGATGGGTGAAAAGAGAAAGTGTGCTTCAATGAGTATCACCAATCTACCCCTGAAAGACTGTCCCAGTCTTATCGGCAATAGGAGAAAAGCATGTTTATTGCTGAATTCACCTCCTCAAAGTCCATTCCAGGCTGCCTGCTACCCAACTTCATGTCTTCAGTATTTAGTTGGGCCTTCAGAAATGAACCATATGAGAGTGGACTATATCCATTCCTTCATTCACTTCATTCTTGCATTTACTCAGTAAATATGTGCTAGATGTGGAGAATATAAAGGTAACTATGACACAGTTCTTAATCTGGTGAAGTTCACAGTCTTGGGGTTTCACACATGTAAGCACTCACAGGACAGCATGGAAACTACAGAAGCAGGATGTGAATTGGGGGCCAGGCTGCTCAGAGCAGGTCTCAGGGGTAGTGGAAAGCAGAGAGGCCTGGTCTGCATGTTACAGGATGAACAGGTATCTCCTAGTCAGAAGGGTGGAGAGGAGCATCCCTTGGGAGTAAAGGGTCAGAGTTTCTGAGAAACTAGATGTGAATCATTGTGAAAGAAGCACTGTAGACCACCTAGGGATTTCAGGATACAGAAAAATTGTCTGTGAGGCCAGTCAAAACAAGAGACCCTGTGGGCATCTCATCCCAGGATCTACATTGCCCATGGCTCCATCCAGACAAGGAGAGTAAAGTCATTGCTTCCTTCTCTTCATTTATCCAAATTAAAGTCCTTATCCTAGGGGGTCAAGGCCCCTAAGAGTTTGCCCATATTAATTCTTCCTCTTATATAACCAGGCCAAAGCTTCCAGAATGACCCGTGTTGGTCCTGCCACCCTGAGGCTCACTCCCATCATTGTGTTAGAAAACTCTCTAGGATTGTTTTGCTCTTGTGGATCCTCTCTGCCCCTCACCACACTCCCTACATCCACGGTCCACTTGTCAGTGATTTGTCAGTGCTCTGGACCAAAACACTTAAGGGATTGGCTTCCTTAAGGCTGATTTGAATTTGCCTTTTCCCAGGACTAAGGGGAAACAGAAAGCCATACAGATTTGTGCAGTGCCTCTCAAACTTTAGAACACATGAACCACCTGGGAGAACTTTTGAAAATGTAGGTTGCAGTCTGTTCCAGGGACACAGTGTACCTGGAGTAACAGCATGGAGTCTGCATTGTAACAATCCCAGGGAGCGCTTCTTGAGAAACAGAGGAGTACAGAGTAGTTAATGTTTCCTACTTCCTGCTTCCTGCTACCATTTTCTCTACCAGAGAGAAGGAAGGAAGAAGGAAATGCTCAAGTTGAGCTGAAATGGAGCAGAAAAGGGAATTGACATTTACTGGATGCCTATTATATACCACACGTTTTATATACATGATCCTAACATTCACCATAGAGCAAGTCATGGAGGATTTAGTAACTTAACCAAAGATGACACAGTCGGTAAGAGCAAATGTGAGATTTGACCCTGGGCTGACAGCCCCAGCAGCAAGACTTCAGGTAATCAAGGCCTCAGGAGCCTCCTTTCCCTCAGCTCTGAGTCCAGTTGTCTTTTTGTCCAGGTCATCACCTTGGTGCCTTTCCACAGCATCACCCTGAAGCCCAAAGAAGTCTGTAAACTGGAGGTCATCTTTGCCCCCAAGAAGCGTGTCCCTCCCTTCTCTGAGGAGGTATTCATGGAGTGTATGGGGCTTCTGCACCCTCTCTTCCTCCTCAGTGGTTGCTGCCAGGCCCTGGAGATCTCCCTGGACCAGGAGCATCTTCCCTTTGGACCAGTCGTATATCAGACGCAAGCCACACGCCGCATTCTCATGTTCAACACAGGCGACGTGGGTGCAAGGTAGGAGGTAGTGCCTCCCTCGGACACTGAAGCAGATAGCTCTGTCTCTGGATTGCCAGATGTCATTTTGCAAGTGCAGCCACTTTTTATTTCTGCCCTCTCTTCTACATACATCCTTTTCCTTGAGGATAGGAGGGTCCCACCAGAGTGACCACTGCTATCATGATTACTGAAATTAATATGAGAGAGACCATTTGCACAGTCCTGTTAACATGCCCTTCACTTGGCTTATCCCACTTAATTCCAAACACAACCCTAGGAGACCAGTACTACTAACTGATCCATTTTAAATATGAGTAAACTGAGGTTCAAAGGAACTGAGCAGCTTTTCCCCAAATCACACCTGTAACAAAAACTTACTGTGTACAGGTACAATACTGAGCACTCTTACATATAATCTCCTATTGAATTATCCCAGGATCCTTTAGGTGAGGATCACTATAGTGACCCATTTCACAGATTAAGTGAGGCTCAAAACAATTAGATTACTTGCCCAGGATCACACAACCAGGCTTTGGAAACGAAAAGATTGGAATCCAGCTATAACTGTGGCATCTCTTCTTTCCAAACTCTTCTCACTTGCCTCTCATGAATACTGACACAGCAGTGCAGGCTGTGCACTTCCCTCCCAAGGAGGTTCTCATGGCACAGACTCAGTGTGAATGCCATCCTAAGGAATGTGATGTGGTGGGACTGGCCTACACCGTCCATCCCCTGTCTCCTGCCCCAGACCAAATGTCCAACCACAGGGATTATCCATAGAGCCATCAGATCCCAAGAATAAGTGCAACTCTCACATGAAGGGATTGTCTCACCACCCTACCATATCTGAACAGAGTGGCAAAACAGAGCATGGTAAGGTCATGGTCTCAGGAGATTCCAGGCTTAGCCCAGTCCCTTGCTAGCTGTGTGCATGCTCACGCTCTTGTTCCCTGATGTGTTACCCATGGATAATGAGATAAGATGCAGATACTTCCCACCCTGGCTCAGCCCTGAGAGGGAGCCAAGTTCCCTTACCCAGTGATCTAGGCCCATGTCTCCAACTGTCTCTGCTCTGTCCTGCAGGTCATTCTCCTCCCAGATCCCAGGGAGTAGGCAATGAGGGAAACCATGCAGCTTAAAAGCCCATGCGAAATCTGTTTTCATTAGCATTGAGAGCACCCTCAAAATAGTAACAAGCTGTCTTCCTTGTCTTCTTTTGTCTTGGAAAAGGTTTAAATGGGATGTCAGAAAATTTAAACCTCATTTTTCCATCAGCCCAGAGGAAGGCTATATCACTGCAGGCATGGAGGTTTCTTTTGAAGTGACCTACCGTCCCTCCGAGGTAGGAAAAGAGAGTCTCTATAAAAACCTGCACTGCTATATCCAGGGAGCCAGTCCTCTGTGCCTCACCCTATCTGGAGTCTGTGTTGGACCACCTGCAATAAAAGAGGTAAGTTGGCGTGAACCAGTAGCAGGAATGAGTTCAGCAAGAGCATTCATTCCTCAGCACATGTATCAAATATCCAGACCAACTCCTTCCCACCACAGGGACTTCGCACATGTCATTCCCATTGCTGGGATATTCTTTCTTCCCTCTTTATTTAGTTAACTACTATTCTTCAGCTCTCAACTCAAGCATTGCATTCTCATGGAAGCCTGCACTGACATCCCTTCTAGATCAAATTCTGTTGTAAGACCTATGAGAAAAGGATTAACACCTTTCTCATTCCATGTGGATTTTTAAAAATGGCCTTTGATGAATCCTCTGCTAGCCTTATTCCTGGAAATCTAAGTGTGTTGTCAGCTCTGTTTCCTGACAATGTAGCTTAGGGTAAAAAATGACATCAAGTCTCCCTCTCTATGACTTTTGTTAGTTCAAGTATGTTACTTGGATGGAATCCTACGGTATGCCAGGAACATATATGAACAAGTCCTGCAAGAGCATATTATTTCTCTTGGGCAAATACCTACTTATGAAATAACTGGGTCATAGAGTATGCCTGTGTACCTTCTTAAGAAACTGCAAAATTGTTTTCCATAGTTGTGTCCTTTTACGATTCTGCCAGCAATATCTGACATTTCCAGTTGCTCCCTATCCTTGTCAATACTGGATATGGTCAGTTTCCTCGGGTTTGTTTTTTTTTTTTTTTTTTTTTTTGGTCATTCTGTCACATGTGTAGTAGTATCTCACTGAGGTTTGAATTCACATTTCCCTAATAAACATTGATACGTAGCATCTTTTCAGGAACTTACTTTTACTTTCCATCTATGTATCTTCTTTGTTGTTGTGTCTGTTCAAGTCTTCTATTTTTAATTTGTTCTTAAAGTTTTGAGAGCTCTTTATGTATTTTGGACACAAGTCTTGTATTAAATCTTTTTAGAGTTAATTTTTGTATACAGTACAAGATAGGGATCAATTTTTTTTATATATGAATAGCCAATTGTTCTAGCACCATTTTTTGAAAAGGCTATCCTTTCTCCATTGGAGAATCCTGTTCTTGCCCATTAATCTACATCATTATCTTTACATCAGCACCACACTGTCCAAGTTTTTGCATCTAGCATTAAATCAATTCTTCATATATACATGGGTCGACTGTTAAATTCTGTTCTTGCCCATTGATGTTGATGTAACTGTCTTTACACCAACATCACACTATCCATGTTCTTGAATCCAGTGCTGGTTCTCACCCATTATCTTACTGGATCTGGGATAGCATGTGACATGTAAACCATTTCCTCCTTCCTCAAACACTCCTTTGTTTGGATCCAGGACACCACTTCCTGGTTTCCTGTGCTTCATAGACTGCTCTTTTTTTCATCTTTTCTCATTCTCCATAACACAGTAGTTTGCCCATCAAGAGTTTGTTTTAGGTTCCTTCTGTTTTCTAAAGATGCTCCTTTCTTGTTGATCTCTTTCAAAGTTGGCCTTTAAAAAGTTTGCAATACTAACAATCCCCAAATCTGTATCTCCAGAGTGAATTTTTTCCCTTAGATTCCATATTTGTAAATTTCACTTCCTGCTTGACTAATAAACTTATCAAACTTCTTTTTGTTTGTTTTTTCTTTTTTCTTTTGTTATTATTTATTCCTTTCATTTTATCATTTTTACATTTGCTTACATGTGTATACATTGTTTGTGCCACCTCCTCCCCCAAACCACCCCTATAGCCTTACAGGCAGAACCTGTACCACCCACTTCTCCATTTTTGTTGAAGAGAAAACATAAGAGATAATAAGAATGACATATCATTTTTGCCAGTTTGGGATAAAGATAGATATACAGAGAGATTCCTAGCATTGCTTCCATGCACTTGTGTATTGCAACCCACATTGGTTCGTTTCTACCAGACCTCTTTGCTGCTTCCTTTCCATAGTGGCCTCTGCCAGTTTAAGATTACTTTATTTGATCTACTATAGTGTGCATATCAACTACATTCAAGTTTTAGGTTTCCTTTCCTTTATATATTTCTCCCATGTGTGTTCTCCCCTTAGTGTGTGACCCGTGTCTAATACTATTACTGCATTTGTTTCAGGTCTATAATCCACATATGAGGGAGAACATGCAATTTTTGGCCTTCTGAATCTGGCTAACTTCGCTTAAGGGATGTTCTTTAGTTCCATCCATTTACTGGCAGATGGCAAAATTTCATTCTTTGTGGCTGAGTAAAATTCTATTGTGTATAAATACCACATTTTCTTGATCTATTCGTCAGTTGTGGGGCATCTTGGCTGTTTCCATAACTTAGCTATTATAAATAGTGCTGTAATAAACATGGGTGTGCAGGTGCTTTTGTAATAACTTGAGTTGCATTCCTTTGGGTATATCCCTAGGAGTGGTATTGCTGGATCATATGGCAGATCTATATTTAGTTTTTTTAAGGAGCCTCCATATTGTTTTCCAAAGTGGTTGTACTAGCTTACAGTACATGAGCAGTGTATGAGGCTTCCTTTTCCCCATATCCTCACCAGCATTTGTTGGTGGTGGTGTTCTTGATGATAGCCATTCTAACATGGGTGAGGTGGAATCTTAGTGTGGTTTTGATTTGTATTTCCTTTATGGCCAGGGATAGTGAGCATTTTTTCATGATTTTTGACCATTTGGATTTCTTCCTTAGAAAAAGTTCTGTTTAGTTCAGTTGCCCACTTCCTTATTGGTTCATTAATTTTTGAAGAGTTTAGTTTTTTGAGCTCTCTGTATATTCTGGTTATCAGTCTCTTGTCTGATGTATAGCTAGCAAATATTTTCTCCCACTCTATGGGTGGTCTCTTCAATTTAGAGACATTTCTTTTGTTGGGCTGAAACTTTTTTAATTTCATGTAGTCCTATTTGTCCATCCTTTCTCTTAGTTGCTGGGCTGCTGGAGTTCTACTGAGGAAGTCCTTGCCTCTACCTGTTGTTTCCAGGGTATTCCTGCTCTTTTCCTGTACTAACTTCAAAACTTGTCAAATTTGAAATGCACAAAACTGAATCCATAATCTCCTCCTCAAGTCTGCTCCTCCCACAGTCAACCTGGCCTCCATAAATGGATCTCCATCTTCTAATTGCTCAGGCTAAAACTTGGCTGTCATTCTTAAATCTTATTCCACTTACATACAAGATTCCATACATTAGAAAGTCCTATTGGCCCTTCAACGTACAACCGGAACACATCCACTTCCCACCATCCCCAGTACTGCTGCCAGTGTCACCCAAGGCATCATCCTCTCCCGCCTGATCTATGAGAAGGGTCTTCTAATTGTATCTCTCCCTTTGTCACTGATAAGTATCTGGGATGATTCCATTAAAACATAGATCAAATAATTTCACTCCTCTACTTAAAACTCCCTGAATTCCCCCTATTTCAGTAAGGGGGATTGCTACCATGACTTCCAAAGCCCTACATGCTCTTCTTCCCCCTACTTTATCATCCCCTCACTCCACGTTTGCAAGGATGGCCTCCTTGTCATTTGTCAAATCCAGGACCTTTGCAAGTGATGTTTTCTCTGCGTAGATAACTCCTCCCTCAAGTCTCTCATAACTTCATTCTTCTTGGTCTTTAATCAAATATGTATTCCCAGTCTATATGATGTCTTCCTTGATCACCCTACGTAAAGTTTCACATCCACCCTCATCTGGCATTCCCTATGCCCTTTCCCAGCTTTATTTTGCTCCATATCTCTAATTCCTATCCCACACACTGCATGCTCTTTGAAGACAAGGATTTTTGGTATTTTTTATTATTACTACAAACCCAACACCAAGAACAGTGCCTGGCACACAGAAGGTAGCCAATAAATATTTATTGAATGAATGAAAAGAAAAATTATCCATTGAAACTCACAATGGGAATCACTGTTGAAGACAGTGTTGTACCTCACATATTCTGTACCTCTGGCCCCTGAAGACAGGCCAGGGGAAGTGCCATGGAAAGTAAGGTGCCAGCTTTTTTCCAGGTGGTAAATTTCACCTGCCAAGTGCGCTCCAAGCACACGCAAACCATCCTGCTGTCAAACCGCACCAACCAGACCTGGAATCTGCACCCCATTTTTGAAGGCGAGCACTGGGAGGGGCCTGAGTTCATCACCCTGGAAGCCCACCAGCAAAACAAGCCCTATGAGATCACCTACAGGCCCCGTACCATAAACGTGGAGAACCGTAAGCACCAGGTAGGCTGAGGCTTCCCATTGGATTCCTGGCATAGTTGAAAAGAGGAGCTGTGTTGAGAGAGTTTAGAAGACAATTTGGAGCTCAGAATTCAGAGAGTGTTAAAACAGTGGGGAGTAAGTACCCAGATCATGGAACAACGTGGTGGTTGTACAGATGGTCCAAATTTGTCTGTCCTTTTTGCCCATGCATAAAAGCATTGGGGATTCTCCTTAAAGCCAAAAGCTTGGTTCTGAAATAATTACAAAAATAGCAGGTGAGTGTAATAAAAATCAGAAAAGAAGCTACAATCTCTGCCCTTATTTTAAAAAGTGAAATCTTCTTCTTTCTTTATTATCAGTCCTTATTTGGATACAGTCATACCTGTCTTCATAACATACCCAATCTTGTATTCAGATTGTTTTCACTTTACGTTGTATCCTTAGCATTTTTCTGTTTAACTGTGTAGTTTTTGTGATAACCATTTTAGTGATTAACATTTCATTGAGTGCTCCATAATTTATTTAACATTCCCTGTTATTGAATGTTTATCTCCAAATTTTCATCAGTATTATAGGTTGTTCTCCAGAGATTTACCTTCAGAGGGATTTTTCTTAGTAAGTTACCTCATTCAAATGCACATGAACTTGTTTTTTTTTTTTTTTTTTTTTTTGAGACAGGGTCTTACTATGTAGCCCAAGCTAACCTCAAACTCATGATCCTCCTGTCTTAACCTCCCAAGTGCTAGGATTATAGGCATGAATCACCATGCCTGGCCATACAAATATTTTTATAACTCTTAGAACATATTACCAAACTGCTTTCCAAAAGTGCTGTTTATTTGCAGAACCATTATTAGTCCTGTATCCCTACTCCACCTAATAAAGGACACCTATTATGTGCCTATTAAAAGGCTCTCTGTCTTATCCTGCTCATGTTTCTTTTCATCCTAAGGGCACACTCTTTTTCCCCCTCCCTGATGGGACTGGCTGGCTATATGCTCTGCATGGGACTGCTGAACTCCCCAAAGCCGTATCCAACATCTACCGTGAAGTGCCATGTAAGACACCCTACACAGAGCTCCTGCCAGTCACCAACTGGCTGAACAAGACCCAGAGGTGAGGGAGTGGGACAAGGGGTTGAGGTGGGGAGACAAAGGGACAACCTCCACCATCTAGCTTGGTCCATCCCCTGCTCATTCTCTATAGAGAATGTTGTAGGGCTCAAGGAGTCAGAGATAATGTTTTTTGATATAGCCAGGCATTTCCTGAACTCTAAGCCTCCAAATTCTCCTCCTCAGTGCTATTTCTTCTACACCCCCTAGAACAATGCCTGGCACAAAATAAATGTCCGATAAATGATAGCTGTCATTAGAATAATGACAATCATTTTTGTTGTTGAGTGTATCTTATTACCTAAGCAACTGGCCAGTGAGGAATACCACTGAATCTTGTACTTGCAGTAGAGTAGAATGGAATGCAGAGACTAGAGCAGCTCAAAGCCAACCAGATTGGTGTCTCCTCTTTTTATGGAGAAACAAAGACTGAGAGAAAAGGCATAACTACCTGAAGGCTACCTGCTTAGCATAGTGAATAGAGGCTGGGATCTAAGTTTGAATTCCAGTTTTGCCAATAACTAGTCATGATACCTGGCATGTTATCCTCCTTCTTTGGGCCTCTATTTCCTCATTAGTAAAGTGGAGATATTAGTGATACGTACCTTCTACAGACTTATGATAATAAAATGTCTGTAACGTGGAGAGAACTTGCTCTGTACCTAGCACATTAGAACAGGTGGTCAATAAATGACAGTTACTGTTAGGGACAGATTGAAGACTACAATTGAATACCCACATGCTTTCCATAAAATCAAGAATAAACACAGCACCTTTCCTTCTTTCCTTTGGACAAACAGTCTAATTGTCTCTCTCCTCTCGTCATGTGCTCTTGTGTTGCCCCAGATTCCGGGTCATTGTGGAAATGGTGAAACCAGAGAAGGCAGACCCAAGCATCACCATGAAGGGCCTTGATTACATTGATGTACTGTCTGCCTCCAAGAGAGACTACAAGCTGAACTTCTTTTCCTACAAGGAGGGACTGTACTCTGCGAAGGTATCTCCATGTCAAAAGCACTACCTGGAAACCCTGGAAGTCCAACCTGAGGTTGCTGATCCTGGTGTTAGGAAAGAGTGGAGATCTTCCCCCAGTCACTGTTCAAAGACACCATGGGGTCTTTCACACATGAGCTGTCTTGCCCAGTTCATTCATTTGTTCAACAAGTATCTATTGAACACATATGTCATATTCTGTACTAAGTGCTGGCAGCACAGCAATGGCCAAAATAGACACAGTTTGTGTTCTCATGGAATACAAAGTTTTGTGGGGGAAATGGACATTATTCAAATAACTGCACCATGAGTGTATGATTTCAAAATGAGGTGTGTGCTTTGAAGAAAAGGATCATCTGTAGATTTGTAGCTTATAAGAGAAGATAGGGCTGAAGATTTAGGAATTACTCATTTATAGGTAGTATTTGAAGTTATGATAGATGATAGAATCACCAAAGTAAAGATTTTAAAGTGAAAAAAAGACAAGATTTTTAATACAATGTCTATAAAAGGCAGACTATATAAATATTACTACCTTAACAATAATAAGATTAATAACTCAGTGTATTAAAAAGAACAAAAAAGTTGAACAGACTCTACTTCACAAAAGTAGCTATGTGAATGACCAATAAGCACACAAAATCAACATCCTCATTCACCAGGGAAAAGAGCTTTGACAACTGAGAGGCCCATCAACAAGTCACTTGCAGGGTGAGGGGAATTGTTAGTGCAGCTACAAGTGTGAGCTCTGGGGTCAGTTCAACCTGGATTCAAATCCTGGCTATGACAGTTCTTTTCATGGGACCTTGGGCAAGACACTTAGCTTGACTAAACTTCAGTTTCCTCATCTTTAAAGAAAGGAAAGAGAAAATAATAACAGTGCATACAAATTGTGTGAATTAAATAGACAGTTAGTTCCACACAGTAATCATCCACTGAGTGTTAGATGCTGTCGTTGATATCATTGCTGTTAAGTACTCCTGCTGGAGTAGCAACTGCAGTAGAAGGAAGGCCCATTACAGCTTGAACCTCCTGATGTCTCACTTGTTCTCCAGAGCCAACCAGCTTTCCCCACTGGGAATGGATGGGCATTGGACCAAATTGCTCTAACCTCTTCTAAAGCCAAACTAGGCTCTTTAATCACCTCTTGCCTGGGAGGTGGAGCCAGTCTGGAATGCCTAAAGAGAAAAGCTGGCTAGCAGGGTTCAGACAAGCTGGCAGGGCCAGGGCCTGTGTTTCCTATGCCCAGGCAAGGCTAACAGAGATCAGAAGCCCTTGAGCACGTGCAAGGACCCTTTGCTAACCCCTCCTCTTCCTTGCTTCATCCCACTCTTCTGTGAATGCAGGTGATCTTCCGGAATGAAGTGACCAGTGAATTCTTGTTCTACATGGTGAGTTTTAGAGTCACCCCTTCAGGCATTATCAAGACCATTGAGATGACGAGCCCCATCCGCCAGAGCACATCAGCCTCCATCAAGGTGGAGAACCCCTTGCCCTACTCAGTGACCTTCTCCACGGAATGCAGGGTGTCTGACATCAGCCTGCCTTCGCAGTTTGCTGTCCCTGCCAACTCTGAGGTATGGCCCTGGCTGCCAGGGGTCCCTTGAGGGCTGTGAAAGATACTTCCACTCATAGGGCCTCTGGGTCTCTGTTCTATATTCCCTAAGGATGGGCCAGCCCTGGCAGAGGTCACGAGGGTGGAAGATGATCACCTTCATGTTCCTTTCCTTTCCTTCCAAAGTCCTCATGTAAACTAGGGGCCATTAGCTTTGGTTTGAACAGATAAAATGGGCTTTTTGATTGTGAACCTTGTCTCTATTGTTTGTTTTCTTGGCATGTTCAAGTTAAAAATATTTTTCTTGGTTTTTCTTCTAATTATAAAAATAGCTTAGGCTGAGAATATAGCTTAGTGGAAGAACACTTGCCTGGAATGTATGGAATCCTGAATTCAAATACCAACATCTCTCTCTCTCTCTCTCTCTCTCTCTCTCTCTCTCTCTCTCTCTCTCTCTCTCTCCCTCTCTCTCTCTCTCTCTCTCTCTCGTAAATGTGCTTATTTTTGCACAGACTATTTCCAATGGATGCACAAGAAATCTGTAATAGTGATTTGGGAGGGCATAGCCTGGAATAATTAACTGTAGGAAGATGAACTTCATTCTTTATACTTTTTATCAGTTTATCCCTCTAAATTCTCACTGCCTAGATTTCACCAAAATCCCTCTGAGAGCTGAGAGTAGATTCTACTCTCAGATTTCTCTCCATGCTGGGTTTTGTCTTAGGAGGGGGCCTCAGTGACCTGGTTCTGAGTCTTCAAATGGCCTATACTGCCTCCCATGGTCTAATCTTATTGCAACAGTTTGCAGTTAACAAACTGGGAGCTAGAAACCACCTCCAGCTTTGGCTGTCATTGTCAGATTATTCTATCAAATTTTCCAGGTTGAATTGGATCCCTCAATTCAATGGTGATTTCTGGGTTCTTTGGTTCTCAGGATGATGTTTCTTTGCATACTTTCCCCCCTTCATCCCATGGAGGGGCTCATAACTACATGAAGCTTGCAGCTATTAGTAGTCTGCCCTACCCACTCATATTTTGGGGGTCTAAGAGTTACCTTTTCACTTAGTTTTGTCATAGAAGCTTGCATGAGTTCCCGTTGTTATTGTTAAGCCAGTTGATCTGTGTGTTCTGTGAAAAGATATAGGGAGATTCCAAACTATGCTACAGTTACTGTCATCTCACCCAAAACCTAGAATTGGTTTTAATGTATAATGTGAGTAAAATTGAGGTTTCCTTTTTCCCAAGTCAATATAAATCAACTCAGACTATTTTACTTAAAAAAATCTTTTCTCCACTGCTTTGAAGGACCATTTATAAAATAAATTAAGCTCATAGATGTATTGGTCTATTCTAGATTTTCCATGATATAGTAATGATCTAATTTCTGACCTCATACCAATGCCACTGTATCCTAATTAGTATACACTTAAAGGTTGATATCTAGTAAAGTAAACCATCACTGTATCATTATTTTAAGACTTACTAACCTCTTATATTCTTATTATTCTTGAAGATTATCTTGGTTATTCTTGACTCTTTGCATTTCTATATAAATTTTGGAATCAGCTGTTCAAGTTGCTCAAGAGAAATAAAGAAAAAGTAAAAGAATTTATTGGAGTTTTTAATGGGATTACATTAAATCTATAGATTATTTTATGAATATATTAGTTATCTGTTGGTCCATAACAAATCACTTCAAAACTTAGCCACTTCAAATAGCAAACATTTGCAATCTGCACAGTTCTGAAGATCAGAAATCCAAGAGTAGCACTTTGTTTGGGTAGTTTAGGCTCAGGGTCTCTCATGCAACTGGAGTTAGGCAAGTTAGCCAGGACTCTAGTCATCCCTAGGTGAGTGGAACTACATAACCTGCTTCCAGTCTTACACATGAGTTTGTTAGAAAGGCCTTAGCTTCCTTCTGGCAGTTGATTGGAGACCTCAGTTCCTCACCATTTGAATCTCTGCCTGGAGCTGCTTTCAACATGGCAGCTCACTTCCCCTAGAGTGAGAGATCTAAGAGCAGGAGAGACTGCAAGGGAGAAAAGAGTGCACAAGACAGAAGCTTAGCTTGTCTTGTGTACTCTCCTAATCTCAGGAGTGATGTGCCATGTCTTCTCCCATATACTCGTGGTCACCCAGACAATCCCTGGACAATGTGGAAGAGGACTGCATGAGGGTGTGAATACCAGGAAGTAGATATCACTGGAAGCATCTTGAGCCTATCTACCATCTCCATAAATGTGCTTCTCCAGAAAGGATCCAGCTCCTATTTCTTAGATTCAAAGAGACTCCAGATATAGAAAAACCTGAACTAGAGAAAGTTGGGAGAGGTGCAGAGGAGGGAGAGTGGACTAGCACTTGGACAGAGGTTCCCTAAGCTCAGGGTCTATATGAGCATTTGTGCATGAAGTACCATTTCTGCCACCAACCCCTGTGAGGCCTTAGGCTGGTCACTAGGTAAGCAGAGGAGTAGATCAGATTTCCAGCATGACAAGAGCCTCTGTCTTTTCTTGCAGGGTACATTCTCATTTGAATTCCAGCCTCTGAAAGCTGGAGAAACCTTTGGGAGACTCACTTTGCACAACAGTGATTTAGGTTATTACCAGTATGAGCTCAACTTGAAGGCCCTGCTAGCACTTCCTGAGAAGCCTGTCCGCTTCCAAACCGTTCTTGGCAGCAGCCAAAGCATCTTTGCAAAATTCACCAATTACACACGGCAGAAGACAGAGTACTACTGCAAGGTGAGCAGGCCCTTCCCTTGCCACAGTCTGTGTTCAGAAATGATGGGAAGATGACTCTGAGGATGCAGAAAAGTGAAACTCAGAGAACATAGTGACTTCACTGTCATAACAACCCCCACCCTGAATCTAGCTTGGAAACTCCCAGCTAGAAACAAATAGTACCAGGCCTGGGTACTTCCTTTTCAGATTTTCTATTTTATCAAACTAGGGTGGGGTGGAAATTTTGCTTCCTACGCCATGCTCAGGGGCCAAAAACGGAAGAAAAGTATCACTTCATGGTCATGAGTTTAGGCTGTGTAATCAAATACATGGATTTGAATCCTTGCTTCACTACTTATTCTTTGTATGAATAACTTAGTTAAGTTCTCTAGGTTGTAAATGAAGATAATACCCCTGTCTCCATCAATTTTCATAATTATAAATGAATATCACAGATTGGGGAATTATAAATAATAAAGGATTATTCAGCTCATAATTTTAGAAGATGAGTGGTCCAAAGCTGAGGGGCTGCATCTGGCAAGGTCTCTCGCTAATGAGTATGCTCTACGGAGTCCCAAATTGGTACAGGGCATCACACGGTGAGAGGAGTACCTCCACGGGAGAGAATCAGAGTGGATCTTATAGCAGACACACTCTCAAGATAAACCTTTAACCCATTAACCCACTCATCTATGAATTCATGAGGGCAGCCCTCATGACCCAATCACCTCTTACAGGTGCCACCTGGTCCCACCTCTCAATACCTCACAGTGGGGATTAAATTACAACATAAGCTTTGATGGCGACATTCAAGCAAACCACAGCAATCTCCCACCTCACAGAACTGCTGCAAGCACTTTCAAATATGTATATAAATCTATTTTCTTAGTGTCAAGCCCATGGGGTACATTAGTAATACATTATTTGTTACAGCAACTGGAATATAGCTTAAACCACTAAAACAAAAATCCAAGAATAACAGCAAAATAGAAACTTGTTCCTCTCACAAATAATAGTCTAGTCACTGGCAGTCTGATCTGGAATGGCAGTCCATGCTATCAGATACCCAGACTTCTCATCTGCTGTTCTTTCCTCTACAAAGTTGTGTTGGGCCACATGGGCCAAGATGGCTTACCATGACATCCATGTTTCCAGCCAGTTACAAGGAGAAAGAAGGGGGAGTTGCAAACATCCACTGACATCCCATTGAACAAAACTTCACTGAAATACGTCTAGCAACAAGGGAACTGGGAAAAGTAAATGCTCTAGGATGGAAGTGACGTCTTTCACTTCTACTCACAGCTAATTGTCCAAATTAGTCCTACCCATCTATAAGGAGTCAGAATGTTCATCTTCCATGTGTATGGAAAGAAAGCACCAGATATGGAAGAGTCAGCCCAGTGTCTGCCCTACCACCATGATCTAGCTGTGTGTCTTAAGGCACTTTACTAACATCTCTTTGCCTCCATTTCTAGGTAACAAAACTGGAATAATAATGAATAATACCTACCATCCAAGGACCTCAGATTTATAGGTTATTAGGACACAACTTTATAGCCCTCCCAGCCTCACATAAATATAAGTTGTTTGGTGACTAGAATTGGAGGGGTTGGTGTGAATTTCAGCTCCTGAGATGCTAGTTAAGATCCTATGTGAGTCAAATTCATTTTTCCCCTTTCAGACAGACTCTCCGGACTTTCATACAGAAAGAGTCATTAGTGCAGTCCCAGGAGCCCAGGGAGGCACAGAAGTCAGCGTAGAAGTCTTCTTTGAGCCCAGCCACCTGGGTGAGACCAAGGGCATCCTGATCCTGTCATCAGTTATAGGTGGGGAATATATCATCCCCCTCTTTGGAATGGCTCTTCCTCCCAAGCCTCAAGGCCCCTTCCTGATTCGAGCTGGGTACAACATGATCATCCCCTTCAAGAATGTCTTCTTGCATACGGTGAACTTCTCCTACATTGTAGAGAACCCAGCCTTCACTGTCCGTGCTGTAGACTCTGTACGGTCCAAGAAGATCAACAACATCGCAGTCTACTTTGAGGGAAACCCATCGGGCAGCAAAACCCCCATCACCACCAAGCTGATCGTGACCTGTCCTCAAGGGGAAGGCAATGAAACTGGAATTAAATGGGTTTATTATCTGAAGGGGATAACCCCTTAGTGATAACCAGAGTTACCTTCGTCAACCAAAAGCTAACTCCTCAGCCTAAGATCCATACATTGCCCTAGACTGACAAAGACTAGAAAAGAAAACAGGAAATCTAAAGGGGCAGTTTTATCCTCATTTAATTTTAGGGGCAGTCATTTCTATATTTCATGCTTTCCAAATGCAAATATGAAATATACTCCATATTAAACATAGATACATACAGATCTACATTTGAGATGACTTAATCTTTGCAAGTCTCTGACTTTTGTTTCTTGACGTATCACACAGCCTCAAGTACTCTATAATGATCACACTTAACAAGAAGACATAGGTCATACTAGTGACCTTTGCCACAGAGCATTTTGCAGTGCCTGACACTAGGGCACTGCAAATTCTTCTTAAAATCTAAATGATCCTTAAATCTGACTCAATTTTGATGTAACATTTTTTTTTCTGCTTTCACATAATAGCCAAAGAAGTAACTAATCAACAAACGGGTAATTTTATGCCAACTCAGGGATGCTCTCACTTTTTCTCTTAAATTTTACACCATCAGCCTCCAAATCTCATATCTGTTCCACACAGAAAGTCCTTGTTCAATGCCAGGTCCTAGAGAAGGCTAATGAGACCACACCTCCCCACTGCCTCCCCCAGCCCTGGCAATAGCAGTCAGTAGGAAAGCAATGATTCTCCACACATCTGTACATCAAATCATCTAACTCACACCCAGAACCCACCTCTCCCCAATATTGATTTAATCAGTCTTGTAAGGGGCATGGATATCTCTATACATATATATAAACTTATTCTGAAGAGTTGAAAACCAGGACTACAGAGCAACCACATACCCAGACATTTGTGCTGCAACTCAGTCAGAAATCCGATCCAGGGGAAGGACTGCATCCCAATGTGACATGTTGGAATTGCAACTATTTCATGTGCACGTAAAGGGTGACCCTCTAGGGTAGTGCCTTTCTTGAGCACCATACTAGAGGGTCCACCTCCAAGAGATCATGAAGCACCTGCCTCAATCCAGGGACCTGGTTTCACACCTGTCTCTTCCCCCAGAGTCTCAAAGTATGTATTAGTAGGACCACTTACCTATGGGTGACACATGGCAAAATAAAGATGGGTAAACACTGGCCCTGAAGTGAACTTGCTTCTGCAAACACAACCTTTGACTGAAGTTCTCCTGCCCATTTTCGGTTCCTGTAGTCCATCTGCAGAGAGGGAAGAGGTGTGAATTTACATGGCCACTTGGGAACAAATGGTCTAAAGAATTGGGTCTCCAAAATGGTCCCTTGGCCCCACCAGAAGCAGCACCTGGGAATTTATTAAGGATCCAAATTCTCAGTCCTCACCCCAGACCTATTAAGTTAAAAATTGTAGGGGTGCAGCCCAGCAATACATTAATAAGCCCCTATCCCTAATACAGGTTTTTTTTTAAATGGATGGAGATGCTTCTAATTTTTTTGTACCTTCCTACAACCCTCAATCCTCACATAGCTAATAGCAAATTAAGCTTTTTCTAGAATGCTTGTAAACTCAGACCTATGCTTCATAAACAACTTATTTTTATAACCACTAAAGACACCACTAATAGGTACAAAGGCAAAGAACTAGACAACAGATTTTCCCAGTAGTTAGGTGAGCAAAGACTGCACTAAACAACAATCTGAGAGAATGCTAAAATCAATGAACAAATATTATGTAATTATTTGTTCATGTAATAATTAATGAACAAATATTATGTTATTACATAACAAATATTATGTAAATATTATTTACAGAGTGTAAAAAGTCAGTGGTTTTCCAATTTAACTGTATATTACAATCCCCTGGAGCACTTGCTTAAACCCAGATTGCTGGGCCCCACTCTCAAAAGGTCTGATTTAGGAGGTGTGAGAGGGGCTGGGGAAATTGCATTTCTAACCAGTAATACTGTTCTTGTTGCTCAAAGGAGCAGGCCCATATCCACAGTTTAAAGACCTAACCCTCCTCTCTATTCAGCATGGCCCATGGACTCGCAGAAGGGCATCACCTGGGAACTTTACAGAAGGGAAGGACCCAAGTCCCACCTCACACATACTGAGTCAGAATCTGCATTTGAAGGACCGTTCAGGTGATTGGCCCATGTATGATGTAGCTGAAAGCCCTGCTATAAGGCCACTTTTCCCAATCCACAGCCCTAACATTCTTCACGAGAGCCCTAGAGAGAGGTCTTACCAACTCTTCTTAGGAGCTAGTTGATGAAATTAGCCTTCCCCAAAATGGCCTTCCCACCACTCACCAGATGCATAGCTTGGGAGGAGTGGGAAACAGTCCATTACTACATTTTTCAGAAGGAACACTTCAAACACTTGCAAATCTAATACACTAATGGTTTCTGAAACTGAAGAAAAGATGGAGGCAGATGAATGAAAGCTGAGCTAACACACAGAGTCAAGGCACAGTGAGATCCAATGGTTCCTTCAATGAAGAAAACCCCCATTTTGATACGTTCCTTTGAGGCTGGAGAGCTCCTGATCACCATCTCAAACACTGGCTGCTGCAGGAACTAGACTCTTCCAATGTCACTGCTGGCAAAATGGCAGCAGCCTGTCACCTGCCTTCAGGTGGCTAGGGGTTATGTGCAACCCACCCCCAGACTTGCTCCAGCTCTCCCCAAACCACTGTGTCTAGAGTCCAAATCCTCATACATCTGCAGGAGCCCCTTAGGCTGACTTGAGAGTAGGTGCATTTCTTCCCTTTAGGTTATCATATTTCCTTTGCCTCACAAAAATCCCAGCAAAATAGTTTCATATTGACAAAATTGGAATGGCAAAATAGCTCAACAGAGGTCTGGGGAAAAGGTTAGGTGAAAATAAGCATCCTGACACAATTTGTGGAAATTACATTTGAGAGAGGACATTCTTAATAAGCAAACTAGAAGACTTTTAATCAGAGATGTTCAAAAGGGAGTGGCAGGATGCATAGAATACCATATATAGGGGGCTCCCTGGTGGTGTTCGATACAGCCCCAGTGAGTGTGGCATGCTAAGTCTGATCACTTTTGGGGACCACGCCTCAAGTCGGGGTAATGATATGACATTGGGCCTGCCAGAATGCAAGAAATCCCAAGTGTGGCCTCCCCAAGCTGCTGATACCTTCAAGTATGTTGCTTTGAAACTCCTGCTAAAATTACATTGTTGTTGGAGACACTGCTTTGATTGGGGTACACCAGCATCCTCTTGCTACAAGTTATACAGTAACTTTCACATAGCTTGGTAGTAGTTATTATTAATACTTGCTACAGAATTATCACAAAGTCTGTAATAATAACTAAACCTCACACAGATGCAGATGGATTATCACTGAGAAATTATGGTGAGCATACAGCCAGGCATATTAGTTATCCACTGGTCTAGCAAAGTCTGAGTGTGGCAGGGCTAGCCAGGGCTGGTCAGAGAAGGAGAAATCATACAGAGAAGGCAAGGTTGGCCGTTGGGCTTTTTTTCTCAGCACCACTGCCAGCCCAGTGATGCATAAATGACCTTAGTTAGTTGGTATCTCCAAGATACCCGAGACAAAAAAAAAATTCTTTCTAGAAACTTTTGACCTGAAGGTAGGAAAAAGCATTGGTTTGGGCTTTGAATAAGAAACTGGTTTCTTAGCAACCTGATCCAGAATGTAATTTCAGGAGAAAAGATTTCCTTCTGGTAAAAAAAATTCTCTACTGCTTCAATTATTAAAAACCATATCACATTATGACCCTTGGGAAATTCCATTCACCTTTAAGAAAAACCCAAACCAAAAAGCAAAGAAACAGATGAAATATTATATTAGATATGGGTCCAGTGGAAATAAATCACCTTGGAGAAATAGATCTAAGTTATTGCCATTGATTTAATTTTTTCATTTGGCATTAAGAATCATCAAGTCCTAAATACATAAACTCTGCAAGACATTTAGAAATATCCTTGTCAGTACTACTTGGTATCAAGCTAAGAGGAGAAAAACTAACAAGCAATAATTTTCTCTGGACATGAATCTATATTTGGGGCAGGTTTCCTATTTGTTGGTGCACCTACCTCCATTCATCAGATTGTGTTTGAAAAGGTTCTGCCACCTGTAAAAACCTCACCAGTAAGAGAAACCATGTTTTTCACAAATTTTTCTAGATACAATTTCTCCATGATTTACTGAGTTTTGGATTATCCTCTGTATTTTTTTGTAATTTCATAACAAATTCCACCAAACTAGAAACTTAACACAGATTTATTATCTCACAGGTTCCACTGGGTAGGAGTCCAAAAGACTGGACTGGGTTCTCAGTTCAGGGACCCAAAGGCTGAAGTCAAGGGCCAGCTGCAACATAATCTGGATGATCAATCAGGGAAAGATCTGCTCCCAAGCTCCCTCATTGTATTGGCAAAATTCAGTTCCTTGTTGCCATGTGACTGAAATCCCCATTTGCTTGGCAACTGATGACAAGGGACTGCTTTACAACTAGAGACCACTGTCCTTATCATCATAGGCTGTTCACAACGTAACTGTTTACTCTTCAAGGTCAGCAGAAAAATCTTCCAAATCAAATTTCTAACCAATTTAAGGAGTCACACGATTAAGTCAGCTTCACCCACAATAACCACCTCCCCCAACGTCAACTGATTAGGAGCCTTATTTGAGAAATCCCTTCTGCCCCAATATGATATAGTTATATGAGTGAACATGATGTTGTATTTTCAAGACTTGTTCAGACTTGCAAGGAGAGGATTATACAGGGCATCTACCTAAAGAAGTGGAAATTTTGGGGTCCATCCTGGAATTCTGCCTATCATAGCATTTCACTCCTGTGTCTCTGTTTCTGATCTATGAGTTGAAGACAATACTCCATTCTCAAGATCATTACAAGATTTATATGTGTACTTTTAAGAATACCAACATGCATCTAAAGCCATATTTAATATTCATTTGAGCTCCATGGTGGCCACAATCGCTTTTTTTCAATTTTACCACATAGCTGCAATTTCTGTCCCACCATTTAGTGTGACTTTCAAAGAACTCCTTTCCAATGGATCCCTCCAGATGCCTGCACTCAGCAGATCTGTTCTGCTATCTGTACCCCAGCCTTCCTGGAAGTCAGAGCATGGGAAATACACCCTGACTCCCAAGTGGTGGAGTGGCAGCCACTTAAGGTCTGATAATACCGCTTTTAGTTGGGAAATTATTTTAATATTTATTAGGAAAAATAAAACTATTCAATCCCACGATTTTAGGGTATAAACAAGACTGAAGTAGGGATTTCAGATTTTTGTAAAGATTCCTTTTCTCAGATTGACTTCAGAAAAAAATATTAATCATACACATGGCTAGAATATAGTGAAAATGATTGTGGAAAATATTTGTATATGTAAAATTGGTAAGCGACCAGGTACTGAATCAAACTAAGAGCATTGAGCATAAATATTGACCCCTTCGGTCTCACTAACGTCTACAGAAGCTCACTACGTGCCAAGCCTACTACGTGCCAGCAGTTGACTGTGTGCACTGCACACCCAGAAACCTGGTCTCCAAGCACACTGAGCGTATCTAGAGCAGAGATGGGGAGCGGGAGGGGGCGTGGCCAATTCACCTGAGGCCTGCGCTGGGGGGCGTGGCTGGAGGGGCGGGTCCTCACAACGGAAGGCGGAAGTGGCTACGAAGTCATGTGACCTGAGTAACATGGCGGCTGCCCGGTGAGTGCTGCCGGTGTCGGGCGGGAGCTGGTCGCGTGAGCGGTTAGGCGGCCGGGGTAGAGTGTGGAAAAGCGGGGTCCAGGCCCGAGTTCTGAGGCAGCGCGTGGCGGCGAGCGAGGCAGGCAGGGCCGGGTGGCGTGGTCAATGAGCCGGCGCCGCGCCGCAGACTCCCCTGGCCCTGGCGCGGTCCCGGGAGCCACGGGCTAAGGAGTCGCAAGGCTCCGGGACGCACACGGAGCTGCCACTATGAACCCCGAGAAGGACTTCGCGCCGCTCACTCCCAACATCGTGCGTGCCCTCAATGACAAGCTATACGAAAAGCGGAAGGTGGCAGCGCTGGAGATCGAGAAGTAAGAGCTACTGGGACCCCGCCCTGGCTAATGCAGCCGGTAGCTACTCTGACCCCCGGGCAGATTCTCAACCCCTTCCCAGCCTTGTGTTGGTTTCCCAGGTTTCAGGCCCGTAGCGCAGTGCTTAAGAGCAGGAGATCTGCAGTCCTTTCTAGGAGTCCCAGCCTTTCTCCTGACTGGTTGTGATTTGGGACAAGTTCTTTAATCTCCAGGTGGCCCCAAGGGCTACAGTGAGAATGAAATGACATAATGTATGTGTAATACATAGCACAATATTTAGCACTTGATGAGTCCGCAGTGTGATCTCCATCAAATCCAGCCGATCCAACAGTGGCCTCCGTGATGGGAGAGAAATCAGAAATTAATTTGCTAGATGTAGACCCGCCTGGTTTCTTGCCCAGCTTCTGAGAAATGAAAGGGACTGCTAAGGTAACCATGTGGAGAAATCAGAAGCTTCGTGATCTTAACGGTCAAGATTGTTTTATCTTGTCATTATCATCCTTCCTTCAAAGTGGAATAGGAGTAGTTTGACCTTTCTTGCACTTGCAGTATTATCACATGTATGTGTAACCAAGATCTGATATTTTGCTTTGTTTCCCAATGTGCAAAGTAGGGAATGTTTTGTTGTTATTTTTTACTTTCATGGATTTTTCTTCCCAGCCAAATATTAGTGATAAAGTCAGGTGGATGGGTGGATTTCAAAAGAATAGAAAGAAGGCTGTGAAAGTGGAAGAACATTGTAGTCTGGGAGTCAGAAAAAGTGGATTGTTGTTCTGCCCTGTCTAACAGTAACCACTGACCATGTGTGGTTATTTAAATTTCAGTTAGCTGGGGTAGCGGCACAGACCTGTAATCACAGTACTAAGGAGACTGAGTCAGAAGAATCTCAAGTTTGAGGACAGCCTGGGCTACATAGCAAGATTCTGTCTTGAAAAAAATGAAATTATTAAAGATTAAATAAAGTTTTTAAATGCCTCAGTCACCTATATTTCAAGGATTCAATAGCCACAGGTGGCTATTGACTATCATATTGAGCTGCACAGATTAGAAAGTATTTCTATCAATCATTGCACACTGCTCTCTTAAACAGCCCCATCTAATCCATAATGTGACACTCATTCTTTGACCTGAGGGAGATTTCTTAACTCAGAGCTTCTTAATCTCAGCAATGTTGACATTTTGTTTTTTAATTATTAATTGATCTATATTTTGGCAACACTGGGATGTGAACTCAGAGCCTCATGGACGCTCTTACCACTTAAGCAACTTCACCAGCCCTTTATTGTGTTGGGTATTTTCAAGATAGGGTCTCACGAGCTATTTCCCTGGGGCTTTGAACTGCGATCCTCCTGATCTCTGCCTCCTGAGTAGCTAGGATTGCAGGCATGAGTCACCAGCACCCGGCAGCACTGTTGGAACACATAATTTGTTGTAGTGAATAATTCTGTGTCTTGTAGGATTTTTAGCAGTATCTCTGGCTTCTACCCACTAGATACCAATAGCACTCCATTAATTACAACATCCAAAATTGTCTTTGAACATTGCCAGATATCCCCTGAAGGCTAAATATCCCCTGAAGGTGCAGTATCGCCCCAATTGAGAACAGTTGCTTTACCTGCTTTGGATTTTAGTTTTCTAACTAACAGGTTTAGACTTTGATAAGGAGACCCTCCCATTCAGCTCTAATACTCACTGTGTCTACTCTAGCTACTTCTCTTATTAGAAACTACTGTCTTGACTGCTCTCTTTCCATGCAGCTTTATGTTTATATTCTGGCTCTCCAGTATTAGCACATCTTAATGAGAATTGCCATAGTGAATAAGGGGACCCAAAGATGATTTATAAGCATGGTTGCATGTCCATGGGTTTCATTGGCTTTGAATTTGCACTGTGTGTTAGTCAGCTTTCTGTTACTGTATCAAATACCTAATCAACTTATAAAGAGTTCTCTCTTTATTTTGGCTCATAGTTTTGGAAGTTTCAGTCCATGGTCAGTTGGCCTCATTGCTTTTGAGCCTGTGACAAGGCAGCACATTATAGCAGGGAGCATTCATCTCATAGCTAGGTCTAGAAAGAGGAAAAAGAGGGTCTAGGGTCCCACTGTTCTCATCAAGAGCACACCCCCAATGACTGGAGGAGCTCCCAGTAAGCTCTACCTCTTAAAGGTTCCACCACCTCCCAATAGTGCAAAGGTGAGGTCTAAGCTTTTAACACATGGGCCTTTGGGGGACACTTAAGATCCAAACTATAGCACGCTGTCACCCCATTTTGCTCATCACCCATTCAGCTTCTCAGGAAAGTCTGCTTTTATGCTGACTTGGGTCATCTGTGGGCCCTTGAACAGAGATAATCATCTCAGCATTATTGATGCTTCCAACACAGCCTTATGTAAGGGCTCTCACTTTGTAGGCAGTTAAGGGTTTTTTCCTTAATGGGCTTTGTTTTGTGTTAGATGTTGCCCTGATTTGTAGAATTCAGGGAAACTCTCTAGGGCCTTAATTGAACTGTGAACACCTTAAGAGCAGAGACCCTGTTTTATTTACCCTCAGCACTTAGCTCAGTGCCCAGTGACACTTGACATGTGGTGTCCAAATGAATGAACAGTCATACATTTTTAGTAGCGAAATAACATTGCAGCCTAAAATTGCTGCTCAGAAGTGTGGCCTGCAGACAGCAGCATCAGTAGCCTGTTAGAAAGAGACTCCAGTTTCACCTTAGCAGGCCTTTGAAATCAGAATATGCATTTTAACAAGATCACTGGGTGATCATTGCACATATTGTTGGACAAGTGCTACCTTCAAAGACTGTTCTACACACAGAATATTGTGTGCTTGAATATATTCTTCATATGGACTGCCCAAAGTGTCCCTCAATCAAACAGACTATTAATCTCTGTAGACATCTCATAAAAGTCAGATTATTGGCAGTTGCATTTATAGTGTAGACATGTCAACGCAAGTCCTTCGGAAATGAAAGGATTTAGTCCTATTCTTGGGTCATTGAACCCCCTAAAATTCCACTTAGGAGGTCAAATGGCAGAGTGGTTAAAAGCAGGCTCTGGAGCTGGGTGACCCTGAACCAGCTAATTGAGGATATGGAGCGCTACCTCAATATCCTCATCTGTAAGGATTATTTGATTACTTGAGTTAATGTTGTAAGTGCTTCATACAGTGCTGGATACATTATAATTGTTATTTAATATATAGAGAGACCTGTTAAATAATTGTTTGAGTTTTTTGTACTTGTTTTCTGTCAGTACAGCTTTTATCATTTTTTGGCTGGCAGAATATTGCCTCCCAAAGAAGTCCTAATCCCTGGACTTTGTGACTCTGGATTTAAGATAGCAAGTGGAATTAAGCTGGCTAATCATATGATCTTAAAATAAGGAAAGTAGCCTGGAGTAATCCCCAGTGTAACACCAGGCATCTTTCATTGTAGCAAAGGGAAGCAGAAGAGTATCAGCCACCAGCCAGAGAGTATGGGCATCCTCAAGAAACTAGCTCCCCTATAGCCTCCAGAAGCAGTCCTGCCTACACCTTAATTTTAGCTCAGTAAGACCCTTAGTAAATTTTTGTTCTAAACCACTAAGTTTGTGGTAATTCATTACAGGAGCCAATAGAAATCTCATACAACTCCACTGCCATCCTTCCTACACATTGAGCTCTGTGAAGGCAGGAGTTAGTGGGAGGCTGAAGACTGGCTGCCCCTCAAATCTACCCATGGCTTTCCTAGACCCACAGCCTTGACAGCCTGAGCCCAGCAGTCGTGGTGAAGTGTGATGAGGAATCCCTTTAAAGAAAAGCTCAAGAGAATAGGATACATATTCCGAAGGCAGAGAATGAGACTGGGTTTAATAGGAGGTGGAGCTCTGAGGCTTCCCTGGTACAGTCATAGTCTCTAGTTCGAATTGCCCACTTCTGTGGAGTGGAAAGTGAGTGGAAATAATGCATGTTGAGAGGTGTCAAGTGTATTTGAGCTTTACCCACTAAATGCTCAGATGTGATTTACTCTGCCCAGGCTGCCATAACAAAATACCATAGACTGAGTAACTTAACAATAGTAGTTTATTTCTCACAATTCTGGGAAATCCTGGCAAAGTAGACTTCATTCTGAGACCCTTTCCTCTTGACTCATAGGCAGCTGCCATCTCACATATCTGTTCACATGACTTCTTCTTTTGGCAGTAGGGCGGGGGTTGGGTAAGGGAATTTTGGTGTTTCTTCTCATAAGGACACTAATCCTCTGAGATCAGAGATTCCATCCTGTCTCAAAGTGGAGGTGCGAGGGGTGGGGGTGAGAGTAACACAGTGGTAGAGCACTTGCCTAGCATATGGAGGCCTTGGGTTCAGTCCCCAGCACTGGGGGGGAAAGGCTGTTCATCATAACTATGAATAGTTTTCTCTGACATAAAGGGGCCATACATAAAAGAAATTTCATACTTGTACATCTCTGTGGTGGTTTTAGCAGTTACTTTCAGTCTCCAGAGCCCATCTGCTTAGGTGATAGAGCCAGTACTGCAAATGGTGTTCCAATGAGGGGGGGTCACGGGTGCTTTGTTGCCATGACAGGCCTCTCAAATGATAAAAATGCAGAGGTCAATGCTTGGCTCAACTGTACTAGCATGGTGGTGTGACCAGCACCTGACGGCAGATGTTGTATGCCTGTTGTGCACAAGACCTGGAGAACTTTCCCTCCACCACCTAGGTCCAATATGACCAATATGACCACACAGTTTCCTAAAGATTAAGGCTAACCTTTTAAACTTTAGTTAAGATTTTAAAATGGCCACCTCAGGTTTTGTGGCCTCTCAATTTCAAGGGACATAGCCATTGATTGGTCCTGATGAAAAGATTGGTAAGACTTTGAGCTGTCCTCTTGCCAGCAGTTAATGGTGGTAGGGAGGGGATGCTGACAAGCACACTGATTGGTATGGGTGCTTGATCTGTGGGGGTGCCATGCCAGGCACTGTGGAGGCAGGAACCTCTCTGGCTTACTGCTTGTTGGGGCAGATGACACCCTTCATGGTCAAGTCTTTAGTATCCCTGAGTGTTGAGTTTTATCTCCAGCTAAAGTACCCTGAACACATGATCTTGTCTGCACTTTTGAGTTCCAAACACTAGGTCCTTTGAGAGCCCCAAGGAGGCTGGGGAATCAGGGCTCCTGAATGATGCCTTTATGCCTGCTGGGGGCTATGAGGAGGAGTCCCTAGAGCTCTGAGATCAGACACATATTGAACTATCCAGTTGGACGTGGCTCTTTGCAGTCTGCCAACTCTATGGAGAAAACTCAATTCCTGAGTGGCTTGGGGCAGTTTGTGGCATTGGGTCAGAATTCCACTTAGCTCTGCTGTTTATCAGCAGTGGGACCCTCAGCAAATTGCTTAATCCAGGGGTCAGAGGCTGGTAGCCAGTGACTGTATCCTGCCTAGAGACTGTTTAGTTTGGCTTGGGACTGGAGCATTTTAAATTGAGAACCTTTACAGTGAAATTGGGGTTTCTGGCTTCCGTTAAGGAATTGGTTACTGTAGCTGTGGGACCTACATTCCCACACAGCAGATCAATATGAGCCAGGCCCCTCCCTGTTGGCAAGTTTGCCAAGCCTGTCCTACCTTCCTTGGCCTCATCTGAATCTCCTGCCTGGCTCTTGTGAACATCTAAGTTTGTAACTTCTGGCTTAACCTCTCTGTGCCTCTGTTTTCTCATCTTTAAAAAAATGCATCTTGAAAACATTGTGCTAAAAGAAGCCAGTCAGACACAAAGGCTATTATTGTCCAGAAGAGGCAAATCAAGAGAGAGAAAGCAAATTAGTGGTTGCCAGAAGCTGAAGGGAAGAGGTTTGGGAAATGGCAGTTAAAAGGTACAGTTTGTTGAGGGGGACGCAAAAATGTCATTAAATTGATTGTGGTGATAGTTGCACAATTTTGTGAATATGCAGAAAAAAACCCACTAAATTGTCTACTTTAAAAGAGTGAACTTTTGGTATATAAATTGTGTCTTGGTTTTCAAAACTAAGAATATGAATGATGTGTTGGTGCAGTGTGAAGGAAGCACTTATCGAATGATGGTAATTGTTACCTGAGATCAAAACAGGTCTCTTGCTCCATCTCTCTTATTCTCCACTGGTCATGTCCAGTGGATGCTCAGTCTCTGTTTTGTCAGTTAAGTCTTAGCCTTTTCAGATCTTTGGCCTATTCTCTGGGACACATGTTCACTTTTCCCATTCAAAATTATTTGGAGACTCATGAGCAAGTAAAAACCAAATTACTGCAATACTCAGTGAAGCAGATGGAAGAGATGTTTATCCAGATTCTCTATGGGAAATCGCTGCCTGGATTTGCCATCTGAATACATATGTCACATACTAAGTGTGTCAGAGAACTGAAACAGATAATTAGACTTGGCAGGGGAAAAACCAAAGCAGTCCAAGTCCATGCTGAAGGTTTCACAATACAGGAATAAGTGTCAACTCTGGGTTTATCATTTTATCCTCTTTGGAGAAGACCAGGTGCTCAGTCCACATTCATTGAATGAACATGGTCTTGGGTTGGTGTATATAGATTACAGTTTCTCTCCCTGGTTCCGACATTATAGAAGAAATTGAACTGAGACTATTATTTGAGCGTGGGCAGTGTAGAGCATGTGAAGTTCATCATCTAATTTCTCTAAATACAGCATGAAGTCCTTGTGAACGTTATTATCCTGCCTTATGGCTGAGGATGTCTCCTTTGAACACGTGGGAATTGGAGGGCAGTGACTGAAACCTCTGCCACCTAGGACAAAGCATCACCAAGTGAAATGGAATTGGAGTTCAGTGAAATAATAAACACAAAGTGCTGGTAGGCAGTGGGCATTCAATAGGTGGTAACACTGATACTTGGGAGGGTGGTAGTATAACATAGCAGGCAAGATTTCTGACCTTGGGGTTAGAAAAATCTAGAGGTGTCTAGTGGTGGCTTAGAGCCTCGGTTTGTGACTGTTCAGGTGATTGATTTTCAGACCCACCATCTACAAGTAGTGTGACCTTGACTATGTTTCTCAGCTTCCCCCAACGATAAAATGAGTATGTGGTACCTGAGTGTCTTTTTTCCTGGCTTAAATTAGATCAAGCCACCTAGCACATTGCCTGGAATGTAGTAAGTGCTCAGCCAATGGTTACTCATTTGCTGCCTTCGCAGTGGAATGCATCTCTGGAGTTTCATTTCAGACCATCTGAAGTGTGCTCTCTCTGTGTGTGGAGGAATGCTTTGGGGATGTCTGAACACTGAACAGCAGGGGAAATGTGTGGAGAAAGCAACTTGTCTGTCACCTCACCAGGTGTGTTCCATTTGCAGCTGCAGTGGCTTCAGAAGATGGAAGGGAGAGACTGTAACACAGTTGAAAGGATGTAAACTGTGTAGATGTCAAGGATGCAGACCCTCTGTGACCCTGGGAAAAGGAAATGATTTCAGATCTTGTTTCAGATCTGGAAGGTGAGAATTACAGCTATGGAAGGAGGTTGTCCTAAGGAATAACCGCCCCCTGAGCAACATAGTGTAGACTAAGTGCATAGTAAGTGGCCATCTTACCAGTCCTCATGATGTATATGACTGTTACAGTGCTATGTTATAGAGGCCAAGGGGTCCAGTGCAGGGCTGTGGCTGTGTAGTACAGAGTGTGGCCCTAAGCTTTCTCCTGGATGATGACAGTCCAAATGCATCCTACCCTGTCTGTGACTCCACCTCTCAGGGAGGGGTGTGGCAGTGTTCATGACATCGTGGGTGGTATCAGGAGCCTGGTGCCAGCCCATAATGGGACTCATGTCTTCGGGGAGATGGATGTTCCTGCTGTCCTGAGACACCACTGACCAGTTGTGAACAGATGCTCTGAGCCACCACTAGAGGACACCTCACCACTAGAGGACTACCTTGATGAAAGATTTTTCAGTGCTTTTGTGAAAAAACCAGGCAGATACGGATTCTCTTTTTCTGGTGTATAGAACAGTAAAGCCTGAGCAAGACCTTTGTATCAGTGAAGGGCCCCAGGGATTCTCCATCGTGAGAGTTTTTGGGCCAAATACAAACTTCAAAATGAGTTCAGCCTCAGACTCCCCACCTCTGGCCCCCAATCTATAGATGAAAGCAGAGACAAAATAGTCTTTGAAGAGAGACTGGGCCTGGAACTGGGGGTGCCTGGTGTTAAACTTCACTTGCTCTGCTTCCCTTTCAGTTGCTTTTCTTCTGTCTGTACTTTCTCTGTGAAGAGCAAGACTGTGCCTCTGGCTGGCTGCTCCCCTGAGGAGTTGGAGCATGCTTGCCACTCAGCAGGTTCCCTTTCAGGTCAGATCCTGACCTGTACATACTTCCTCAGCCACCAGCCACAGATGTGGCATACTGGGCCCTTCTCAGAGTGCATTTTGGGATCTCAGGAATGGTGCAGTTGATCCTACTAACTTGTAATAAGACTAAGGCCTTAGCGCTGTCCAGCTTCCACATTGGTTAGACAAACAGGGAAGATTTAGATTTGCAGACAATCCCTTAGCCACCAATCTGGCAGCATGAGGTGTTGCCTGGGTTTGCCCTGTAACTTATACCATCCATTAGCTCTGCCAGCCTTCATGGATTCAATCCACTGGCAGGTGCTTATTGATTGGCTACCTACTGAATGCACAGCACTAGACTAGGAATAGGAATGATACAAGAGGTGCAGAGGAGTGTGATACAGTCCTCAGGGACTCAGTCAAGCAGGTGTGGAGGTAGAAGGAATATAACTGGTGACTTCTGTCAGCATATTGCTGGGCACAGAATGAGGAGTCACTAAGTAGTTCAGGGTTCAGAGGAGAAGTGCTCAGTTTGTGGGTTAGTAGGGAAACAGGGAGGTGCAACTGAGCCAGATGTGGAGTGTGGAAGTGAATGTGCCAGAGGACAGACAGGTAGGAAGTACAGACAGAATGTGACAAACAGGCCCAGTAGGAAGGCAGGTCTGGCTACAGCACAAGATGATGCTAGGAGCTGAGCAGGCAGGCTAGAGAGACCCTTATCCCTGTTTGCATTCCCCATGAGTCAGTAAGAAGGGTGGGCTTAGCCTGGGTAAAAAATTTGCAAGCTCCCATCTCAATCAATAAAAACTGGATGTGGTGGTGTATGCCTGTTTCCCAGCTATATAGAGGAAGGCTGAGATTGGGAGGATTGAGGTTCTAGGTCAGCCTGAACAAAAACATTTTCAAGATCCCATTTCAAACACAAAAAAAGCTGGGCATGGTGGCATGCACCTGTCATCCCAGTGACAGCAGGAAGGGTAAAACAGGCCAGCCTGGGCAAAAAGTGAGATCCTATTTACAAAATAACCAGAGCTAAAAGAACAGGAGGCATGGTTTAAGTGGTAGAGGACCTGCTTTAGCAGGCACAAAGCTCTGAGTTCAAACCCCAGTGCCATTTTAAAAAGGGGGTAGAGTGGGCTTGATTTGAGAGAGACAGATTCATCCTGCTCGTGGCCCAGGATTGACCCCAGGACCAGGCATTGTACTTTCTGGCTGGGGATATTGCTGAGAACATTTGCATAGTTTCTTCTCCAGAGGGAACCATCGTTTGGCTGCCCAATTCTTATTTTCCAGGTGATAAAGAATATTCTACCTTAATGCAAGGGTACACACAGTAGAGACTTGGGGTGCCTGTGGCTATAAGATTTGAATGATCTTACGGCTATTTTTGTAGTGACTGGTGATGTCAGAATTGAGCCATACATGGGGGAGACCACCACCTTGCTGGTGTCCAGCAAAGGAAAGAGGTGCCACTGAGCATGTGAAGAGCACCAAGCACAGGTATTTGCTTCACATCTCCCTTCAGGAGACCCCCTTGTCCTTGTAAATTGTCACTGGGACACTAGAGCCACGTTCCTTCACTTTCACCATTTAGTCACTCAATGAGCCTTCCTTGTCTTCAAAGCTCCCAAGTGCCATTCAGATCCATACCGCCCATCACTGCAGATTCCTCCTTCAAAAGTTCCCATCCACCACCCTCCATGGCTCCTCGCTGCCACCAGAATGAGGTGCCAATTCCCTTGCCAAGCTTTCTGGGTCCTGTGCTGCTGACTCAGAGCTACTTTTCCAACTCTGTCACCCACTTCTCCCACCTTGACCTTGCTTCTACCAAACCAAATGTTGTCTCGGAGCCTTGGCATCCTCAACAGCCCAGAACAAGCACCTACTCATCTATAGAACCCTCTCCAGTGCTGACTTTAATGAGGCCATACCACATCCCCCCCAGCCCCACCAGACACTAGCCATTCTTCCTCGTCTGTCTTGCCTCACCTGCCTTGTACTCTTGTTATCAGGTTTGCATCATAGTCCTGGAGGACTCTTCTGTTTCCTCCCCCATCCTCTCAGGGGGGCCCCTCAAAGCCAGAGAATGCATCCCATATGAGGCTGTCACCTAGATGGAGTATTCCATGAATGTCTGTGACCTGAGACACAGGAGGCAGGAGAGGAGGAGATTCTAGGAATTCCTGGAGAGGAGGGATGGACTCTCCTGTTAGGTCCTGACTGGAGCCCATGGATGTCACTGCTCTCACTCTGGGTGCTACTGTGATTTGCACCATGCAGAAGCAGGGCCCAGCTTCTCAGTTAGCCTGTCTGGATAGGAAGATGAGGCACAGCTGCTGCCATGAGCTGTAGTGTATGCTCACATCCTAGATTCTTCAAGAGCAAGGACACACTAGTTTGGAATCTTCATGGAATTTAGGAAACCTAAGTTTTAAAACTCAAACTAGAGTACAAGTCATTCACAGTTCTCTGACCCCATTCATAAATTTGGTAGGCAGTATGAAATCTCAAGTTAAGTCTCAATTAAAAAGTTTGCTGATGTTGCATTGGCCGGGAATCGAACCCGGGCCTCCCGCGTGGCAGGCGAGAATTCTACCACTGAACCACCAATGCTCCAGCTGTCAGCATCTGTGTGGTACCTCCCTTTAAAACCATCTGGGCTTCCTTATATATATGCTGAGTCACAGACTGAGCTCAGGCTCTGATGCTGCCACATCAGCACAGATGCAAGAACAGAAAGTGTCAGCTCCAGAGCAGGAGGGAGCAGAAGAGGGGGCGTGTTTGTATATGTATGTTTGTGAAGTTGATTTACCTTGAGGGATTGAGACAGAAACTAGTGCTCAATTCTCTTCTTCTCAGTAAAGTAGCAAAACACACAGACTTTGGGTGCATCTCCCCTCTGATGTGTGGGTCCTCCTGTTCCATTCTGCTTGTGGAGCTGTTTTACTGCTCTTAGCTACCGGCTTCCTGCTGGCCAGTGGCCTAGGCTGAAGGCAGAGGAACAAAGTCCCCTTCCAGGTGAAGGAATGCTGGCCAAGCTCCCACAGTCTGTCCTCTGAGTTCAGCAGCTCTCCGTGGGCTTCCTGAGCAGGGTGTGTGGTCCCAGATCACAGGCATCTTGGGCTGCTGCAAGCCCTCTGTGGTTGAGGAGATTGGCTTCTCCTGCATGACATCTGTGTGAGGAAACTGGCCAAGAAGAGGCAAAAAAAAGAAAAAAGCACCACTGCATTGGCCGGGAATCGAACCCGGGCCTCCCGCGTGGCAGGCGAGAATTCTACCACTGAACCACCAATGCTCAGGCTGTCCTCTACAGCATCTGTAAAGCTCTCCTCACTGGGCTGTCTGTAACTTTGCAGACAAGAATGCTAGCAAATCCCTGGGCCTCATCTGGCTGGTTTGTCCAGTCTGGGAGACCAGACAAGTTTATGTACCTCCCTCCTTGCCAGGCATTTCCTGCTCTGCTGCTTCTGGAATTTTGGCCTATGAATTGGTGTTGTCTTCACCTGGAGAGGCCTGGCTCATCCATAGCCCTCTGTCCCATAAAAATGTGATCCCTGCCTCCCATATTTGTTCCCACCATCACCACAGTCAAGAGATGATGCACCAGGGAGGACCATCTCATGAACTGAGCTGATGTATGTGCCATGCCTTCTGAACCTCCAAAACTGTGAACTAAAATAAATCTCTTTTCTCCATAAGTAGCTTGCCTCTTGCATTTCATTATAGCAACAACAACAAAACATACACTTGCTGCCTTCCTTTTTTTGCCTGGGAAATGCTTATTAATATTTTTAAGATCTGACTGAAATGGTACCTCTCTGTCAGCCCAAGGAATATTAGCGTGTACCACATTCTTGCTCCTGTGGTCACATGTTCGCCACTTTGCTACAGTTACTTGTTTATATATGAATCTTGCTCATTAGACTGGGGTGTGATTTAGCTGTGTGTCCCCAGCACTGTCCCTGGAATGATGACAAGATGCAAAGGATTTCTTGGATTCATGAATGTAAAGTTAAACAAGTGTTCAGTAAAGACGATTTATCAGACTAAGAAAGCATTGCTGTGTTTGATCCCCATTATGGAAGCAAGATGGTGCTATTCCTCGTTCCAAAGGGGATATACAAAAGGGAAACTCAGACCAAGAGTAGGGAAACGAGCATGATCCACACAGCAGCTCCCACTCATCAGCAGAACTGAGAGGACCTTCCCTGAGATGCTGCCACCCAGTTCCTCTTTCTAAACAGGTCATCTCCCTTCCTTAACCCAGGTCCTCCTGTCCCACAGCTCCTCTCTCTTTTCTCTCCAGGCTGGTTCGGGAGTTCGTGGCACAGAACAACACCATACAAATCAAGCATGTGATCCAGACCCTGTCTCAGGAGTTTGCCCTGTCCCAGCATCCCCACAGTCGGAAAGGGGGCCTCATCGGCCTGGCTGCTTGCTCCATCGCCCTGGGCAAGGTGGGCGTTCTCCTGAGGGACAGGCACATCAGTGATGGCCTTCACTGTGGCCGTATACCTTCCCTCCTAAGACCCAGCCGGGCCTTGAAGACCTTTATTTGATAACTACTCTGTCCACGCTTAAAAACTTGTAACCATGTTCCCAGGTGTGACTCTTCTTCTGGGAGGTTGGCTTGGGAAGGGTCTTTGAACCCAACTGGCACTACAGGGCTAGGGCCTGCCTCTTTCTGAGCTGTCTTTTCCTCCTCCTGCCCTATATCGTAGGATTCAGGGCTCTACCTAAAGGAGCTGATTGAGCCAGTGCTGACCTGCTTCAATGATGCAGACAGCAGGCTGCGCTACTATGCCTGTGAAGCCCTCTACAACATCGTCAAGGTGGCCCGAGGCGCCGTGCTGCCCCACTTCAATGTTCTCTTTGATGGGCTGAGTAAGGTAACTTCTTGGACCTAGACTGAGCTCAGTCTACCCACCTACCTTGACCTTCTGGGACTGTGGGTGCTTGGGGCCTTCTGCCCAGATGCAAGCAGAGCAGTGAAGCATGTGGCTGCAAGGATCACATACTGTCTGTTGAATCTGATCGTTTCTAATGAGCTTGTACATAGTAGTTTTTGTTTGTTTCTCGTCATGTACTTTTTGAAAGTATCAGTCTACCACCCTGGAGGGGAAAAGCTGGTAACAACAACCCCTCTGTCAGAAGGTGTTAATGGCATCTCCACCAGACAGGCTGAATTTCCCCTGAGAGGAGGGCAGCAGTGATTCTAGAGCTGTAGAGAAAACTGTTCATAGGGAGTCCCTAATGCTGTCCTGTGCACCTCTCAGCCTAGTGGACTTGCCTTTCCCTGCTGCCTAGAACATCCTAGAGCCCCACTGCCTCTGCAAAATGAATGCCATGGGCCTTTCTAAGCACCAGCCTTACACCTCCACCTGTGCCCTTCTCCTGAAGTGAAAGAGGACCCAGCATTTTAAGACAGGAAAGCCTAAAGATGGCCAATGGGAAGCAACCTCCTGACCCAGTTGCAACAGGGCCTAGAAACTCCAGAAGGGCCCAGAAGGGCTCCAGGAGAGAATTGAAGTTCCATTTTACCCACCACCTAAGATCCACTTGCAGAGTGAACTTGACCATGGGTTTCCAGTAGGTTTATTGTCTTAACATTTGATTATGACGATTTTCTTTGTGCTTCTCTGCCTTGTAGTTGGCTGCTGACCCAGATCCCAATGTGAAAAGTGGTTCTGAGCTCCTGGACCGCCTTTTAAAGGTATTTTTCCCTTGTCCTACTTTTACTTGTAGACTCTATTCCCTTTATACAGCTTAGAAAGTCTACCATTGGGATTTTTTTCCCTGATTTTTAATTTTTTTTAAATTTGCCTACAGTAAAGCTTACTGTTTGGTATATAGTTCTGTGGTAAGTGTATACCGCTATGACACCACCATAGTCAAAATACAACAGAGCTGTTCCATCCTGCTGAATGTCCCCCTATTTTAATGTAGCCAGCAGAGCATAGACGTTCACCTTCCACACTACCCTTCCCCATGCCAGGGCACTAGGTATTTGATCCAGATTATAGGGACTAGGGTTCTTGACAGTTTTTCATTTCTCTTGACTTTTTTTTTTTTTTTTTTGCAATCCTCTTTTATTTTCTTTTTTATAACTATGCACTTTTTTAAACTGTATCCTACACTAATAATACGATATTTATTTGTGATAATTCCTTACATGTGTACAATTTACCTTGAACAAATTCACCCCCTCCATTATATTCTTATTTCCCTCTCCCTCTCCCCGCCCCCTTTCAAACAGTGTTTGGTGGATTTCATTATGCTATCTTCATGTGTACATATGCAGTGTACTTCCATCTTCTTCATCCTTCAGTATTCTTGACTTTTCAGTCCACCAATTTTGCTTTACCTTTGGTCTGTAACAGGATGGATTCTCCAGGCACCTATCCTGTCTAGCTTGGGCTCTGCCATTTTCCTCCATGGTTAACTGACCCTGGAGCCAGCCCAGGGCCAGTAATGTGACAGGTCAGGCAGGCCTGGTCTCTTGCTCTCAGCAGCTCATGTGTTTCCAATCCACAGGACATTGTGACTGAAAGCAACAAGTTTGATCTGGTGGGCTTCATCCCCTTATTGCGGGAGAGAATTTACTCCAACAACCAATACGCTCGGCAGTTCATCATCTCCTGGGTAAGGGTCAGCCCCGGCAAAGCTGCCTCAGCCACACAGTCTCTGGAGGGGCCCATCGACTCTCTGACACACCTGTGGCAGTTCCTTTGGCTATGAGAAGCCTCCTTGTCATCCTTCTAACAGCCATTGACACCTGAGAATCAAAAACACTTTATTCAGTTTTACCCTCAATGCCTATCCTGTTAACCCTGCAAGGATACAGTTCTCTTCTTGTCCCGGAAAACACCAGGTTTCTCTGAAGCCTTTAGCATTGCCTCCAGCACTCACCTCTGCTAGCCTCATCTGGTCTTCCCCATCCAGTCCCTTGTCCCTAGACATCCACATCACCTTAGAGTCAGCTACCAACCCCTGCCCATGGAATGAAAAATGATCACTACCAGCACTCTTCCCGCACAGATACCAGCAGTGCCGTGACACATGCCTTCACAGGGCCCTCTTCGTTGCAGAGTCTCCGGAGAGGGATGAGAGGGGGACAAGACTCTGCCTGAGCCAACTCTCCCTTCTGCTTCCTCTCGGGCAGATCCTGGTTCTGGAGTCTGTGCCAGATATCAACCTTCTGGATTACCTGCCAGAGATCCTAGATGGACTCTTCCAGATCCTGGGTGACAATGGCAAAGAGATTCGGAAAATGTGAGTGGAGGTGGGGAGGAGGCCTCAGGGTCCACTGAGACCCTGAGGGTACACACAGGACTCCATGCCCAATATTGGTAGCAGCAGGAGAACACAACCACCCTCCCTGCCACTCATGCTTCCTGCTGGAGTCACTGAGACTCAGTCACCCCCAGCATCTATATAGCACCCACCTGGCAAGTGTGAAGAGTGTGACTACCCTTGGGGTGGTAGACCCAGAGCAGAAACATGCCGACTGGTGCTATTTCCCTCCTCCTTTTGTTATTGGTAGGTGTGAGGTGGTTCTTGGAGAATTCTTGAAAGAAATTAAGAAGAACCCCTCCAGTGTTAAGTTTGCTGAGATGGCTAACATCCTGGTCATCCACTGCCAGACCACAGGTGAGTGTGTGATGGCCTCACTGCCACCACCACCTCCTTAGAAGCCCCTTTCTCCCATGTCTCAGCTTCAGTGAGAGGGCAGTTGGGAGCCCTGGTAGTAGATTTAATTGATATGATACCAGACCCTGGAGCAGTGGAGTGGAGGGTCTGTGAGAGAGAGCTGGGTGTTTTCAGTTGGTCTGGACTGGGGTGAAGATCCTAGAGACTCTCTTTCTGGCAAGGTTGGCCTTGTCACTGAGAGTTGAAATTCTTGGAGATCAGGATTGTGTATCTTTAGCTTCTATGAGGTACCAAAAACAATGGCCACTTGTTACTGGTCATGAGTCTACATACCAGGTAGTTTTGCCCTCCTAGGCCAGGTTCAGCCTGTTTGTGTACCTGCAGTCAACTGCAAGAGTGACTGGAGCTGGGTACTCTGGGATGGCCCCACTCATGTCTGGTGGTTTACTGGCTGTCGGCTGGGGCAGTGGGTCCAGATGTCTCATCATCCAGCAGGCTGACCCAGGTGTGTTCATGTGGCATCATCAGGGTTCCAAGAGACAGGAGACATGGACAATGTTTCTTGAGGCCTAGGCTTGAACCATGCACACTGACCACATGCTACTTGGCCACAGTTGCAAGGCTAGTCCAGGTTCAAGGGTAGGGAAATAAACTCAACTTCCAGATGAGACATAAGATCACATTAGAGAGGGTCGTGGATCCAGGGAGGGTAGAGCATTGTGGTGGTCACTTTTCCAGTCCAGCACAGGATTGTCACTCCCTTCAAGCCTGCTATCCAGACTGACCTTTGGGGTCAGCACACACAGGGAAGAAAATATTGGCAAGCTGGAAACAGTCAAGCTCATATTCCCCTAGTCCTCCACTCCCATCTTGCATGTGTGGTCAGTGGTAGAGAGAGTTCTCCAGTTGCTTGTGCTGACCCCTGGGAACCCACCAATTCCCCTTCCAGATGACCTGATCCAGCTGACAGCCATGTGCTGGATGCGGGAGTTCATTCAGTTGGCTGGCAGGGTGATGCTGCCCTACTCTTCTGGGATCCTCACTGCTGTCTTGCCCTGCCTGGCCTATGATGACCGCAAGAAAAGTATCCTTCACCTTGGTGAAAAGAAAGAAAGGTAGTCCCAAGAAGGCTATGAAGTATAGAGACCCTGAGTGGGGAGGGGGCTCTCTTAGTATACTTCACACCTCTGTGTAGTCCCTTGTTTCCCTAGGAAGCAAAAGGTGGAGCTGAACATGGACTAGGAAAGCCAGGGACCCAGAGCTAATGCTGGCTGTCCTCAGTCCTCACTTGCTTACTCATAGATCTGGAGTAGCTCTCCCAGACACCAAGGTTCCACTGCTCTGAGTTCACATTGCAAATCCTGTTGGTAGGAGGGTCACCTGGAAGGGGTCTATGAGAAGAAGAGCATCTCAGAGGGGCGCTGTGTGGCAAAGAGAATGGGGATTCAGGTTGCACTGTCTACTTGCTCACTGACACATCCTTCAGGGAGAACTGAGCCCTTGACTGGGAAGGGCAGTAGCTTTAGGTTTAGGGTGGACACCTGCATGGGGCTGCTTCTTACATCAGTGGACACAGGCATCAAAGAGGTGGCCAATGTGTGCAACCAGAGTCTGATGAAACTGGTCACCCCTGAGGACGATGAGCCAGATGAGCCAAAGCCAGTGGGACAGAGACAGACAGAACCCAACCCCGAGGACTCTCTGGCAAAGCAGGGAGGGACAGCCAGTGGTGAGTAAACTGTCCCCCCACCCCTTATTTTTCATGGGGGCCCTGGGAACCAGAGGTCCTGATACTTGACTTGCAACTTCATGTACATGTGTTAGCTCATTTAATTCTGGTAATAGCCCAGTGAAGCAGGAACTGTTATTATCCCCATTGTGCAGGCTCTGGCAGCTAGTAAATGGTAGGTTTAGGATTGGAACCTGGCAACCTTCCCCCAGAACCCCATGCTCTTAACCCTTGCCACCTCAAAGACCATTATATGTTGCCCTTATCTGTTCCTGGTTCAGCCACAGTGAATCACTGTTTGGAGCATGGCAGGAGCACCAGGCCACACAAGTTGATGCTTGGCTATCAACAACCAGCCATACAGCTGCCTCTGTCCTATCATTCTCAGGGAAAGGAAGGGTAGGGAAAACCACTTTATTCACTACTCCCCAAGTACTAGGGTCTGGCGTTTGATTCTAAATGCTATCTAGAGCTCTGACATGTTCATATCTCTTGGATCCTGTCCTCACTGAGAGGTCTCTAGTCAGCTTGGGGGTAATGTTCCCTTTGCAGTCAGTCAGAGAGTAAGTTGATTCAAGTTTTTAAAAATAACAGAGTAAGGTCTGGAACCTGCGCCTAGAGCCAACATCTGAGTAGAATGTCAGGCATTCATGTGGTTATGGGATAGAATGTGGTTATGGCTGATAGAATGAGCAGTCTTTCTTGCTGAACCTGTCTCAGGAGTCAGGTTACAAATCTGCCACTACCACTGTCAGTCAGCCAGAGAAACAAAACAGCTGGAGGCAGAGTAGTACACAGCTGGAGCATTGGTGGTTCAGTGGTAGAATTCTCGCCTGCCACGCAGGAGGCCCGGGTTCGATTCCTGGCCAATGCAGTGGCTGAACACTTTTTTGGCAGCTCTTGAGAAAAGAAATCTTGAACAGATAAGTTAGTACAGGCCTTAAGGTAGAGAAAAAATACTCAGCAATGAGACTTGTCTGCACCAAAAGACAGTATCAGAATTTTGGCTTATTTTAAATTTTTAATATATACATAATTAAAATCGTATGTCTTAAATAATTACACATCTTGTTTTGGGGAGTTGGTGACTTTCTTTTCCTTTTTTACTTTGCTATGCTTTGTTTTGGAGTTGACATAAAAGTTAGTTCCTCTTAATCCAGGGTCAGAAAGTAGAATAGTAGTTACTCAGGCTGAGGGAAAGGGTGCTAGGACTAATTGCTAACAGAGACTGGTTCTTTTATGGGTGATGGAACTGTTCTGCAATTAAGTGGTGATGATGTTTGCACATCTTTGTGATTGCACTAAAAACAGCCTGGTTATATACTTTAAAATTGTGAATGGTGTTGAGTAAAGTTTTTTATGTTACATGAATTGGATCTCAATTTTTTAAAAAGGTTATTACCTCTTCCCCCAAAGTTGAATTGGCAACCCCAGTCTTTTCTACGTACAGTGCAGTAATCAAGCTCTTTGGAAAGGAATTGCCCCATTCTGTGGGTCATGGCAATGGCTGAAAGCTTATTTGTGAGCTAGAGCACTGGTGATTCAGTGGTAGACTTCTTGCCTGCCACATGGGAGGCCTGGGTTCAATTCCAGCCAATGCAGTTTCTCTGCCCTTTTAGGTAGTTTTTCTAAGCATTCTTCAAGCAGCTGCCTGCTCAGGAGAGCATTACCCTAAACCAGGATACATTTAGGCAGGTTGGCTCTGGATTTTACTGCCTCATAAACAGCATTTCAACAGATGAAAAGCACACTTTATTGTAGCTCCCAGTGATGGCAACAGCTAATTTAACAGCTTCATGTTCACTCTTAGCCATGCTCAGCTTGTAACTAATCACAGTCTTTTACTAAGTTGCCCAGAAGAGAGCTCCCACAAGCCAAAAACAGAGATGATCCAGCTAGTCAATGGACAAGCTCATCCCGCCCTCCCCCACTTACCCTTTTGTCTCTGCTCCCACTGTTCCGGCCCTAGTTTACCTGACTGTGAAGAAACCTCCTACCTGCCTTGCTCATTTAGTTCTCTCTTCGAGGCTCAGTCTGGATGGAGCTACAGCACCATGCTCTCCATGGCTCACTTCCAGGCAGGACCCTCTGTGAATGTGTTTACACACACACACACACCCCAACTCCTAGAATTTCTCCTTCCTCCTCTAACCACAGGGCCAGTCAGGGCAGACCCTCCTTTCTGTATGCTGCTCCTAGCCTCTCTCCATCTGCTACTTTTGGCCCTGCTACTTGGGGGATCCACAGTGTAGAGTCCTTTCCTTCACTCTGAGTTTTGTTTTGTTTTGTCTTGTTTTTTCAGTACTGGGATTTGAACATAGGGCCTTGTGCTTTCTAGGCAGGTGCTGTACCCTCATTTTGAGTTCTTGCAGTACTTAACATTTCTAGCCCCATCCCCACCCCTATGAAGTTCCCTGATTGTCTCAGGTGTCACAGCAAAGATTCTGGGATTCGAACAACCTGCCTGCAACTCCTGGCTCTGCTCACTTCATATCTGTTGTCCTTGAACAACTATTTGGCCTTTCTTTGATCTCAATATGTAGCCCAGGCTGGCCTTGAACTCTCAATCCCCCTGCTTCAGTCTCCCAAGCACTGAGATTACAGATACGCACCACCATACCCAGCTCCACTGCTCAGCCTAAGGCTCAGGTACCTTATATGTTAAGTAGAGTAACAATAATAATAATTCATAACTTATAGTATGGCTGTGAGTTTCAAACTAGATTGTTGCACACATAGCATGTGGCAGACACTCTCACCTTACAATGGGGTTGTAAACATCCTGCTAAACACTTAGTTGAAAATGTCAGTCAGAAGGGGGTGGGGGAAGGGGGGAGAAATGACCCAAGCATCGTATGCACATATGAATTTAAAAAAAAAAAAATGTGGGGGGAAAAAAAAAAAAAGAAAACGTCAGTCAGAAATGCATTGAGTATATCTATCCTACCAAACATTGTGGCTTAGCCTAGCCTACTTTAAACATGCTCAAAGTACATTTGCCTACAGTTGGCCAAAATGATCCAACACAAAGCTGATTTTATAGCAAAGTATTGGGTATCTCATGTAGTTTATGAATATTGTACTGAAAGTGGAAAAGCAGAATGGTTTTGGGAGTATGCCTTCACACCATTATAAAGATGAAAAATCCTAAGTCGAGCCATCATAGACCAGGGACCATCTGAATGTGTTCATGCAGTAAGGCACTGGCCAAGGCTTTTACAGTCTTGTTTCTTATAATTTGCATCACCCAGATGGTAATGGGCCCATGATGGGTTCTACTCATAGAGGGCCAGGGATGGAGGTTCACATGACAAGTGAGGAGCAGGGCTATAAATAGGATTTCCAATGGAGGGCTAGTAATGTCCCTGGTACACATATAATGAAATTTTTGTTCACAAAGCTGAGACTGGGCTAGGTTTGTCAGCACCATCTCTAGGTACTGCAAGTACAGGTGAATCAGACCCAGAACCTGCCTACAAGGAGCTCAGTGACAGATCCACAGATGAGTAATTGTAGTGAGACCAAGTATAATTGCAGAGGACTATGCCAGGACCCAGGGTAGGAGGCATCCGCACCATTAGGGGAGACCAGGCCTGGCTTCATAAAGGTTATTGTTGCTTATAGAGATTTTGGAAGAAGAGAGCGAAAAGGAGAGCACTTGCTGTAATCTCACCCAGGAATCACCACTGCCAACTTTGTATATATTCATTTAATAAGTTATGAACATTTTTCCAGGTTAGTCAACATTAACTGCATTTAAAAAATTAAAAGGCTGAGGGCACGGATGATGTGGTGAAGCACCTGCCTAGTAAGCATGAGACCCTGAGTTCAAACTCAAGTACCACCCCCAAAAAACATTTTTTTCTTTACATTCATCATTATTTTAAAGTATATACATTTACAAGTAAACATTTGGGTTTATTTCTACTACATTTTTTTAAAAATCACAACCAATATATATTGATTATTTCCCTTTCAGCCAACACTGTATATAATTAAGCATATTAATAAAATTGGTCTTAGGAACAGATGATTCAAATATTCTTTTGTCTTTGAGATATAATTTATAATTTTCTTACTCATTCTAGACTTATTTCCCTGTTAATGTAAAATACTTAACCTTATGTCATTCTATGAGGTAGATAATGTATCATTCATTTAACCAACCTTCTATTATAAGTCATTTAGTTGCTTCTAATTGTGTCCTGTTTTTGGCAGTACTGGAGTTTGAACTCAGGGTCTTGCACTTGGCTAGGCAGGCACTCTTATCACTTCACCGCTCAGCCAGTCCTCTTTTGTGTTGGGTATTTGGGTTTCACAAACTGTTTGCCCAGGCTGGCTTTTAACCACAATCTTCCTGATCTCAGCCTCCTGAGTAATCTACATGATTACAGACATGAGGCACCTAGCATTCTAATTTTATCTTAAACTTAGAATACCTGCTAAAAAGAACTTTCATGTAGAGCATTCTTAGAAACATCTGTAATTATTTTCTAAGGACAAATTCTTATGCTTTTAAAGCTTTTGATACATGCTGCCAAATACCTTTCAGCCTGCTTAGGCCAGTTTCCAATCCTACCTTGAAGTGGGCCTCCCAGAATAACTAGGGGCTCCTGGAAGAGAAACCAGGTGAAGGAGCGCTAGGACTTGGAATCACAGGGGAAGTTTAAGTTTTTAGCCAATAAATGCCATAGGGAACCCCATGTAAAGAGCAGGCAGCTACCATGTCTAGGAGATGGGTGGGATTTTAAACAGGGTCCTCAGGGAAGGCCTTACTGATAATATGACATTTGAGAAAAGATGCAGGAGGGAAGGGGAGGACTGTAGGTAGTAAGTATGCCAAGCAGGAGGAGCAGCCTGTATAGAACCCCCAGGGTGGTGTCATGCCAGGCATAAGTACAAAAGAGCAGGGACAGTGGTGTCATGTGCAGAGCAAGAAAGGGGGCCATAATGAAGTCAGAGGAAAACAAGAGATTCAGAGAACTCTGGCTTTTACTCTG